GAAGGTGGGCCGAATTGCATTGTTCACGATCCAAGGTACTGTCATCTTGTGGGAGGGAACGTTGGGGACCGTGGGGATTTTATTATACAGTCGGGACTAAAGGTTACAGACCCGCCTCCGGGAACGTGCGGAAAATAGTCATGCTAGTGCTTCACAGCTCTCCGTCGGACTCGGCTTGCGCTTCTGGGCCAAATAAATCAACGGGCACAGGCGGTGCCCATCGACGAGGCGACGGCTTCTTTGCGCTACCAGTAAAGGCTGGCGTGCCATGGATTGAGTCGTGACGACCGCGTGATGGCTGACGCGAGTTGGGGCCGGAAGGAGGCGGCGTGACGGCAAGACCATTCAGTTTGGATATCGAGCCGTTCATCTTGCGTTGGAACGCCTCTTCCGTGATACCTGCAGCTTCTTGTTGTACTTGAGGAACAGGAGTGTGAGGCCCTGTTTCCTTTGTTTGCTTCGGTGCCAGTGTCCGAGTTATGGGTCTCATTGCTACAAGATAGAGTTAGTCTAAGGCTATCTCGTGAGACGTTGGCGTGACTTGCCGATGTGCTCATATAAGATGCGCTTGCCCGACTGCAAGACTTCTAGCTTCTTCCGCAAGGTGTCACGCTCACATCGCACGTCTTCAGACTCAGCAGCAATGGCCTGGAGCTGTTCATCATCCATGTCCGCAGTCAGAGTTGGTGAGAAGATAGCGGACAAGTCTTTGATCAAGCAGTTCTCAATCGCTAGAACTGCGGTGTTGTTGATAAACACAGATATTGCGCTCTACTCATTTGTTAACATTTCGTAATACTGGAAAGCAGAATCAGAGACTGACCTTGTAGTATGTTTGCATCAGATCAAGAATCTCAGAGTTGGTGAAATCATCAAGCGACTCGGTCAAGAGGCGCTGGCTGGAAGTGGAAGTAGCATGCGAAGTGCTGGTTTGTCCGAATGCGAAAGGATGCGGAACACCCTTGTTTTGGCTGTCCAGCTTCCTCTGATATCTAGATGCCCTTAGTTGTTCCAAGTCCCCTAGGAATCCAGGATCGTAAGTGATGGGCTCTTGCTCTGTGTAGGGAACGAGCAGTTCTTCCAACTTGGCTTCGACGGTGCGCCAACGCCTGTCTAATTCAGGTTGTACTTGTCTCAGCATTAACAGGTTGCGTGTCCTTGGATCAACTGAGCGAACCAATGGCTTCCTCAACGTATAATTTCATGGCTTTGAAGACTTGCTGCAGATGATGTTTGGCAATTTCGCTCCAGTTTTGAGATTGTTCCCGAAATACTTGGCCAATGACCCATGGATTCACGAGTGATGGCAGTCCCTGTGGTCGACTTTGACGGACACTCACGCCTATGTGGTTCTCGAGGAAATGTGCCCGAGTAATAGATTTCGGCTGCTCAAACCAGTCATGGTACTGCCAATCGGATGGGTACGACTCTCCGAGGAAGCTTGTTGGGACGTCATTGTGTGTTGCATCAGCTGTGATGGCCCAAGTGTGACCCTTCTGGTACATGACTTGAGCAAATGCAATGTTCAAATTTTGTATGGCCGTGCGCAAACGGGTAGGTGCTTGTTCGTCTGGTCCTGCAACGTTGAAGAAGCGGTCGCTGTAAATTCCCCTCAGAGCATCGTTAGTCAGCGTCTGGAATCTGACGGCGTGTTTGGTGAGGTAGATGCGCTGCTCTCTGGTAGTCTCGCGCGTGCTTCCCAACGCCTCTAAACTTGACTGTGTAGATGCAATGGCTCCTTGGATAGCCGTAACAAGAGACGGTAGCTCCATGCTGATGTGTTCCAACAACATTTTGGAAAGTTTCGTCCTGAGGGCGGCGATACTCGACATGGCTGCGTGGGTGGGATGCCCAGAGGCCGCTGCTGAAGAAAGATTTTTCCATCTCGTCTCGCTCGACGTCCGAATGATCACTCGTGTTGAAACACCTGTTTCTGACCGCGAACCAGCCGTGCGTTAGCTTGCACTTTTCATTCCTTGCGAGCCGCAGCAAGTCTTTTTCGGACTCGCTACCCTGATCGACTTTGTCTGGTTTGGTGATGACGCCTAGGGTCCTGGAGCGTTCCGGATCGTACTTCCTGATGTACTTGAACGGCTTCTGGTTCTCCGGATCGTTGCCCGCCATCACGACGGCAAGTATTATGGATTTTGGCTTAGACATGTAGCTTGCCACCAAATCAGCAATCTTGTTGGCGCCTCCTCCACCATTGAAGTCCTCTTCAATCATGCCAGGAAGATCAACGATAGTCAACGAAGGCACGTCGGGCCCCGAGTACTTTACTCGTAGAACATCCTTGAAGATAGAATTGCGACCCACGCTGCTACCTTGCGCCATTAGGTCCTTTGCTTCTTCAATAACAGATGGGAACGAGAAGTCCTCGCGGGATGAGAAGACATGTTCGAATTTCGAGAGCTCGTGTTGCTGTCCTGGTGCTCTCTTGTCGCAGGGCATGATGCTGCACGATATTTTTGTAGTGTTTGCCCTTCGAAGCACGACCTCGGTTGCAAAAGTAGTACCCAATGACTCTTTCATTGGGAACCGAAGTCTTGTGAGGCCTTCCAGCAACGAGCTCTTGCCTGTTGACTGCTCGCCGCATACGACCAATTGAGGAAGGTCAATGCCATGATGTTCGATACCCTGGCAGCGGAGTTCATCAATGGCGTCCAATAGGGCAACTTGCTCTGGAGTTTGAAGCAGCTCAAGGGTATCTCCCTCTGTGGACTGGGGAGCCATTGTGGCGGAAGTTCGACAGATGGCTTCGAAGAAGGTGAGTGGAGATAGCTATGGAGTCTTTACGCCAGTGTACAAGGAGTCTGACTTTGTTTGTATATGTTTGAATAGTCAAGATAGAGATGAGAGTTCTGGCCGTGGTAGTGGTACAGTTGCGATGTTCTTATAACTTGCACGGCTTAATTTGGACCCCATTTCAAACCTACCAACGGACAGAAATGTTACATTACGCGGCTATGGTAAACAGGGGTTGTCTCATGAACCGCTTTTTCTGGGTCGAAATTGTTCGTACCACACAGCTCATAGACGAGATAGTCGAATGAGAACCTCCTAGAGCAGTTTGTACGCGGGACAAGCGCTCGAAGCAGCCTGCATTGTTTCAAAATGACTTTGATCGTCAAGTAACGCATTGCTCTGCAGGTGTTGAAGGAGGTTGGGTATGCCCGCTGACTCGTCGCTTTTTCCCAGAGCTCGCATGTAGGCGTACAAGTCTATGCCCAGGTGTTATTTTAGATGCCGGGAAGTCCCGTAAATCATCGGAGAAACCGTACAAATGGGGTATTTCAGCGTAAGTCATTGGAGGAGTGTGACTTGTGCGCTTACGACATGCATGGTGATATCCGTGGAGCTGCAGATTGTTCACTCGGCAGCGGCTAAACCAACGAGCAAGCGCTGATACAGAAACAGAAAGTCTATTACAGACACACGTCTGCTTGATAGCTATTTCCAGTATTCCGAATATTGTTGCAAACCTCCTTTCAGGTTCGCATCCACGTTACGCGCAAGCACATCTCTACTCCCTGGAGTACCTGCTGTGCGATCTGCCTTGTCGCTCATGGCATTGCTCTGCCAATGCGAGTATGTTGCGAGTATGTAAGAAAGACAGTGGGGCTTCGGTCGAGATACCGATACGAGACCTACAAGGAGCGGCCATAAGCGCTTCTAGGATTGTGTCGAAACATGTGGCGCAACAAGGGTGCGGCGCAGTAATTCGAAACGACATTCCCACACAAAACTGTAGAGCTTGGTTGTAGTCGTTTTGCCACTGTAAAACGTGTTGCGCCTCGTCTATGAGGCGTGCAGCAGTCCAATTTCCCAATGCACGTTTTCTTCCGTCCCGTGGATTGCAATGCTGTAAGACTTTATCAATAGTCCGTCCCCAGTACTTACTCTACCAATATTTGCACCTATTCTCGGATAAGTCTATCAACACCCAAATTCATTGCCAGGTGTTCTCTTGGGTCATGTCAACGATGACCTTGTGGCTTTGGCTGGTCTGAGTATTCATAACGAAAGTTTTTTTCATTCTCGGGAGGTGTACCGAGGGTATTGAGTAGCAAACGAATCTAGAGTCCTATTGTTGATCGGAAAGCCAGGCGTTCGCTAGATTTACCAAGTCGCGTCGTCATTTATCATAAAGGCTGCCCCCGGGTTTGGGATGCAATTACATGCATACGTATGATGCCCGTTACTTGTAAAATACGTCACGGATATATTGCAGTTGATGCAGGTGATCAGAAACGCAGGAACCACCGGGCTTTGTCGACAAAAGAAACCCCGCGCGGGGCTGCTAGGCTGGAATTGGCCACCTGGGTAATCAGGGGCTGCACCCCCAAATCTTGAGCTCGCTCTGCATCCTCTCTTATTCATCTCACGAGACATTGCCTGAACATATGACCTGGGGAATCTCCAAGTCAGGAACATGATCATCTGTGTGTGAACCAAGTTTTGTGTGCGTGATCTGTGTTGTCCCAAGAACAGAGCCAAGTCCCCGCGAATTCTACTCCCAGGCCCATGCAGTACGCATTAGCTGCATCGAGCAAGACAACATTCGGACAAATATGATCTTGGTTACATTCGGCAGACTAGCCGAGTTCTCCAGATGGGGAACTGCACGTCTACTGGTGGATCGGTCGTTCATTACCCGGTTTTCCTTCCATTAATTTAGCCTTCAATTTCGAGGAACGTTGGTATACGAGCGCTTCACTATACAGCGACGATCAACTTCGCCCTATAAATATAAAGAGCCGAACTTCGATCATGATGAAGTTCATTCAATTGCCTCGTTATCATGTTGGGATTCACACTCCTTGCACTGGCGGCTACGGCCCTGGCTGCACCTCAGTCCTTGTTCACTAGACAGAGCGCCAACCTTCCTAGCAATCTATCATGGAAGTCGTCTGGCATTCTTGTCACACCTAAGAAGGACAGTCGCAACGTTGCTGGTATCAAGGATCCGTCAATCGTCTTCTACAACAATGCGTAAGTTGTGCTTCCGAACCACCCATGTGAAATGTGTCTAACTTCGAGTCTGCTAGCTACCACATCTTTGCTAGCACGGCAAAGGGTGAGGGTTACAATCTTGTGTACTTCAACTTCACGGACTTTGCTCAAGCGAACGCTGCCCCATTCTTCTACCTGGACCAGTCTCCCATCGGCACTGGATATCGCGCAGCGCCGGAAGTGTTCTACTTTGCGCCACAGAAGTTGTGGTACCTCATTTACCAGAACGGCAATGCAGCATACTCCACCAACCCCGACATCAGCAACCCTGCTGGATGGACAGCACCTCAGACCTTTTATGCCAGTACTCCAGCGCTGATCGCCGAGGGTCTTCTGAACCCTCAACAAGGATACTGGGTGGACATGTGGGTCATCTGCGACGACAAGAACTGCCATCTCTTCTCACACGACGACAACGGCCGCCTGTACCGAAGCCAAACCTCTCTGGCACAGTTCCCCAAAGGCATGAGCGACCCAGTTATTGCTCTGCAAGAACCGAACAAAAACGATCTCTTCGAAGCTTCAAATGTGTACTCGATCGGCAACGGCACATACCTCCTTCTCGTCGAGTGCATTGGCCAAGGTTCTTCTGGTGGAGGTGTTCGATACTTCCGCTCATGGACTTCAAACGACATTGCTGGCAAATGGACACCCTACCTAGACACCCAAGACCGTCCCTTTGCAGGTGCTGCAAATGTGCAGTTCTCGGGCACCAAGTGGACAACGAGCATCAGCCACGGCGAGATGATCAGGACAGACGTGGACCAGAAGCTCAGTATCGGAGCACCAGGCGCATGGAGATATTTGTACCAAGGTATTGACCCAAGCTCTACCGCTGATTACAACAGCCTGCCCTGGAACCTGGGTCTTATCACACAAGCTTGAAGAAAGCTGAGAGTGTGAAGGGAGGAGCTTATGTGTTACGATGAACGTCTTTAGTTACTCACAGAAGATGAAAATTAAATTCATGACAGTTATCAAACCAGCATCATCATCTTAACGTGCACATCCTATCGTCACTTGACTAGCCCAACCTGCCGTGAATCAGTTCCAGGTCTTCTAAGGTGTGTTGCAAGGGGTTGTACCTACTGAAAAATGACGTCCTTGTCATATTCTCGCGATTCAGCAGTTCTTAAGATTATGCCGACTTCATGAGCTGACTCCGCGCCACATATAACGATGCATTTCACCCCGTGAAACGCACATCGTAGGTTATGAATGGCCATCAAAGGTGAGACCTGGAGGAAGTCGAACACAGTGCTAGGAAAACTAGGGATACACACCCAACACAAGACGACATGGCCGTGAGGGTTCTTGCGTTAGGATGACCAATTGTTAGAAAGGATGGGTACATACAGCTTCGCGAGCTAATTGCACGGTCACTGCGATGGTATGTAGTTGCCTGCCACTGACCTCGTTTCAGAGGATTTCGAAAATGGCACACGGCGTCTTGATCCACGATGGTTATGTATGACGTTGAGTCGATAGAAAGCCGTCCCGGCCTCGGAATAGATCTGTCGACATACGCGAGGCAATGCGAGTTGGCGATCGATGTCGAAAACACGAAGACGTGTGGAACCTTCTACAGAGAAACTCGAGGTGTCTTGTTGAGAATAGATACGCATGCCACTCATGGCGTAGTCCCAGATCATGGTACGGATTTTGGCGGGTAGAGTTAGGAGAGGGGAGTTGACACTGTTGTCTCGCGCACTGGTTGGTGGTTAGCTGCTGCACAAATGACGCCCAGAAGGTTTTACTTACAGATGAATAAGATGCTATGGAGTATGTAGTAGAGACACAAGACCGTTCCTCAGGCGCGGGACTCTGTGTCGCCGTTTTTTGGGTCCAGGGCCGCGCTTTGCAATAGCAGTGGGATCATGGAACACTGTTCTCTCATGCGTGGAGCGCAGAGAATAACGAGCTGATATCTTATTTGCCTGTGTGTACGAGTAAATATGTACACCCACATTCTCCCTACCTAACCGTCCCTCATCTCCAATCCACAGACACACAAACCCATATCAATGCCTACCATCAAAAGCTCCAAATGAACACACCATACATCACAAGTTTACCCACCAATACCGAAGTAAGATGAACTTGATACACAAATCTCAATTACTCCACTAATCTACACCACATTGCCCTTTCCTCCATTCCTCCACATTCGCCTGTTATATACAAGTAAATATGTACACCCACATCCTGCCCTCTCCTTTCCCCTTCTTCCTTCTCCCTCCCACCACAGTCATTACGGGCCACTCACCCAGAGCAGCAGTAAACATTAACACATACCGCGCAAAGCCACAAAATCCACGCCTCACACACGCACACAAACATACAGGAACACACACAAGGAGAATAGGCAAGACAACCTTTGGTACAAGTAACAGTGATGAGATAAGAGAGAAGTAATTTCTTCCTTGGGAAACGAGAAAAGTTTAACTGGGCTGTTTAGAAAGCACTCCAGTGGTATCAAAAAAAGAGACGGCCTTTAGAAGAGAAAACACACACGCTGCCACAGTACTCCCCATAAGCTCGTCCGGGAAATGGTGATCCAAACAAGCTTCTAGCTCCACACTGCCTTGTCTTTGAAGAAAGTGCCGTGGAACATCTGCATGTCCCGATGCGCAGGCGTCATTGTATGATGTACGCGTGAAGACTTGCGCGAATCCGTCCAGGTGGCTCCTAGATCCCCAAAATGGCTGACATAGTACTGTTACAAATGCTCAAGAAACTTGCTCCTCCTAGTCAAGCTACTCCGGCTGTTGATATTGCGGACATTCCTCGGCTTATCCGCGTTGCTCTAAAGCGCAGGTATGGGTGGAGGAGCAGAAGAATCGGTCAAAACAGGATTACGGAGAGTGACACCGCTCGCATTACTGGTCGCGAGAAGGGTATCAGATGTCGAGTTCATAGGCTTTTCGCTCGCGCTTATATCGCCGGTGCCTTTGGGCCTGACAGGCTGCCGAAGAGTTGCTCCGGTGGCAGGCGGCCCACGTTGCCTAACCGATCGGGGTAAGACTGTGGGGCAGGTGAGTAGCCCTTCGCCTTGTTGCGGTACCATTCGAGCAAGATGCCAGACACGACGAGCAAGAAGGTGAGTACGAGGGCGATTGCGAGGCCGATGAGCACGATAGCCCAGAGCGCGAGGTGTTTCTCTGTGTAGCTGTTAGTCTGTGTCAAATAAAGCAGGTGCTTGTTGCAACTTACGCTCGTTTTGGAAGAATTGGTCTGGACGTTCTACAAAGATTGATGACAAGCTGCCATCGGTAGTCGAGCCATCCGCACCCTTGGTAGCTAACAGGAACGGTACAAGACTAGTGCCATTGAACAGAGCAGCGGACACTTTGCCGCCTTTGAAGTTGGGGATAACGATCTGTCCCATAAGCAGAAGGTCGTGGTTGTTCTCGATCACATCTGATTGGCCGTGGCTTTCTGTGAGAGTAATAATTTGTATGCCGCGAATATCAGTGCCCTGCCCGAAGAGTTTGCTGTCGACAGGTGTCCATTTGCCGTTTTGGAAGCGCTGGAGGAAGGCGGTACTGTCGCTACCTTGTCCGGCAGCCCATAAATCTTTTCCATCTGCACTGGCAATAGTAAGAGCCTGGACTGGACCTGGGAAGGCATTGGCATCCGGGATCATGGTAAATTGGCTATTCGACGAGTCATACTCCAAGATCGTCGTCGTGTTGGTCCCAGATGTCAGGTTGCCTGCAATAACAAGCTTGGTGTCACTGATCCAAGTCATGGATGACACTTGACCGGAGAGGCCGTTACCTGGGCTGGTCCATTGGCTGCGTTCCGTATTCCAGATGCACACAGCAGCGCAGCTCAAGGCACCTGCGGACAGGAATCGACCACCGACGTAGATGTCCTTCGAGTTGGGCCTTGGTGAGATGGCATTGACCGTGACGTTCTGTCCCTGGAGCGGTGGCGGTTGGCTGGTAATGAATGCGTTGGTACCAAGATCATAAGCGACTAGGCCAGCAACACGGCCACCGATGTTTCCAGTGACCATGCCTCCAGCGAAAAGAATGTTGTCTTGTACAGCGAGCGCAGTGAAAGTCGAGTTGGCGTCGATTTGATCGTTGAAACCAGCGATCCTGTCACCGTTGGCTCCATCAATGATGACGACGTTGGTGATGTTTTGGTCCTCTGGTCCAGTAGTAGCGAAGTGGCCAGCGAGAATAGTCTTGTTGTTTCCGTTCTCTTGGTAGAAGCGGCCAGTGCGAACACCAGTGATGCTCAAGTCCTGTCCCTGAAGGATTGCTCGCTTGCGTGAAGGCGCACTCTCTTGTTGGGCTTGCAAGTCGATGGGGAATGCTCCAAGCGAGAGGTCGCCACTGTTGCTCCGGAGCTCAGCGGTACCACTTGCGAGGAGGGATCCAGAGGATACGGAGCCTCCAAACCAGCGGTCACTTCCAGGTACATCAGCGAACGTCATCAACCGGCCAGACATCGCAAGCGAATAGAACTTCAGGTTGTGTAGCCAGTTGCGTCGAGAGGGAACCCAGACAGCGAAATCCTGAACATTCGTGGCGCTGTTGCCGTCGAAAGCGTTGACCCGGGAGAAGAACCCACTAACAGCGAGTACTTGCTCGGGTTGGTTGGCAGTGATGTTGAGTGAGAAGGGTACCAAGAATAGAACTACACCATCAACACCCGCACCAAGTGGTCGCCATTGATTGTCGACAAGGGCAGCCACTCCGTTCAGTCCTTGTACGTTGTTTTCTCCAGTGTTGGTGAAGTTACCACCAACGTAGAGCATGCTCGAGTTGTAGTACATGGTCATGACTTGACTGTTAAGACCACGGTTTGGCAACGACGAAGCGTTAGAGGCATCTCGACCAAAGCGGAAGATGTTGTTGCGGCCGTCATTGTTTGAGAAGTTGCCAGCAACATAAAGATTCTGATCATCTGCAGCCAAACTGGTAATGAGTGCGTTCCCTCGTGGCTCCAGGCTAGCGCCAGCGGCATTGATGACCGAATCGGAAGTGCTAGTCTCGTCCATTTGCGAACCTGGTTTGTACTCAAAGAGTCCGTTGATGTTTCCAGAAGTGGCCTTGAGTAGTGTAAAACGCACTCTCTGTGCCACAACAGTCAGCGGCGCTGGGCCTTGACCAGGCGCAGGCCGAAGGACGACGGTAGGCCTGAAGCCGCTGGTTGCGTCAATGTACCCGTTGTAAACTTCGTCGTACTTGTCGAAGTTGTTCGTCTGCCAGAGGATGATCCCAGCAGGGTTGGTGTCAGCACGAGACATGGACGCAGTAACGTTGACACGACCACGAGTCCCGCAAGTTCCGTCACCTTGACATCCAGGAGTGTAGATGGTGACAGAGTAGTTGCCAGATTGTTGGATGTCGGGAGAGAACGAGACGGACACCGATTCCGTGTCAATAGGATTTCCTTGAAGCGTCGTTGTGAGGTATTCAGAGTTGCTGTTGTGCGATGGTGAGGTCTGCCAGTTGCCAGTATTGGTGGATTGCGATCGTGCTGTGGTAGATGGGCCACAATTCTCTGGCTCATTGAAGTTATCGATGGCGTAGGAGTACATAGCTATCGTAGTCAGCATTATGTCAGGATAAAAGAGCGTCAAAGCTTACCATCCTGGAACAGCTGGATGCCGTTTAACCCAGCCCCAGAGCCATACCACTCTGAGATGTCTAGCCTGAACGAGTTCATACCAACGACGTTGACGAAAGTGAAATCCTGGGCAGTGGTGTTGCCTTGCGGGAGAGGACATCTGGCGTCGCAGAAAGCTTGTCGGCCTGTTGAGGGATCGGTGTATGTCATGTTCATGATGCCGCCATCTGGCAGCGCCGTGAATCGGAAAGTCTTGGTACCACGGCCGTCATTGTCGGTGTTGTACAGCTTCAGTCTCGTCGGCTCGAAGCCGAATCCGAAGTCGGCTTTCCAGAAGCCAGGTGCGTTGTCAGCGAGGAGCCAGGTCTGGCCTGATCCACCTGTGCTGAAGTCACTTTTACAGGCAATAACCTTTGGGTCAGTGAAGCCGGGCTGTCCCGAGCTCGTCTGCGCAGAGATTTGTCCGCTGCCAACGGGAATGAGCTGAGTGGCGTTTTCGGATGCGACGGTTGCATTGCCGCTGCCGAGGCCTGTGAATTCTCCTCCAAAGACGATGTTGCCATTTGATGCTTGCACAATAGAATGAACAGCGCCGTTGAAACCATTGAACGACAGTTCTTGCCAGCCATTCTTCCACATAATAGCATTAGTCGAATTTAAACCTTCAAACTGTCCACCGACGTAAACCTGGCCACCGCTCTTGTCGCAGTAAAGAGTGTCGACTGCTCCATTGAGGCCCTCTAGCGCCTCGATCTTGCCGTCGGTCGCGTTGAGGAGAGCAATGCCACCAGGAGTACGCATGCCACCAACGGCAGTGAAGTTGCCCGCAAAGACCAGTCGCTCGGCGCCGTTGATCTGCAGACTGCACATGGCCTTGATGTCGCCGTCGGTTATGTTTATCGAGGCGAATACGCCATTGGGATATCGCGACAGGAGTGTTCCATTGCGGGAGGGGGTTTCCTGGCTCTGGCCCTCATATTGGTATAGGGATATCGCATCGAAGTCGCCGGCGAATGCGACCCTGCCGAGGTTCTGGAGGTTCAGGTTCGGCGATGGGACCTGCTGGAATGTGTATGCGGAAGTGAAGGGCGATGATGCGAAAAGCAGCGAGAGGGCAAGCTTGCCGGCGCCCGTGGCCAAGAGGGAAGCGAACGGCTCTCTCATGGCGGCGGCGGGCAGCGGTGCTCGCGCGGAATGATAGATGGGTGTGGTGTTGGAGTTCGCGGGAGTTCGTTTACGACGAGGTTGCCACGCTCATGGCCGGGATTGACGAGTTGGGCAGGTGCGTTTGCTGACGGTGGCAGCGACGATCACGATCGCGGAAAGCGCGACTTGGGTATCTCGAACACCCTTTGCACACTGCAGTGGCCTGTCGCGACGCGCGTGAGGTACGTCCGGCGAGTATATCAGTCGGCCTGGTGCTTGGGTCGCCGGTCGCTGTTGCGGTTTGATGGCGTCGCGGATGTATTGCTGCCGGTGATGCGATTGCTTGGCAGGAACGTTTAACGGAAGTATTATGCGGCTTGGGGTGCGATTTGCCGTGTCGGTTGCTCGCGAATTCTGAAACGAATGACTGAGGTGAGAGAGATGGTGTGCAGGAATCGACGACAACAGCCTCGCAAAGGCGCCGTGAGGGTGTTGAGTTGAGCGTGTTAGATCGTGTCCCAGGGGAAGGCGCTGGGGTCAGCGCGGGCAGGAGCGACCTTGTGGTGCCGAAGATGAGGGAGCGTGGGTGGAGCTGCCCAGCGACGCGCTTATTGGCGAGGAATGCGGCACTAGTCTTTAGGGCGAGCGTGCACGGCCAACGGTGAAGATCGATTCGACACTCACTCTCACACCAAACGCGGAAGCAATTCGAGCATCCAAGACAAGCGCAATTCCTGGTTGCGTTCACGCTGCAGGTTCTTCTTTTTGCAGCTGCGAGGCAGATCGGAATGGCGAGAGAGATGTGGAGACGACTGGCCTCCTTTATCCTGGACACTCATCCTTCCAATCAGCTAGCGTCCGGCCCACGCATTTGTTCCTCACGTTGCGCACTATCCCGCACCGTGGCTGGGGTGACACCGAAGCCATTGGATGGAACCGAGTTTCGCGGGCACCGTGTAACCGTCGTTGCTTTTGCGCCTTTTGTCATCGCAACCTCAACTCCTCGCATGCATGTGACCGGGTACTCCTCGCGATCGCCAAACACTGCCTGCGCACTGATAATGTAGCGCGCGGTGTCGTCGTGGCAATGAATTCTATTTTGAACCGTGAAATCCACCGTTCCCGGCGCAAGTCGCTGCATCACCGACGATCAGCCCAGTTATCCCAACGGCTTTTCGCGGTCGAGTCGCCAGTGCCTTTCTGCTCCACCACAATACTCGAGACTTCGGCCGTTTGGTCTCGGTGCCTTGGGAGCCTGTCATACGAGCCGGCAACATCAAGAGCACTCGCCATTTCCAGCATTGTGCCTACGTGATGCGCTGCCTTGCAGATCATGTAGACTCTTCTCTACCAGTATGCAGCACTTTCTTGAGCATAGGTATAATTGCGTTGGTTACGTTGCTTTGGGTTGCTTTGGGGATGCGTCATGATGCAAGGACAACCCCACGTGTCACTGCGTATCTGATCCTCGCATGCTGTCGGCCTGTTTCACAAAGCACCCCGGCCACCTCTAACGGCCAGCCTTTGTGCGGTGATGCGGTGATTCCAGATTCCGATTTCTCGGTGTCGGGCTACTCATGCCTTGCATATGAGGAAAATAAGCTTGCCTGTGATCTGCAAGACCAGCTATTTCGTAATAATGATTAAATTGAGGGTTGTGATCTAAATGTCTACTATGAAGTACAGTCTATGGTCGCCGCTACGCTGATGCGTTGAAACGGAATATGCTCAATCAAGTGAGGCCACTAGCGGTCACCGCTGCTCTTTCTCAGGATCCTTGATCTTATCCTTGTCCTTGAAGCCCCTGTCATTATCCATTTCTGTGTTCAAGTCGAACTCGTCAATGAAAAGAGTCGAGAAGAGTGCGACAGCACTCAGGACGGTCATGACAATCCATATGTATTTGAGGGCGTCAGTGTAGCTCTCGCGGAGTTGCTCTTTCATCAGGCCTGCAGGCATATCCTTGATGATCTGGACCAGGCCAGCAGCGTCCTTGGAGTACACGCCCGCCATGTCGGCGAGCAATGGGAACGTGAGCATCTTCTTTCTCATCTGGTTTTGGAAAATCACTCCACCAATCGCGACACCAAGAGTCTGACCGAAGGCGCGAAAGAACGAGAACATGTTGGCCGCGTAAGCTTGATCTTTAACGGCAGCAGAAGCCTGCACAGCCAAAGCCATGGCGGGGAACAGCATTCCAGTCCCGACACCACCAACCAAGTTGAGGAACACCCAGGCGACAGTTGATGTGTCGGGTTTGAGCAAGATCAGTAGACCCGAGCCCAGCGTTGCAAGGAACCAGCCTATCCAGTTTGCCCAGCGATATTTACCGGTCACCGCAATGGTTATACCAGTAGCAATGGATCCTGGCGCCACCGTGAAGGTCCAGGGAAACATTGCGACGCCAGCAAGGATGGGACCCATCCCCTTCACTGCCTCAAAGTAGAGGGGCATGAAGTATAGAACAGCCCATAAGAGAATGCCATGGATAGTGGTTGTGAGGTAAAGGATTGCAGCCGACTTGGTCTTGAAGATCGATGTGCGAATCAGAGGATGCGGCGCAAAGTATTCCTGGTGCACCACGAAGGCTACAATGCCAGCGGCACTGACAATCAGGGGAACAAGTGTCCTCCAGGAGTCCCACGCATACTGTACGCCACCCCATGTGACTGGAATAAGGAAGCCTGTCGTGGATGCGAGAAAAAGAACCATGCCAATCCAATCCACTTCCCTCAGCTTGGCGAGGAAATCGCCATTTCGTTGATTGAGCTTGAGGAAAATGGTGATAAGGACAGCCCCAAGCCCGAGGAAATGGTATGTTAATCCAGAACACCCAACGCCAGGTCACATTCTGTGCGAAGCCGCCACCTAGCAATGGGCCTGCTACGGTACCAACACTCCACATGGCCCCAAAAAAACTAAACCATTTGCCTCGCTCACGGAGAGGCACGGTGTCGACGACCACCAGCTCCGTGAGGGAGATGATTCCACCACCACCCACTCCCTGAATCGAACGACCGACCAGGACGACAGTAAAGTTGTTCGCGACAGCCGGGATGATAGATCCCGCAAGGAAGAATGCCAGACTAACGTAGATCAAGGCTTTGCGGCCGAATATGTGGGAGAAGGATCCGAGGACGGGCTGAAAGACAGTCGAGGTCAAGAGGAATGATGTGCCTGCCCAGAATGCTTCGATGGCTGAGCCGCCTAGTGCCCTGGCCATGATCTTTGATACATTAGGCAATGTTCAGATTACTGGAGTCAAGAACGCTTACTGGTAAGGCCACTGATATGGATGTAGCGTCCAGTGCAGCCATCAAGGTGATGATACAGAGGCTGAGGAAGGCAGCGATGAAACGCCATCCTGGCTCAAACTTCCGTGGTACTGGAGATGTCGAAAGCTCCGAATTCGAGTCGTTGAGTGATTCTGACTGAGGAACTTTGAGTTTTGGATCGTCCTCCCTCGGGGACTGTGTTGTTGCCATGGCTTTGGGATAGACGGCCAGTAAGATACTCTGTAGGTATTCAAGATCCCGTTAAAAACACCAGTGATTTACCAATAGTAGTCGAGGCTGTTTTCTTGTACTTGGTCCTGTGCTTCATGGTGGCAGGTAGCAAGCTTTAGATATACTCGTAATCGGGACTAAAATGGGCCATTTGCAAGCCACATTAGGGACTCGGCTGAACGCAGATAGTCAGGCGCGGACTTGATTACATGGCGCTACATGATCGGATGAACATTGCTCTGTCGGACATGTCGGACGGGTGTGTTCCCAAAGCAGTTTGCGAATCTGTTATCTCAAACGGAAGATTTGCGCGGATGCGCCGCTCATTGGGCATTTAGGCACCCATGGAGCGCCTGAAATGTACGAATTGACGTTACAGAGGCCAATGTGAGATGCGTATAGTCGAAAGGATTGACCTCGTAAGGTTTGGGTCTAGACCGAGCGGCGGGACTTTTTGACGGCGCGCCCGCTGAATCTACCCCGGAGTTGTGAAGTTGACCGATCCTTTGTTGTGAGTTACGGGCAGTTGTTCCTCCGACTCACATAGCAACACCGATGGGCATCTGCGTCTCTCCGACCAACACGTCATGATTAGTCTAGATATTTATGCGATGTGGATAGATACAGTCAGTATAATTTCTGGTGTTACGAGGGAAGAAGAGTCGTGCTTTGCGCGGCGCAAGTCCACGTTCGAGTGGTGACTCAGCAAGACTGCCCTAGGAATTCCTGACCAGCCACGTCGAAATGGTGTACGGCATCCTTGACGCTTTCATCAACATCATCAACATGTTCGCGACTTCAACCGCGATGAGAGCGCATACTAGATGCGTACTGATTCCCTTCTGCATCTCACCTGTGTCCATATGTTCTGCGCATGTTTCATCCTCTTGCGCCATACGCCAGGCCACCGAAATGACACAATGACGCTTTGCGCATCTTTGGTACCCTGAATGTGATGACTGTCAGGCACAACGTCGTTTCGACCACGATTCTTCTCATGATCTGTGATCTGTTGAGTCTTCCTGAAAACTGGGAGGCAACAAGTTGTCTCACCAAACTCGCCTCGCTATCGCCCTTTGAAGCGACGTCATCATGTCCCTCTTTGTTTGATACTCGTGTCTCTGCAATGGTTACTGCTTGCATCACTGCTCACATGCACAGATGTGCGCTCTTGTCCCTTTGTCGGGTAATTTTCTGGAACGTCTTCTAGATAAGTGTAGCTCCTCCTTGCCTCGCTTTTAGCGACACCCGAGGGAATGTACGGACGACAAGAATATACACCGTTTTCAGGAAAGCAGCACAGCCAGCACATTTTATGGCAACCTTCCCTTAGAGGCATGGAGCGGCCGGTCCGATCGTTCGAGTCGTTCTTGCGTACTGCGCCTCCACATCAAACGCAACCTCCTCCTGATAATAAGCCTTTGCCAGCAATACCAAGCCCAAGATTAGCGCAAAAGACGGCAGCACCTTCAATTCAATCAAAATCTTTACACCGGAAACCTAGCTGGAAGGCTCCCCCTGACTGGGACGAACCAAGTTCGCCAAAACAGGATCCGCAGACCTCATCATTTTCCGCCCCTCGTAATTACCGACTGATTATTCCAGAACCGTCTCCTGGTATCGGGGATGATCATGATTCAATTGTGTGGCAATTCAACTCAAGTCCTACTCAACACTCTTATCTTACACCTATAGAGCGAACAAAGTCACGACCGACCATCCTCGCCACACCGCTCTTCATACTCCGCATTCGCACATACAGCTGTGCCCGAAAACGACTACTGTCTCCTAGATCTACCGGCCAACCCCAATATCAGAATACCGTCACCTGATTCAGCAGTAACTCATCCAGTCGCGACCTCCAGTAGAAATACGGAGACCTTCTCAGATACACCGCTCCCAGACGTCATGCTTCGTTCCTCTAACTCAATGATGAAGCAAAAGGCGTTCTCCCAGCTCGGGTCCGAAAATCCCGCAGAAGAACAGGCGGGTCTCCCACCTTCGGCCATCCCACCCAGATCTTTCGGGGCTGGTAATGGAAACGAGGCTGTTCTTTCGATGCGTGGCAAGAAACTTCAATCACTCAGCCAAGGAGGTCTCAAGCTTGAAGAAGAGTCAGAGTCAGGGGATTCGAGCGAAAGATCACAACAGCTCCCAGTGTCTCTGGACTATCACAATGCTCTAGCAGATCAGTATCACGAAGCTTACCTCCACGACTCCTCAGCCCAGACTGAGAGTACCGAGAAGAACACCATGACAAGTTATTTCTTCATGAGGTCGTCAAAAGTACCCTCGAAAAGTGCTGAGCTCATGCCACGACCGCTGTCATGGAAGAAAGACCCGAATGGCTCTTCGCCTGGAAGCTCTCAATCAAATATACACACGGACGTCACACCAAATTCTCAGGGCGTAAGCAGAAGGCATCGGAAGGTGGCTGCTTGGGTACCCTTCCATCAGCGTACGCACTCCCAACACTGCTCTAGTCTCGAAGAAGAGCAGGCTGGTTCCGCGAGTGATTCTGCATCCGCCACTCGTCGTGAAATCTCTGGTGTTGAAAAGCTCCGCTTGCTGAACAAAGAGATAATTTTGTCAAAACTTGTTCCTCAGGTAAAGCGGTTAAGATCGAACATTACAGGCGACGACTTGGCAGGTAAGAACGCAGCAACTGCGTTGCCCGCAGGCTCATTTCCAATGGAGCAGCCTCGTCCACTTTTCCGGCTCCCAGGAGGACTAGTGATCGTGCGACAGCCGCCCACGCCAACCCCAAAGTCGCGAGATAATAGCTTTTCAGGTCCTTCCACTGCCTTGAACATACCGCAAAACGACTCGTACGCGGACTTGTCTGGATTTGATATAGTACCATCTCCGAGGCGACCATCTTCGTTGTACAGTCAACAATCAGAATCTCCAGTCGGCGGCTGTCAGATCAGTACATGGCAGATTACGCTCACCCATCAGCCTTCCCGCCCTCGCCTCAAAGTCGATCGAGCACTTCGTCTCCACCAACATCCTCGCTTGCTCACGAGATAGAAATCCCACGTACGCCACCACCCATACCGTCTCAACACGAGCCGAGAACGCCCCCAACATTGTCATCTTGGTCACAACGGGATGAAGGCCGAATGGACGATGATCGTGCCGACAGTGCGAATGAAGACGAGCCACGGAGACGGAAACTTCATACGGGCATACTCAATAAAGCAAGAGATGCTCGTGATTCTTGGAAAAGACATCAAAGACATGCCAAGCATATGAAATTAAAACAGAGTATTCGAGTGCTTGGTCCGACTGATCCAGGTGTTTCTGAGGCTTATATGAGGCGTGAAGATCGTGTTCCAGGACACGGTGATGCTCGTGCCGGTAGGCTACCAGGGTATATGGATGGTGGTCTCATATAGAGGAACTAGAATGTAAGAAATGCTCCGATTTGATCGAAGTACATACCTGTTCATCAAGGTCATGTGAAATATGACATCTCTTCGACGCTCTTAGGCTTAAAGCCGAGCTATCTCCGCCAGCGTACTTGCACCCTCGATGAGAGTGATGACCCACTTTAGCTCCATCCCATCAGACACGCTCATCATGCAAACTCTTACAATACCTGCATCGATCACGAAAAGGAAACAAGCATGTACAAGATGTAGGCAGCGAAAAAAGAAATGCGATGTGCGCGCCCTCGTGTCGTTCAGAAGAGCTGCTGCTGACATACAATAGGCTGCCCGTCCTGCGTGTGCTCTTTGCACCAAATGGGGTCTCAGCTGCGAGTATAGCATTATCGCTCGGGATCGGCAGGACGACGTGATGTCCGTGGCACGAGAATTGCCCGCGCTTCGGTCGAGCCTGGAGGCTACAGATAGTATTGACCCCGATCAAACTGGCGCATTAGACTTCATGTCGTTTCCAGGTCTGAACTTCGACCTTTCCACACCAGTCTTGCCAAAATGGTATCCCGATTCAGAGGTCAGTTCTGAAGACCAAAGTATCCTGCAAGAGACGCATCTTCCGTCATACGATCTTCTTGTCGAGCTCGTTGATCTCTTCTTTGAACATCTCTACCACGTGTTCCCGTGTTTTCATCAGAAAGTGTTTATCGAGCAGGTACAATTAGGCACAACACAAAGTCAATCGCCAATTCTGCTCTTCGCGATATGCTGTGTCACTGCACGGTTCCATCTGGACGCAACGGTCAGGCAGCGCGAGAGAGAATGGTACGAACAGGCAAAATTTTCGTACCAACTCACACAACGAAACCCGGATCCTGCTTTACCCACCATTCAAGCTGCACTTCTAATCATAGAGTACGCTTGTACCGCTGGTGACTTTTCGTCAGCTTGGCTCTTCCTCGGGAAAGCGTGGAGACAGGCAATTGCTCTCGGCATGAACCGCATGGATGCGAGCAGTGCTGTCTCTATGGATGGTAGACCCAGAGAAATCGATGTCGATCATGCTACTAACACATCAGTCAAAGATGGAAAGGGTCTGACTGCAGTAGACAAAGAAGAACGACGGCGGACTATGTGGCTACTCTTCATTGTGGACCGATACCATTCGTGGCCCACTGGCTGGCCGAACGCCCTTCCGGAGACACATTTCAAGGTCGATATACCTGTAGCAGATTCATCATTCCAGGCAATGGATCCGTTTACAAAGCATAGCGTGGCTACTACAACGCCTTTTACTCGCAAACTTAGCCGCTTGATCACCTCCTCGAATTCGGCAAACGAACCCGTCAACGTCTTCCGCTACATCTGCATCGCCCACGTACTCCTCGGCCGCGTCGCAGAGCTAGTACACTCCTTACACGATTCTCCAAACACGCCCGAATACGTAGAAGAATGTGAAGAACTGGACTCGTACCTTGTGAAGCTCCGCCTAAGCATTCCTCGCCAAGCTACCTCCGTACTTGAAGCTCAGTCCGCGGATAGAGGTCTCGTTGTGTGGCTTCAGGTAGTACTAGACACATCTGCAATGCTCCTGAATTACCGTTGCACCAAAAATGACCCTGCAGCTGATGCTTCGTCCCGTTTCCTGGTCGCAGTCGCAGCTGCACGCCACACGGCACAGGTCATCAGAGATGCCTCGCGAGTTTCAATCGAACTGCTCATTACCCCACACATCGCTTCGTCATTATACATTGCGGCCTTGGTGCTTGTAATAGAATGGCGAACCACCGGAGATGCAAAGCTCAAAGAAGAGATAGACCTCATTGCGCTAGTATTCGATCGCATGAATGAGGCGTTCGCGTACTTGGGACTGAAATTCAAATACGCACTCGAGCATGATTTGGAAAGGAGTCAAGGGAAGAAGTTGGAAGAGTTGAGAGAACTTGGCTTGAGAGGTCTTTTGGCTGATTGTTCCAAGTGGTCGCATATTAAAGACAAGCTTGTCAAGAACGGTATACACATTGATATTACTTGAAAGGAAGAAGTTTCTATGGGATCGTTCTGAACTGCATTCCCTCCATAGCAGACAGCAAATGGACAGCATGCAACTACAGCATGTTGAGTGAGCGCTTACCAAAATGGGAAAGCTGCGCCAGGCCGCTCTCAGACCCTTCCTTGACGCCTTCTAGAAACTAGACAAGCAGCCTTCCACCGTCTGACGTTACAAACGAGCCCGTCGCAAACCGATCCCGCATGAGATACGCATACGCCTCCGCAATATCCTCAGGCTGCCCCAACGTCTTTGCCAAACTCACAGTCTCCTTCATTTTATTCGCTCCATCCTCCCCAATCTTCCCCAAATACCTTTGCAGCAACTCAGTCTCGATGGCCCCAGGAACAACGCAATTGATCCTGATCGGCGCCATATCCGTCGCCAGACCACGCACAAGTCCATCGATCGACGCGCCAGCAGCTGCGATGGTTGTCCATCCTGGCATTGGCTTGTAGGTGTTTGTTCCACTGGTGACGGTGAACGACGAACTATCGCTCACAGGCACATAAGCGCCCGAAGAAATGAGTCTGGCGATAATAGCTGGGACTGCGAGACGTAGGAACAAAGGCTTCAGGGTAGATTCGACAGTGACATCTCCAAGTTTCCCCGTATCGTCGCCGCCACCAGCGGTGAACACGACGTGGTCTATCTTCTTGCTGCCGCGGTCGGTCGCGTTTTCGAATATGCCTTTGAGGTTCGCTTCGATGTTGGTTTGGTCCTTGAGGTCGCATGCGAAGCCTGCTACGTTGGAGGCTGGCAGGTCGGGGTAGAAGGAGCGCAAAAGTGTGACTTTGTCGTCCACCTTTGGTTGACCTGAGCCGGAGATGGTCACTTGAGCTCCCTTGGAGAGCGCTAGGTTGGCGGTTGCGAAACCGATGCCTGAGGTGCCGCCGAAGACGAGGACGTGAGTTCCCTTCAGGCGGTCTTGGTGAGCCATTGTAGCTTTAAGTACCTAATGTTTAGTTTGCGGTGGAGTATGAAGTCATAGAGAGATGTAGGGATGAGTATTTTTCAGTCTACGATACGTCCTTATATAATTCTACATCCGCATTCATTAAAAACCTTGCACTGTTATTCTATGCTTATGTCCGTTTTGTCCCCGCCCATGCCCGCCATGTTGTCAATCCACCGGCGGGCACCAGCGGGCTCGATGTCGACCATCTCCAGATGAGGAAATGTGATTGGCCACTGTGGCGGCGACGCTAATGCATTGGCGGGGAGGTCGGCGGTTTATACCAGCTGTGCAGTCCGTTCTGCAAGACTAAGAATGTGTGACCTCTTTGCTTTGCTTAGACATATTGCGGGTATTCTGGGCACATGTAGTCGTCCGGGTGTCTTCAGATCGCTTTCTGTTGTATCATTAATGCATTGACAACGACGACGATACCCCATGATGCGCCGTTTATTACATCCTTGCCCTAGTCGAACTCTCGACGCCTCATCATAATCGATGGTTTCGACATCTCGTGTTATTCACTTACCATGGCCGAAATTCACAGGCAGGGAAGTAGAGTGGCTGGTGCTTTGTGAGAGTTGAAAGCGCAACCAGAGGATGTGACAGTGGGGCAAGGCGCGAACTCAGCCGTGCCAGCACGCAGGCGCACGCATGGCGTTCACACAACATCTTACCTACTGCGCGTTCTCTTTTGAACATCACACTGTACGTATGCCATCCACCTCAAATCTTTCTCAAACATGCGGCTACCAATTTGTACAGTGTTTTCCGCCATCTTCTCGCAACAAGTTTGCAGAATGTCAGGGCTACTCGTTCAGCCTGTATTACATGAGGATGCCTTGAAATGCGCTCAGTTACGGACTGCCAGCCTTGGATCCCTCGTTATCGGACGGCCCCCACCATATCCAGGCTACCTCGAGGATCAGGTGGAGACCATACAGAACGACCTGGTCAAGAAGCCTCACGTTCATCACCTGAAAGTTGTCGATGCAGACGAGATTATCGCATACGCCAAATGGGAAATTTATCCCAATGGACGTCCAGACTTGGGAAAGCTGAAGCAACCAATGGACGAGGAATCCAAGACTGTTGATCAGTACGGACGACTGCGAGAAGCTGCACACGAATACTTCTGTCGGCGCAACGGTGGTCCCATGGGAAGCCGTCCTCACATACGTAAGTCAGCACTTTCAGCAACGAATACAGCCACTTCTCGTACGATGGAGCGATTATGGCAATGGTTTCGCTAACATTCTCTCTGTTAGTGCTAGCCTTGCTCGTAACATCGGAAGAGCACAGGCGTAGAGGTGCGGGTAGTTTACTCCTTCAATGGGGTATTGAAAGGTCGGAGCAATCCAAAATACCGTGCTATCTGCAGGCTTCTGCGCAAGGCAGACGACTTTACGGAAAGTATGGCTTCCAGGCTATCGAAACAGTCGAGTTCGATTTGTTCGAATATGGATTGGAAGGCACGGAAGAGATGACGGAAATGATCCGACAGCCGTCAGACATCTAAGAAAGTGCAGCGAACGGCAGGGCACAGTGCCTCGCCAAAGAATAGGCGATCGGGGGGATAAGAAGGAAAAGCAAGGCTGATTCTAGAACATCTAAGCTCAAAATCTCGACGACTCTCGCTCAAGGCACCCCAGTGCCGACCATGTATCTCATAGGTGGATATTTCGCTCGCTACTTTCTTCCTGTTGTGTTTGGGTTGCTGCGCACTCATTTCCAGCCCCCATTTTGATGAAGCGGTTAAGCGACATGCTGTGGACTTGCCAGTGTCTGACACACCACTAAAGCGTTCTGATGCGTTGCCTCAAATATTGTGTAGGGCAACACATGAGCCTAGTGAAGCCTGCCGTACCAATAGAAGTCTTCTGCGCGCTCTAGTCGTCAGCGCGATCTCGGTGGCTGCAGAACGTTGGGGTCCAATCTGATAAAGGTGGCTTTTGCAGGACGCCATGTAGAGGCATGGCAACATGCTGCCTTGTGTGCGATTCTCAAACCCGAGAACATAAAAGTCGTGAGATATCTTTCATTCATTACAGATGTGATAACGATTACCCAAAATTGAGACTAGGCTTTCTTGCTTTCGTTGCAATATGCTGGGCGATGAGCTCCAGGCATCCTCCTCGCGCAAATCTGTCAGTTCTGCACACAAACCGACATCTCCGAAGATCGAAACCTTCGAACTCTCAGAGAAGGAGCATCCTTACATACCAGTCAGCACAACCAAGATCTTAGGCAAATTCACACGAGATCCGCCACCCGAACACTCGAACGCTGAGCTACAAAAGCTTCGTGCCCGTGTTTCGCAACACAGCGAGATCGCCGAAGATGTGCGAAAATGGGCCAAGAATCGTGAGAGTAGCACGCTGTTTAAAGTCCTCTTACGTGCTGTTTTCTGGAACGATGTGAAGGTGAACATGCCTGCGGAGCAGAAATTGCTCAACACTATACATCATTTCTTTCCACCCCGAGCAGACATCAAGGTTGTGGTATGCGATTTCGGTGACGGCCGAGCGCAACAGCAGAGCGTACGTCTTGGTGATCTGGAGAAAGGTATGTCGGCAATACCATCGCGATCTACTTTGCTAATCAGCGCAGAGTTCAGAGAGAAACCATCATGGTCTACTGTACGATGGATGTAGGTCAATTCACAAAATAGCTGCCAGACTGTACTGATGCTAGTGTAGACATGCTCCTATTGGTGTCGGACTACTACATTCGGTAATGGTAGACCTTCCCCTGAATGTGCACGACTGATTTGAGTAGTCTGTGGAAGCCCTCTTCTTCCATACCGGATCCAAAGTGATGGGCCGCCCCTTTGTAAAGGCAGGCCGCGCAGGTTGGCCATATCTTGAGCTCGAACAATTCGATCTCCGAAGCACGCGCTCGATACAGGACTCGCGCGACATACTACGAATCCTTAAATCCGTGCCTCAAGTCACCAGCAAGATAGATGCTCAAGTCTTCGACGGAGACAACAACGACAACCTCGTCAAGGATGTTACCTGGAGAGCTCAATATGTCGGCAAAAGTGTGAACTTTTGGGACCTGGCGGAAGCTGATTTACCCTGGCAACTATCGGAAGGCAGTCAATTTAATATGAATGGTCCTTCTGAGGGCGTACGAACGACAAAGCTTGAGCAAGTTACGCAGTCACTGACGAGGCACCCTCACTTTCAAGAGGCATATCTTGCAAGGAACCCGCTGCGATGTTTTCATCGGGATGACGGTAATTTATATCGCCCCAAGACTAGCTATGGCTAATGTTTCCAGGCTTTCTACTCACCATGTCGCCGGCCGCAGGTGTCGATTATCTGAACGCAAACATGCAACACTACTTGCATACACCCCCCGAAGAGCTCAAAGAAGACAACTTCGCCTCCTGTGTCTCTCACATATACCGCGAGTTTTCCGAAACTGGCACAGATACGTGGCGCAGGAAAAACGCTGAATGGTTTTTGGTGTACCTGGTCACGGAACTTGGGACGACGCCACACAATATTCGACAAGGGTACAGCGTACCTTCGCTGATGGATGCTTATGATGCTATCGTCCACGAACTGGTAAGTCAATAGTTGCAAACGTTATCAGCATCACTGACTCCGTACAGAAAGAGCGCAGATACGACCGTTGGCAGCGCAACGAGACCATAAATCTAGTGCGCGCCTATCTCGTCTGCATAGACGAGTTGACTGTGCTTGGCGAGATCTTCTCCAAGAAGCTCGACTTCTTTAGACGTCTTCAGAAAGACTGTGATCATTTCGAAGAGCTCGACAATGATGCGGGCCTACCTCCTGACAACGACAATGGCGAGACGACGTCAGAGCGGATTGGGTTTGCAGAGCACATCATGGAAGAATCGACAGCCACGTGCAAAAGACTCACTGCCGATCTTCGTGACTCACTCAACTCAGTAAGTCATATTATCCGCCAACGAGGCTATATTTGCTGACAACTGAACCACAGCTTTTCCAACTGCGCTCAATCGAGCAAAACGAACTCGCTATCATCGCTGACACGCAGCACAAAGCCATCTTCGTCTTTACCGGATTCACCATCGTCTTCCTCCCACTCTCGTTCTTTACATCATACTTTGGCATGAATCTGAAAGGTATCATTGACACTGATAAGACACAGGAGTACTACTGGAAGGTGTGCGGCAGTGTGGCATTCGGTATTGTGTTACTGGTGTGTATATATGCTTTCAGGTATCGGATCAGACAGAGTCTGAGCAGGTATCGGTCGAAACAGGAGGGTTTTGCTGTCTGAAGCAGTGTGTAGTCATGCAGTTTTCACATTACAACGCAATGATTTTCCTCAAGAGACATCGATTATCAGCATCGGGGGCGAAGAAGGCTCCCAAATGATGTAAACATGCGATGTTTGACGATTGAATTGGACTGAGACAAAGATCAATCAGCTTACAGCTGTCGCGCTACCCACCATTAGCACTTTGCCCGGTTCGCGATGTATGCTACATGATTTTGGAGAAGCATGAGAGAAAGCCAACGCTAGTCATCTGCGTTTATGGTGGGCTCACCTTCACCGACCTGACACTAGTCGCCTGTTGCTTGACTAGCGCGCTACTTGCGCTCTATACACTGAGAGCCCCTGCCTCCGCATACTCTCGAGTTCACCACCGCAACCACAACCTCCGACAACCGTGTCTGCCCACTATGACGGAACGCCAGTCAACAACCACCACCGCGGCCAGCGAAGATATCGATCGAGACGTCATGTACGTTACGGCGCGTATGAGAAACGAGTTTTACTGATGAGAAGAAGCTCCCAGCGACACCAGTGCGACTCCTCGCTCTTGCACCTGCCAGCAGAACTGCGCAATCACATCTGGGATTGTATCTTTTCCGGAATTACCTTCCACGTTTCGGACCCTGATCAACGCATCTACGATCCTATCAAGTTGTTTTACGTAGAACGATACATTGGAACGCTGACCCCAGGTCTGGTATACGTCTGTCGGCAAATCTACGGAGAGACTAGCTTCCATCTTCTCCGCCACAGCACGTTCCGGATGATGAGTGTTTGCGCCTTCATGAAGTTCTTGGGCCTATTAAGCAACCAGCAGAGAAATGCCATCGAGGTCATTAATACACACACGGGAGCTCTCCAGGGTCTTTTTGGCAACGGACCGCCCAGGGAGATCTACAATAACTTACCGGATTTCTGGACGTGGGTCACTGACGGCGCATGGTCTGTCGACATGTCGCTTCTCAAATTCGCCCTGTTCGAAAAGCTGGGTGGGCTAAGAAGACTGGAGCTGCAGATTTGGGGCTGCACTGACTTGAAGCCCATCCGGGTTGCGAGGCGCATCGTAAGGATGGCGCTCAAACAGCTTGGTGCGCCTGACGGCATTCGCCTGAGACTCCAGGTGGAGAGGTTGAATTGGCAGAGTCCAAATCGTAGAAGTAGATCATAGGTCACCGTGTCACGATCTCGGAATTCGAAGTTGCGACGTATACTCAGGGAAAACAGGGAAGGTTTCGAAAGGCAGAATATTCGGAACCAGCAAAATAGATGAGCAACGACAGAGTACATTCATCTTCACAATCAACGAGTTCTGTGTATTTTCAGCAAATAGAAGATTTCTTGTGCTTGAGGTGAGACTATGATGTAAGGTCTCAATGCGTCACTGCCTCGGATTCTATATCTCTCTCCTACTTGTTCACAGCATTCTTCAACGTCTGCCAAGTACTCAGCGTCTACCAGGCCCCAAGAAGTTGTACGATGATTACAAACCATTGAAAAGCTAGGTACACTTCGAAATGTTGTGGAGAGAACCTATGAAAAAATAATGAATAGAGAACGCTTAGGTGAGGATGCCGTTAAGACAGCTTAGTGCGCATGATGGGAATACAACTATCAATCAATCACTGCTTAGTCCACATACCTTGAGCTCAATATAGACCCTCGTTTGCGACGCATAACAATAACAATAATATGATAATTCACCTTCAATGAGCGTCGTAGAAAACTACCTTGCGGCGCTCCGACCTCTTTCACCTTCGTCAGGGTCACAACACCAAAAAAACCACTTTAGCGCAGCGCTAACAAGCGCCCCACTTTCATTTCGACTGCCTCAACTTCTTTGCCTTTCCACTGCTTCTCCTCTTCCACAACACTCGTCTGCCAAGGTCTCAACGCCCCATGCGACCAGCAGCGACTATGGCGGCGCAACTGACTGAGAGCGATACCGGAATGGCTGTCACCGCACAGGACAAGATGTGTGTTGATATCCATGTTTTGCGCATGTAACAAGTACTAATCTTTGGACTCTAGCACCCTCCGCAATGCCGAACAATCCCCACTCCTCCGTCTCCCAGCCGAGCTCCGCACAAAGATTTATCAATACACACTTGGTGGTCTCGAGATCACGCTCACACGCTCCATTATAGCTCAACGTCTGTGCCTGAACTCGAGAGAGCGCGCAGCAAACGACGAGCGGCATCCTCCATTTTACAAGCTTCCTTCGCCATCAGCCACACTGCTAAGCTGCCGGCAAGTCAACTCGGAAGCCAAACTACTCCTCTTCTCGTCCAACCACTTCAGCATCGAGAGCTTCGAGCCGTTCATGGAATTTCTCGATGCTTTGAGCCCGGCACAACGCAATGCTATCGGCACGGTGCGCATTGTTGGTGTTGGCTTGAACAGGACGCTTGGCAGGCATGACCATCACGGGTATGTGCATGATTCTGACAACTTTGATTCGGTGTGCAAGCACGGACTTCCTCTAGGTAGACTCGCCGGGTTGAAGTGCGTGGTGTGGATGTACTACGATAGTCCGAATATTGAGCGAGAACGCTACCCAGAACATGTCGTTAGAAGCATCGTGCACGAGCATGGTGGACCGGCTGATGTGGGGGTGAGATATCACGCGTATTGTTGACGGTCTCGGGGGTCTTTGTAGGAATATGGAGATGCCAGAATTGGACTTGGATGCATACGTATCTTTGCAAGAGGGGAATGATTCGGGTCAGACGTGGCAATCTGTAAAATTCGCTATTGGCTATTCGAATCCAGTGATCTGTTCAATATCAGTGTAGACATGTAACCCCAATTTACGACATGTGTGAGATGCAACGTCACGAGATGCAGAGAGGCGTGATTACTGGGCGGAGCCCTGAAGTCATGTTGTTTCATAATGCATGTATGCAGCCGTGATCCAATCCATAAGCGTGAGCTAGCAGTTACCGGCCCATGCTGTTGATCATCTCCCTCTGTGTCGCCCGATCGCGGTTCGTCTGGCTGAGCGATGGGATGCCTGGGGATTGTTAGCACAAGGATGCTCCTTGGTATTCCATAGCAATTCTCACTCCTCAGATCTCCAACAACGTCCTTTGCCTTGCCAAAGTAGACCTCCTGCAGCAAGTTGCGCATCTTCAGCTCCATGTCCTCGACCATCTTGCCAATGTTGGCGACATGCGATGTGTCGTCCTCAACAGCCATGTCGGCTTCTACCTGGCGCACCATGTTGCCGGAGAGGTCGAGGCCACCGAGGGCTTCGCTGTCGGTGCCGAGTGAGAGGATTACGGTGGACGTGAGCTTGTAGTGGGCGGTGCGGGCGCGGTCCTGGGCGTCGAAGACGTGGATGCTGTCCCAGCTGCCAGAGCTAGAGGATGAGGGGGATACAGCTGGTCACGTCAGTATGTGGGCATGATCATGTGACAGCGTACACACCCTTCTTCAGCAGTACGCAGCCTGCGAAGCCGTCGTCCATGTCCCAGAGGTAGACGCTCGATATGCCGCCCTCGAAGTACCTTTGCACGTGTCAGCACCATCCACACCACTACCTCGATGGCTAATCTTACAGCTCCCTATACACATCAAACGCCTCATTCGCCTTGACCTCCATCTTCCTTATGCGGTCGCTGGGCGTGACGCCCTCCTCAATTGGCGGCTCGAACTCATTGCTCCACGGACTGCGCCAGCTATCGCCGTCGCGGTTGTAGTCGCAGCACAAGAAGTCACGCTTAGTCTTCGAGCACTTCTTGACTGTGAGCGGGATGTCGACGGATTCGAGCAGGTCTTCTTCGAGCGAGGGGTTGAGGGATATGATGTTGTCGACGTTGCGCTTGACGTCCTTGGGGTTCAGTCGCCGTAGGAGGTCGCTGGAGCTATTAGCGGGACTGCAATTACTTGGCTATGAAGTGGAAGCTTACAGGGCGCTGTCTATGGGGTCGGCCATGCTGTGGTAGGAGAGTACAGACGAAATGGGGCTGTATGTGGGACTGTTTGGGTTGTCCGAGTTGTAGTCGACCGCCGTGCCATGCCCCTCGATGCTGTCTGGCGTCGGCGCTCGGTTGCGCGAGTCATGTCGCTGCCCGCTCATCTTCGCCGCTGGTACGCGATGTCCTGAGCCTCACCTTTGATAACATCCGACGGGACGTCAGGACTTCAAAAGCGAGAAGGGGTGAATTGACATAAATCAGGGTGGGCCGATTGTTTTGCAGGAAGTCGTGATCCGCCCGCCGCTCCTGCCTTGTGCGGTCGCGCTTTCACTTCACTGCACTCACCACGGCAGTATCTCGAGAACAACATCTTTCAACCATCACCTGCCATTATGCTTGCGACGAGGAGCCCTAGTGAAGCCGTTTGCAATCAGAAAGACCAGGTCCAAAGATGAGGTCCAAACTGCTACCGGGCGAGCTCCATTCCACGTGCAACACCTCATTCTCAACGAAAACAGCTGCCAAAAGCAGAACGCGCAACACCTTGAGGTCCTCCAGACGTTGTTGTCAATGAACTGCCACATGTTTTCTCACCTGGGCCTTGGAAGGTGAGCAGTGATCAAGGCTGAAGGCATACGAAGCTTGAAGTCATCCTACTTGCAGTGCAACCGGGCTGGGTGTCCAGCGTACGTCAGTCGGGATCCGCGAGAGATGATCGTCTATCCAAGCCACACATCAAATATGTGGGATATTTCCTCTTTCGCATTAGGGCTGACCATCAAAATAGTAGACTAGGCAACATGTAGTTGATTTCACGAGGCGCCGTGCTGCTAGCGCCACTCATCAGCCCTACCATTCATGCCTGAAATGGTATACCGTGCAGCTTGGTGGGATGTATATGTATAAGAGCTGGGAGGAATGCACAACACCGGGTTGAAAATCCTCTCAACCGCTTTCGAATAGGAACACCACTACAATGACTACATACTACTCGTTGTCTTCATCAAATCGCCCGTTCACGCCACCGCAGCCCAGCTCTTACTCGTCAACATCGTCAGATGCAAGCTTACAGCAGCCCATCGCCATCCCGGCTACTTCCGCAGCTCTGGGCTCACCTTTCCTCCGTGCCTACCCCATCGAGCTCGAAGCATACAACATCCCGGCCGCGACCTTCCTCTCCTTTCTCGATGAACTCAATCGTCTCATGGTCGTCAGCCCGCCCGTAAGAGTCCTCGGTCTCGCTGGCAATATTGTGGGCCTGGTACCTCTCGCAACCGCTCAAATCGTTGGTGGCGCCGTGAGTGCCGCTGCAACCATCACCAACGTGGGCATGAGTAAGGGGCGCAGCGAGATGTTCATCCGTGAAGCAAACAAGAAGACATTCGGGCCACATGGACTAAAGATCAACATCGTCAAACTGGAAGTTGTTGCCAAAGCAGCCGGCATACCTATACTAGATGCTGCCGGCAAGATCAAGAGGGATACCAAACTCCTCGCTCCACTCGACGACTCAAGTCAAGATCTGTCTGGCCAGCATAGACGGCTGATGGCTCTAGCACCATACACAAGCCCCCTGGAAGTCACACCGGAGACTCACAAAGAAACACCTACCAACATGATCGACAAAATGCACGCTTACGCTTCCGAACGCCAGCGCTCAAGCGAGGAGAAGAAAATTCTGGAGAAGCGCGAAAAAGCCGCCCGCAAAGCCTCTAAAGATACTGACAAGGCACAACGAGACTACGAGAAGGACATGGCTAAACTCAACGCCGAGGAAGACAAAGTACGGAGGAAGGAGGCGAAGAAGGCAGAGAAAATGGAAAGCGAGCTACGCAAACTCGACAAGGAGAGGGCGAAAGTCCAGCGCGAATACGAGAAGGAAATGAGTAAGACTCAAGGCGGAAGCGTAAAGAACGACAAAGAAGAAGTCGCAGTCCGCAAGATCCTGTGGCTTTTGATCCAGCGCGAAGATTCTGCATCCGTGCAGCCACAAGACACACTACAATACTGGAACTCGTCGGCACAGTACCAGGAGCAACTTGCAAGATACAGAGCGCGTTCGCAGTCTCAAGGCTCAATACACATTCCGGCTACGGGGCAGTACCTGAATACGGGTCCGTATTTGGGTGGCGTGCAGTATCAGAGGTATCATGCGCAGGTACAGTCGAGGGAGGGGTTGGGTGTTGATGCGCCGCCGAGATATCAGGAGAGTGTGGGGTACTAGAGAGGTAGGGGAGGAGAAGTTGTTGATTCATTCTGGGGGATAGATTTTGATTTGTGTAAAGTGAGTGCAGTATACAACGCACGATGGTCGATATTCCCTGCTCCTACGCATCACATCCTATGCGTGTCCGCAGCATCTTGGGTGTCTGCCTTGCTGTGGTGCCATGGCGTTGTGCGGTGGCAGTCCAGCACTTGGAGGTCCATTTCCCACACTCATCGCCCGCGCAGGTCCTCACCCATTTGGGGGACCGGACATGGCGACGTTGTTCCTTCTCTTTCACGGCTTGCGCAGATGCCTATATTATACAACTTGGCGCGTGAGATGCCGCCAATCTCGACGAAACGGTCGGTTTGTTTGGAGGTGGCATAGTAGTAGGAACATAAAGCCTTGATCTTCCTTAAGTGATCCCCACCCCACTGTTGCACGTGTGTGAACGGCTTGTTCCAGCTTATGTCGTCGAAGAACTCAAGCTCGAGCAGGGTGCAGTCTCGGAAAAAGACTATCCTCCCTTCGTGGGTTCGGTATGCGTAGACATGCTCGAAGCGCTTGTTGACATTAACAGCACCGACGAAAAGAGCTTTTGGAAGGTATGACTTGTTGGTGTCCGGCAGCATACTTGGACAGAAGACAATCATGCGTGGCGGCATCATGTACACACGTGTCTCTTTCGGGATGTTCGCGTTGAGCCATTCGTAGAGATCCCAGTAGATGTGAGTGCGATCCGGATGCGGCGACACATGCAGTGTTCCAGGCATGATTGCGATCGAGCAATCGTGTTGTCGCAGTGGAATAGAGGTTGTGGAGCAAAAGTAGGTTGGAGTATGAAAAAAAAACAAGTTGCGGAGCAGAAGCGGGCTGGAGTTTCATAGAGGCAAACGCTCAACTGCTCTTTCACCTTGCACTGATGGCCGGCATCGGAAAGCGCAGTCTTGATCTCCTACCACATGCTCTTAGAGTGCGGGTCCATTTCATTGTGTGGGAGAGGAGACTTGACATTGTTATCTCAAACACTGATTTGTGGTTGGCCGAGAGAAATAGAGAGAATCCATGTGTACTGAAGAGACATTGTGTACGGGATAACAGTGTGTAGTTATATTGAAGTGTTTGTTGCTACCATACAAACGACCAAACAGTTAGCTAATTATGCTCCACTATTTGCGCACTGCCTACTCTGAACATTTCTCAACTTCCTATAGCTATTGTAGATATCGATGTGATTCTATATATATCGATTTCGAGACCTGTTTCTCATCCGTAAGACAAGTGGTGTAGTAGAAATACCACCACCAAAGTTTTAATGGGGCTTCACTCGAGGGGTCGTCAGTTCGATTCCTCATCAAAACCGTAAACAAGTTAGAGTCGGGTGCGACCTGATTTATTTCCATATTATTTGCTTCTTGCTTTCAAAGCACTTAGGACTTAGCATGATTGATGTGGATCGCATTTTCTGGAGGTACACAAGATTTTTGGAATGTACCATAGTCGATAAATTTTGCTCTTGCGCACTACATCCTGAGCGTGCACTTGGGGTGTGTCACCGTGGATCTCTGCCATTGCACACTATATAAATTCCATGTGGAGGAGAGCACCCAGATCTCGTCTCAGAGTTGCACATGCTTTCATGGCCCAACGTGCAGGTACACAGGCATACCTAGACAGACAATCTCCCTGTTACTGCCCATTGCTTGTCGGTACCAGGAAGCCCTTACATGGGCACATTCGGCTCTATCATCTGGGTCGGCGCGCACCGCGACTTCCCGATCGGTCACGATGCGGCACATGATCTCCTCCTTCACCTCGGGCTTGCTTTGAAAATTCCTCCTCGACATTGGCAAACGGGCTTTGGCTAATGAGGATAGCCATATTGGATATGGAATGCGCGGAATTGAGGTGACGCTGTGTTTGTCGTGCACTCATGGCCATTGTATCGCACAATCGCGCACTGCACTCTCACTCACTCTCACTCACTCTCACTTACCAGCCATCCTCAGCATCGCGCTAGTGGCAGCGGCACACAGGACATAAATACCGCCCACCTGCCCCGTTTCCTGACACTCTCGACATCTCTTTTCAAGTGCAGTAGGGCCAACCTTTGACAGCTCCAACACACTGCTCTTCGTCACATACCACCCCACGCTCTACCACCTGACACCCACTTCACATCCACCCTCATAACCACCACTATGTCCGACTCCAACGAGACCGGCGCCGCATCCAGCACCAGCGCCTTCACCGACCGCGAGCTCCAAATGCTCGGCTGGGCCATGCAGTCGCTCAAGACCGGTCCTCCCGAGGTACCATACACACCCCATATCCCTCACATTCGCATTCTAACCCACCGCAGATCGACTATGAGAAACTCGCCGGCTTCGCAGGCATGTCCAACCCGCGCTCGGCCTCCAACGCCTGGGCCAAGATCAAGGGCAAGCTCCTAGTCAACCCCGACGGCGCCGTCGCTTCGCCTGCGCCCAAGAAGACTGGAGGCCGCAAGAAGGCCGCGCCTGCAGATGGTGAGGCAGCGACGCCCAAGAAGACTGCGACGCCCCGCAAGCGCGCGGCCAAGAAGCAGGATGTTGAGGGCGAGGACGCGAGTCCCAAGAAGAAGGGTCGCGCGGCGAAGAAGTCTGACGAGGGTGAGTAGTGTCGTGAGATATGTTACATGAGGCGAAGCTAATGTGTCATGTTGTAGTTGTTAAGGAGGAGGTTGATGAGGCTGAAGACATCAAGGTCGATGCTCCGGCTGAGGTGAAGCCTGAGCTCAAGACTGAGGCGGAGGAAATGGTTCAGGAGGAGGTCTAGATTTCTCTCTGAACACATCGAGGTACGTCGTGAGTGTTAAAGTTCTACTGCGTCTTTTACTCACCCAGCCAGATCTGCGTCGACGCTGCCGTTCAGGCTTCGCACTTTGAGTGTGCCTGACACGTTGCGATGGTAAGACCTTCTCTTCTGGCGTTTGCTTTCATCTTGGACGAGAAGGCGGCGCATGAAATCGGCCCCTGGAAAGGTTTTGCAGAAGCTTTGATGGCGTTATGGATGGGAACTCGTCGCATGGAATGATCGATCTACGGCGTCAATGGAGGATGAAACGTCAGCATAGCGCCGCAAGTTAGCTGTTCTTCACGACATGTCGACGCGGTCGCATCAGCAAATGCATTCTTCACATTCCCATCTCTTTTCAACTTTGCATGCGATTTTGTGGTGTCTGTTTATGTTGTTGCAATTATCTCGGCCCGCCGACAGGTGCTATATCAGCGCTATTATATGTGTCATGGATATTTCGAGCCGGATGATACATGAAACACTTGAACTAAAAAGACTTTACGGGCGCAAATTTGAATGCTCTCATATGAAGAAATTTATGGTCGGAGAATGAAAAACGCCTTTCGCGAGATTATCGCCTTGGGTTTGGGCCGGAACATGGCACTGACCGACTAGATTACAGAGGATACCCAAGCGCATTTGAACATTGATGATCCGTGGCTCTTGGTACATCGCGTGGACTTGCACAATGCATTGCGTGAGAAAGCAGAGGAAGGCTTTGGTGGGAAGAAGCCGAGGATCCATCTCTCGTGTGCGGTTGAGTCGGTTGTACGTCAACACCTCACCGAGAGAGATGTTTGCAAGATAGACCATTGACACTGATGACAGGAGTCTTCTACCGGGGCATATCACATTAGTAGACGGACGCGTGTTCCAGTCAGACCTCATCATCGGTGCAGACGGTATACACGCAAGTAACTCACCTTCTGACCACATTATCCGCTAACATCCTTCCAGTCCCTAACAGTCGAAGCTGTCACCGGCGCTCCCACAGAGAATATGAGCACAGGGAAAGGAAAGAGGCACGTCTACTCGAATGGAGGCCGGCTTATACTGTCGAACGTCGACCGCGTCCTTATCCAAGACTGGAGTGCATCAACTGCTGTAGAGTTTGTCTATATGAGAAGATGGAGTCGGAGGCAAACATATGCTTGATTCAAGTGATTGCTCTTGGTTAGCCGGGGGCGGAACCCAGGACCGCATCGAAGTTTGATGTATCCTGCAGCAGCCATGCCTCTGTCTGAAGGTCAGACGGGTTGAGCCGAAAAGTCGTATACATGCTGTCTAACACCCAGCCCACGCTGCTCAAATCGTTCGGGAATTCAGAGATGTTCGGAGCAGCAAAGAAGTCGGAGTCCACAAAGGCGGGGGCTGTGGCGTCAGCTGGCGACAGGAAATTCGACTGGTGATCTACTGGTGAGTGCCTATAAGTAGGCATATGCTGTCAGAACGCATGTCTGTGCCCACTGCACCAGCATGCCAAAAAGGCAACAATGATCGATAAATAATCGATCATGTGTGCAGAATAGTATATATCGTACAGGCCTGCCGCGCGGCCTTACACATGCAACATGTGGTGTACTTGCATACTTTGGCACACACATTGACTCTGGCTTTGGGCATATCATGTGTTTCTAAAGACCGATGTGTCTCAGCTGGTTGAAAGTCTGCATGCGGGTCTGAAGCACGTCCGGTAGCAGCCGTCCTTCACCTCCGAGGCGGCTCGTAAATACAGTCGGCACCGGCAGCGAAGCACTTTTCACACGAATGCTTGCCATTGTATTTCACTTTGGCATCACTGCAGTGCTGCAGCACTTACGGGCCTGGAAGATACGCCGCCGCTCGTTCGAATCTGATGAGCATGTGCCGGCGGCTGCTTGCACATGGGTTGAGCTGCAATGCCGGGCGAGAGAATAGACACATACAAAGCTGCTGCTACACAGTGAACAGGAGAAGGGCTTCTCTTTTGTATGGTAGTGCTCGCGCCCTTGGAATATGTTGTTGCACTCGTGACAGATTCAGTGAAGAGGCATGGCAAGGAGTTGAGGATGCAGCTAGTGATATGAATTGGTGTGTGGGGAGAAGCGGCAGGCCGGAACGAAGACTGAATGGGACAAATATAAACGATACGAGTCGCATCGGTGAAGCGTCGCATGTCCGTGGGCGGGGAAGCTTGTCCCGTTAGCGTTCGATTTTGCCGCAACTCCATCTAGCAAGTGATCGATACGTCTCCGTCTTGCTGCTTCCTGATTACCTTGACAGCATCTTAGCGAAATCATCCATGTCTCTATTAATTCTTGCTTACATAACTAGCTACTAGAGAAGTTTCTCTACTTAGACTCTACCAAATTATTTTCTATCTCATCTTGCTTCTTTCATTTCTAAATAGTGGAAACAAAAACCTTATTATTCAGCCTTGGTTACAGAGAGATCTTGATTAGACGCCCTGAACGTTTAGCTGGGGTTGCACAGCCAGAAACGCGTCACGCTCTCCGACCGCGCGAATCTGCAGCACCCCACTTCAAAATCCCCTCAACCCTTGAAGGCTTGCCCATCTGCGTTGTCGATCAATATCGGATACGACTGCAGGTCAGCTGGACCTAGTAACTTGGGATGAATATGTGTTCTATTTCTGGATCGCATCGCATTTCAACAAGCTGCAACTACTCCAGGGCTCGCGTCACGGTTGATCGTGTATGGCGAAATGCACCGTGCAAGTCTGCATTTCTTCAAGTACCTCTACATATCTTGAGCTTTGCGGGGCAGGTGTTCTTCCTTTCGTCTATGGCTTCGTTGTTTAACAATGGAGCCGACGGTTTCAGCTAGATGCACCCTCGCCTTCCCTACAGCCTAGGCAATCTACAATATCCGATCGCCGCGGCTGTTGCACAAAACTCACTGCGCAGCGAGAACACGTCAATCGAGATACGGGTCCATTAGAGCTGCAAGCGCGCCTCGAATACTTTACTCTAGGCTGGTCGCCACTCAAAGCCCGCACATCGTGCTTGTCCATCAACGTCGTTTTGGAAGCGAGTTGCTGCTGACCGCGAATATCTGGGAATAATGTCGCACAGCAGTCACCCAAATGAGGACGTCGCCAGGGTCTTGACGAGGATTACATTAGCGTCTGCTTGAACCTAGGCGTACGCGGCTCCTCTACACCGGCCCTGCAGTATAGTCTCAGAGAAACGGGCCGTACCCGACCGACGTCTAGATGACTGCTATCAATGTCAGTCAAAACAGATCACGCTTGCTTATCCACTACTTGCGAATGATATATAAAACACTCGTTAAGATCATCTATGTATAGTCATCCAACTGGTCCTTTGATCTTACCTCAGGCTACAGTTGTGTAGATCATCTCCGCTGAGGGCGTTTACCTCAGCCAATGTATTGAACATCCAATAAGAACGTGAGCTTTCTCTGTGGAATTGTGGAAGGATCAATCGAGCATCAGCCTGCAGCTCTTCTTACACCACACTGGAAAGCGCCCCGTGAGTCAATATACGCTGTCCTCATGTATAGGAAAAGCTTCAACTTAAGTGAGTGATCTCCTTGTTCTCGACTTGCGCTCTCTATTGCGGGCCTTCGACTCCGATAGCAGAGATTGAGAGATGATACTATTACCGTTGCTGCTGCTCCTTGGGGGCGTACCATGCTCTCTTGCGAGCCCGCATCGCAACATCGGCAGGGGAAACATTGCCATCATACCAAGCGCTTCGCCGACAAAGCCGTCATTACCCTCCGCAACACTGGATCAGAAGCAGCATTCCAAACATGTCAACGATTTCTACAAGCTCTACGGATGGCTCAGACCCAACACGATAGTGCCGGACGAAGATCTAACCAAAGCCATTCGGAAGATACAGAGAGTGCTTGATGAGCCAGTGGACGGAATATTCAGCGATAAGATGATGGACATTATGACAAAGCCACGTTGCGGAACAGATCAACCATACAACGCGACTGCAGCTGAAGCGCCGGCTGGGTTGCACAGGAGATATGTAGTCTGGGGATCGAAGTGGGCGAAGTCGACTGTTACCTGGCGATTCGATAGTTACTCTTCTGATCTGCCTCAAGCGCAGCAACAGTCAACTGTTAGGTAAAGACGCCCATGCTCCATCTATTACGCTGCCTGCTCCAAGAGCGTTCAATCCTTGAATTACTGTTTCGTTCACTTCCCTTTAAACAGCATATTTTCATCGCTGACGTGATCATAGTGCCGCCTTTGCATCCTGGATGAATTTCATGCCTATCGTATTCCAACAAGCTGCACCCAATGCCAGAGCAGACATATATATCAAATTCAAATCACTGGGTCGCGAAGATACCCGCTACGGCTTCACATCCATGGTCTCTGACGGTGTCTATCTGCAGTCAGGAAGTATCAACGTGACGCTAAACGATGACTACGCGTGGACCGACGACCGTCTGTTCAGCTACACCGCAACCCACGAAATCGGCCACGCACTTGGTCTCAGTCACAGCGCAGTGGAAGCCGCGGTCATGTTCGCTTACTACGGAGGTCTGATCCGCCCATTACATCCCGATGACAAGATGGGCATACACGAGATCTACGGCTGGAAAACACCTCAATGGAGTCGCATCGACGCAAACAGCGGAACAAGAAACATCATGCAAGTGACCTCAACCGCATCAACAAGTTCAGTCAACGATGGACTCTACCAACTGCGTTCGAATGGCCAAATCCTCCGCTACGCCAACAGCGCCTGGTCCAGTCCCGACAACAACCCCGACACTATTCAAATCGCTGGCGCGGCAGGCAAGCTCTACCAGCGCCACACCGATGGCAGCACATATCTCTGGACCGGCACCAGCCAATCCTGGACCCCCATCGGCGCCGCCTCAGAAAACGTCATAGACATCGTCGCTGCGTCAGATCAGCTCTACTCGCGCCGCAAAGACGGCTGGGTCGTGCGCTACACCGGCACAGGCACCTCGTGGGTGACCATCGAACAGCCTACGGCATCCATATCGCGCCAAATCGCTATCACGGACTCCAAAACACTTTGGAATTTGCTAAGTACAGGCGACCTTGTCCGGTCTACTTGGCCACATACTTCTGGCTCCTGGCAAATCGTTGACCAGAACAGCGCCAATGTGGCGATTGCTGTGGGTGGTAATGACTTCTACAAACTGCAGGCTGATGGTCTGGTAGTGTTTTTGAATTTGAAGGAGTACTATTGGCCAGATCATTGAGGATGCGGGCGCGGTGGGGATACATGCGAGCGGGGACTTCTTGTATAGTAGACATGGAGATGGGACGGTTTGGAGATATACAGGCACGCAGTATGTGTGGGAGGAGGTCGATGAGAGGGGAGATGTGGTCAGTGTTGTTGGAGATCGGATGGGCGGGGTGTGGAAAATGGTAGTGGGTGGGGAGATTTGGAAACTGGTTTCTTGATTTGATATTGCATTGTTATCCTCAACACATGAACTACGCGGTTTGCGATGAAATTGCTCCTTGCACCACTTCGATTTCCACATTGCGACCTTGCGGCAATGTAAAAGTTGACGTCCTGAGAATCAGGAGTCCAACTCACCAATCCGAGTCACTGACATACATGAAGTCTTCTCCAGAGCTCGGGTCTTCGCCACGGCTCCGATCATCAAGGAGATAAATAGCTGGACTGGCGCAAAGACACTCGTCGAGCCAGTCGTCCTCCTCCATCTCGACAAGATTCGGACAAATAGTCCTTGCCCGCCCCGCGATGTTCTGCCGCTCGCGCTTAAACGTCCAGTCATTGCCATCAAAGATCTGACGCTCGTACACACGATATCGAAGCAGCATCCAGCGAATCGCCTCGCGCTGCGCAATCAAGCGCTTGTCCAGCCACTTGTTCATCGCGGTTTCGTTCTGGAAGGCAAAGCAGTTCTCGCTGTAGATGAGCGTCGCAGTCTCTGGCGTAGATCTGGCGACACACGCGCGGCAGAGAAATCGCCAATTGCTTGAGATGATCTGGGTGAGCGCGTGTCGAAGTGGTACTACGCGAGATGAGGTGGCGTGCATTGAAGTAGCAGCCGATCCAGTTGGGAAAGTCTGGAACAGAAGCATACTGGAAGATCATGTTTCTGATCTCGGCGGGGAGACACAGCAGTGGCGAATCTGTGGCATTCGCAGTGGTGCTGGGAATGTTGTCAGTCATTTGTTTAGTGGACCTCCGAGAGCATGCGAGACGTACATGGCATCGAGCTTCTTTGACTTCTTCCAACTGACAAGACCTTTGGTGCGTGTGTATCGTTGCTTGCAAGTAAGTGGAGCTCGTGGCTTGCGTGTGGAGCCTGCGTCATTGGCAGCTTTGGCGCTACTTGCAGTCTTGCGTTGCGTGCTGCTGCGGAGCGTGGGCGCCATGTTGTCGTGCACCAAGGGTTGGCGGTGTGAAGAGTGAGGAGTAGGAGTGAAGAAGAAGGTCAATTGGGGTGTGGCGCGTCCGATGGCTGATGTGGAAGGCACGCGTGTGCACGTGAGCGAGACATCACATGAGCACCTACCCTGGTGCCCCCACAACGAGTACCCACGGGCATCGACCCTAGCAACTCGATGCAGTGTAGAAGAGCCGTTGGCATGATACTTGGGTTAGAAAGGAAAGCTTGAGATATGCTCTGCCGAAATGACAAGTCAGGTACTTCTGGATCTTGGTGCAAGATCCAGCCCAGATCTCCGCACTCTCAGCCCTCTTGCAACCTCATCCAGCTCTTCGATACGTTGATCTTGCTCTTCGAGCAAGTGGCGCAGCTTCATGATCATCTGGGACTGCGAGCGAATGATGTCCTGTTGCGAGGCCATGGTTTCCTGCTGCACTTGGATCGTCTGTGCGTCAGATGCGATGATATCCTCATACAGAGTGATAAGAGACGCGGAAGTAGGGTCGGCGCATTTGCTGTCCGAAGTTGGGGATAGTGGGGAGAAGGAGTACGGTGGCGGTGGTGGAGTGTGTCGTTCTGCCCGCTGAGGTCCTTTGGATGGCAGTCGTGAAGACGAGTTTGCTTCAGATGCGTCAGCTTGGGCTGTGTATTTCAGTGTAGAGGAAGCTTTACCAGTCCTCCTTTGTGTCGGATTTGCGCGCTCACTCCCTGCTCTTCCCGGCGACGAACAACCCGTCCTTCTCCCTTGCACCTGTATCGCAGCAACCCTGCACACCTCCAGGTTCAACCCGAAAAACACAAAGGTACATGCACTCAACGACCTCAGCGCCAGCCACACGAACGCGACATACGCCAAGATCTTCGCCGCATCAGGAACACTCATATTCGGATTCGTCATCGTGTGTGCACAAAAGGCGTCAAATTTCCATCACCGTTTCCAGCTTTCCCATCTCCACACTATATATCCAGTCTTCCAGCCTTCAAAGCTAGGATACCCGGCGTGGCTGAGTCAAAGTCGTCGGTGTGGGATGGGCGGTGTCTCGAATCCAGGTGTTCACGCGCAATGCTCACGCGTTAGCGAGTGAGACACTGGCGTCCGCCTGAACGTCTTCCGATTGGTCCAAGACCGAAGACACCACACCCTCATCGATTCTGGTCCACTCGAAATATCCTGCTTTGGGTTTATTGAGGGGGTGTTCGCGCGCTCATAGTGCACACCATCTTGATGGTTCGCGCACCCTTCCGCGACGGGCCGTGGTCATGATCGGTGTTTGTAGGGTCTGGAAGGTGGGGTGCGATGATGGGAGATGTGCGCGGCGTGTAGCGATGGCGCCGAGCTGATATGGAGCATGCGTCCCATTATTGGGGACATGCGTCGCGATATGATGTTTGGAGGGTTGTGCCAATATCGGTTGTTTTTAAGGACAGGCAGCCACGAGAACACCCGTTGACGAAGTGGAGACGAAACGCATAATTAGATCGTAATATTAATATCGCATGGGTATCTCATCTGCACATAACAACTTCCATCCCTTTCACACCATTTCTTTTGCTTTTGGTCGACCGTGCCGTTGCCTGTCGTCATAGATTTCAGACTCTGTCACATCCACCTTCGTTGTGACAGCGATGCGTCCCAAGCCACCGAAACCAGGCTCGCTGTTCAGCCTTGCGATACTCTCCGAACTGTCCTTGCCCTGGTTTGGCGAGCTCCTTCCAGAGGATAGTCGGCTTACATCACCGCCCATGTGCTTCTCCGTGCCTATGGTAGTAAGCATGTATGCATCCTTGCCACCATAGCCTTTGTAGTCGGTATCCGCCGTCTTGTTTGAATGTAATTCGGAATAGTTTCTCGAGCGCTGCGGTGTGCCTGGTCCATAGGGTCTCGATATGTACTTAGAAGGCTCAGTCTTGCGCGTTCCACGTCCGTATGTAGAGCCGAGGACAGTGCGGAAGAGAGGTTTTAAACATGGTAGACAACCTGCGATGATGGCGACGTTGCACTCAATGACTGTCCAGATGGTAAGGTCGCGAGAGTCCCATAGCCAGTCACCCGAGCGGCCATAGGTGGAGACGTATGATAGCTTGACGACCGCTGCAGCAGTAGCGAACATGCCGAGACCGAGGATACCAATAATCGAGGCCTTTTGTCGTCGGTTCATCTGCACGTTCCAGAGCATCGGAATCTGCGTGTCCATTAGCACTATGCGGAGCGGAAGTCTTTGCGTTGCGTCAACTCACCGGTATGGCGACTGAGAAGGCAACATCAGTCAAAATGTTCAGCGCCTGATTACTATAGCTCAAAGACTTGAGTGTCTTTGTGCTCCAACATGTTCCCTTAACGGTCTGATCCCATTGTACACGAAGATCGGTGCATTGCAGCACGATGGTGAAGAAGCACCCAATTGTGTAAAATGACATAAAGCCTATGCTTTTTAGTTGTTTCCTTACACAGCATATAAAAAGTTGACTTACACATGATCCCAATGATCAGCTTCTTATAGAAAGGCTGCACAGCGATGCGGAGCAAGAAGAAGCCGACAGAGAGCTTGGTCAAGCAGATTGCGAAAAGATACAGCGGTTGGGTGACGAAATTGAGTCTGAAAGAGTTCTGAAACTCGTGAATCTCAATGTACTCAATGTGTCGTCCAGCTCCATAGTAAACCTGAGGTATGATAATGCATTGTCCTGCAATACACTTCCCAGTCGTCAGCGTCATGAAGAAGTGAAAATCAGTTTCGAGCAACTGACCAATATCATAGAGGTTACCATAACATAGTCCTTGGTAGAGTTTGTCAGTGAAGATTCCACCAAACGCTGTCGAAAATGCTTACATCCCACCCGACATTCCTGATCATTCGTAACCTCACATACAACCTCGCAATGACGGCAAATAAGGCAGCGATGGTGACCGTCAAGGTGGCAGCAAGGATGGTCGGTCCCTGGTTCTCATCTGGCCGGACAGGTGGATTGTCGCGCTGGGACAATGTGTTCATCGTGAATGCTGCTATAGTGTACTCCCCTACAAGAGGTCTCCTTCTTGGAGGATCAGCAGGTTCCTGGTATATAGTCGATGTCAGTGCAGATAGGCCCCGCATCGTGCCGTGCATACGAAGCTGGAGTGGAACCCCTTTCGGCATACGGCCATGCGACGGGTTATGTGTCAAGGTGTGGCGTGCATGACAAGTCGTCTCAGATGTAAGCGATGATTGAATCAATTTACCCAGCGACTGCGACGCTAAGGAGCAATGTACGCTTCCAACTTCGACACTGTACCACATTTCATTTAGAGGATCGCCGCCGTGCGTGCTTTTAGCCGTACTTGGTAAACTTGATAGATAGATCGCACTAGAAAGGAAGGCGGCTTTTCAACACGAGAGAAAACCAGAGGCAGCAAAGAATTGCCGTGGTCAACGATGAACGAGTAGCGAACCGCTTCCTGCATGCTTACAGAACAAGGTTTCGGGCCTTCTGTGCATACTGAATCTGGTGGGCCAATGGGTATAGAACCGCCAGCTAAGGTGCGGATTCAGTATCCATAGTTGGTATAGGAACAGCCAGGAAGATCCTCTCTCTGTCAGCTCTGCATGTTTTGCAAGCATCGTCTTTAGTCAATGAACACGAGGAGCAGAAAGCCTACAGGGTTGCAACGTGATTGCGGCACTGGACATGCACGTGCAAGACCTGGAAACATATCATCCTTGGTTGGTGACTTGGAAGGTGTAATCAATTATGCAAGAGGCGAACCTCGGCACATTGCATGCAGTGTGTCCGGAGGCTTTGGGCCTTGAGAGATAGAGGCTTTGACGTCCGGGTCATACGGAGTCATGAAGGTATCAGAAACCCGTCTCTGATCCTTCATACCTACTCGGAGTAATGCCTCTTAGTGATCATTCAATACTCGGGTATTACTCCGTACTCGACTAATGGCGGATGGCGATTTCAGGCCCGACAAGAAGCCCCTTCCGCGGTTTAGGCCTTTAAGCCAATCAGCATCCAGGGGCACTGGCCGGAGGGCTCTCCTGAAGAAGCTAAACCTGGGGTCAAAGTATGTTTGTAGCGGCCCGCCCTGAGTGGCGGGCGCCTATCTGGCACGGGAAGCGTGAGGAAGACTTCGATGAAAGTCGTCGAAAGTCGATGAAAGACGATGCCGCCGAAACGAAGAACGAGTTTAATTCAGATGTAAACCGCGCCGCAAGTACCAAAGCTTGGTCAATCAACCCGGCTAGGTGAAGCGGGAGAGCGTCCTCCGGAGATGCGGGTCAACAGTGAAGATCGCTAAAGATCGAGTTGATTCAAGCTCCACTTCTGCAAGCGACTCGATTGGCGCTGCCGGAATGTGCCATTACATAAGCACCTAGAGTCAGTTAGCGCCGGAAACAGGCACCACCGCCTTCCTCCGTCCTTACATCAAACTAAAACACGTTTTATGCATCACTTCTGCCGCCTTCGAGATGGGACAGCGACTAGCATTCTGCTGCAATGAACCGACAGGCTGGGAGGATTCTATCGACCAAGGAGGTAGCGCTGCTGGGATCGGGCGACTCTAGCTGCTTTGTGCGCCAAGCGAGCAAAGCGACAAGAAGATGAAGCTAAAATCTCGCCCGATGTGATTCGCAAGGGACCGCCGCGGAAGCGGGAGATGGGCGAGTCTGGGTGACCCGAAAACGTGCTACAATCATTGCGCAGGCCTTCGTCCTTCCATTCGAATACCACACACGGGACGGCAATGTGGCTCAAAAAGGGATCTATGCCCGGGTATGCACATGTGTGGCGTGGTTGTAAGAGATTTCTCTGAGCTGCCATTGAAGATTCCTGCAATATTGTCCGACGTATTGCGTGTTGAGAGGCTGAAGGTAAGGCCAGGATTCCATGGAGTCTACAGTCAACATATTTGCTTCTGCCATGCAGGCGTTTATGGGTCCCGGTTACCAGTCCTTCGGCTGTACAGATGATGTGTAGACGATCGCGTTCAGCATGACTCTGTCGGGTATTCGCCCCACATCGCGAACACTCGCAGGCTTTCATGGTGTACCGTGCGGGTTATTGGAATCGTTCGTAGATTCTCGTCTTAGCTGGAACAAGGCATGATTGACTTGGTTCTATCGAGCACTCTCCGACTCGCAGCAGGGGCTCAGGCTAAGGAGCGGAAGATGTGTCTGAATGTGGGGAGTCAGTTCAAAAACACATGCTTGGGCTCGAACAACAACTGCCGGCCGCTGGCATACACGTGCCATCGGCCTTGTTCAGTCGCACCATCTGCGGCTAATCGAGCTAGACGCATTGCAAACGGCGTCAATATCGTGTACTAGCTATACTGCTTCTGACCTAGCACGGCAACACAGCCGCGTTTTTCAGGGTCTTTCCTACGTGTATTCGGCGAGAAGTGGAGTAAATTGTAATGCGCCAGGTACAAGTGTATAATTGGCGTCAATGCATGTGAGTGTGAGCTCTAGCCTTCTGCAAGGCGATGCTACGCTCAGATCTGTGCGAGCACCTAGCTGTTCTGCACGGCACCAATCTTATCTTCTTCCACCGATACCGAACAATTTGGTCTTCGCCCCAAGCCCGCATTGCTGAAGAAATGTAACCGAGACGGTGCGGCAAAGCCATTTATATGCTGACAGGCAGCCCGTGGAAATCTCCATCGAACTTTCTGTCAAAGTCGCCCCGGCCCGCGTTTTACAGTTCAGCCTCCTGCATTCCTGCGGATCGTATCACTCTTTACTTCTATCTCAGAGTTCTTGATCGTTCCATTCAAGATGCGTTTCAGCTCTTCCATGGTGCTGACGCTGGTGGCGGGCACATTGTCGTATGCCTTACCGGCTCCTCAAGAGGGTGCTACACTACCCACGGCAGCCTCACCCGATACCGAAGTTGCCGCGGAACAGCTCGACCAACTAGCTCTATTTGCACAGCAACAAGTCAATGCCACTTTATCAGGCAACGATTTGAAGCGAGGGACATGCAATAGCAAGAATGTTGCCGTACGCCGAGAGTGGAATTCTCTAAGCAACCCAGAGCGCAAGGCCTACACCGATGCTGTCCTTTGCTTCCAGGCAAAACAGGCCAAAACCCCTTCTTCGCTCGTTCCTGGAGCGAAATCCCGATTCGACGACTGGGTAGCGACTCACATCAACCAAACTACCACGATTCACTACACCGGTACTTTCTTGGGGTGGCACCGATACTTCACCTGGCAATACGAGCAAGCCCTCCGCAAAGAGTGCGGATACAAGGGATACCAGCCCTACTGGAATTGGGCAAAGACTGCTGAATCTGGTCTTGAGAAATCGCCGATGCTGGACGGTTCTCCCTTCTCCATGTCCGGCAATGGAGAGTTCATTCCAGGCGGTAAAGAAGTTAATCTCGGAGGAAACGGCCTGCCCGACTTCTGGCTTCCTGCTGGGACCGGTGGTGGTTGCATCAAGAGCGGACCCTTCAAGGACATGAAAGTCAACCTCGGGCCAGTTCAATTGGGCCTGACCGACGGTACTTCCGTCTCCAACGGCGATGGTCTCGGCTTCAACCCGAGGTGCTTGAAGCGTGATTTGACCGATTACTCCAACAAGAACTTCGCCAACGCATCCTCCATCGCAAGCTTGATTCTTGGCACCAAGGATATCACTAATTTCCAGAACACGATGCAGGGCCTTCCCGGTTCGGGCAGCATCGGTGTCCATGGTGGCGGTCACTACTCCATGGGCGGTGACCCCGGCCGCGATCTCTTCACCTCTCCAGGCGACCCGCTGTTCTACCTCCATCATGGTGGCATTGACCGCGCCTGGTGGATCTGGCAGCAACTTGACCTTAAGACCCGTACTGGTGCCAGCGGTATCTCCGGTACTGGCACTTTCATGAACATGCCTCCTTCGCCGGACACTACTCTCGACACCGTCATTGACCTCGGCTACGCCGCTGGCCCACCTGTCAAGATGTCTGATCTTATGAGCACGACTGGAGGACCTCTTTGTTACATTTACGTCTAAACTCTTCCAGGGTGTTCTTGTTCTAGCAATGCTGATACCACAGTTACGGTATGGAGTTATAGATTATGACCAATAAAAATATAATATTGTGTAATGTTCAATAGCCCCAATCTATGCATACTATGAAGAATGTCCTTCGTGCCGCGGTGATGTGTGTAGAAGGATGCGACGAAACACGGGTCACCTTAAACCACACAAGCCTACCGGGTAGACGTCTTCCATTGTGTATCCAGTCCTTCACTTCAACACCAAAATAGCACATCTCCACTTCTATTACGTTTCCGCGAAGCCGTGAGGATTGAGCCTGACACGTGCGTGCGACACAAAACCAGTGGCCGATGCTTGCCTGATCCCGCTGGCGGAAGTAAGGTCCGGAAGAAGCTTGACAGCCGCGAGTCGTGAAAGTTGGGGAATCCACCTGGCGTGATTGCGGAGCTGCAGAACATGAGTTCCTGAGTCATGTTCGTTGTGTCGAGTCAGTCTCGGCGTTGTGGGTCGACAGGTAGGTAAGTGGATCGCAATTGCATAAATCTTCGGAACACGCTTCCGCCAATAAAGGCGAAGGAAGCCTGAGGATCAATAACTTTTTCACAAAGCCATGAAAATAGAATTCCACGTGCGCGAGATGTTAGCACGTCACTCGGGAGCGATGGACTTGGCTCTTCGGTCAGTATTTCGGGTATAATACTTTTTTGGCTACTAATCTAAGTTACTGATTGTTTCTGAATAAGACTTCTAATATGCCAGACTTGTACAGAGTACTTTCTTTCGTGACAATCTACGTGTAATACTTCTCTTCTTATTCGCTTTCCGAACTGCGTCAATGTTTACCTGTATCACATCTTCTACGGTACCCAGCTATTTTTTGCTGTTACCTTGCTTTTCAGCAGGTTTTGAGGTTTGCTTCAACTTGCGGAAATGTACTAGCTCCACCTGTCTTAGTCTATCTACCGTGAAAGTGCAAAAAGAAGGCAAAAAGTGTAAATGAATCAGGTCGTTCCCGACTCTAATTCATTTACGGTTTTGGTTAGTTGAGGGATCGAACTAACGACCCCTCAGTTTGAGCCCCATTAAAACTTATAGTGCTCGTGTTTCTACTAAATTACTTGTCTTACGGATGAGAATGTGAGCTTGCTAAGTCATATGTAACGGCCTTTGGGAAAATCTGCAATAAGAATGGAGGGTGAGGGGAATAGAGCGACCTACGGACAGGCAGTGGGTCACATTCAAACTGATCGTTTGCACACTGGAGATGAAAAGGATGGATTCACTATGTACTCCTCCTGCTTGTACTATCTCTTTTAGCAAACAGGATTGCATTTTTAAATGTTCTTCTCAATCCCTCATGCAACGTCGTTGATTTGATGACCCGGGATCAGACTCTTGACCAGTAGTGGTCAAACTTCGCTGTCATATCTGAGTGTTCCACATTGTGTCAAGTTAAATATCACTTGGTCCCAGAAAGGGCTACTGCAACTACGCATGCTGAGGGACCCTAGCTCAGCGTCGTAAAGGGAAGAGCAATCGACGAAGGTATCAGGGATCTCGGGATGTGGCCCAGGTAGCTTTATGAGTGCTCGTACTACACACCATGGGCAGGGTGGCAAAATGGTTCAACATAACGACGTTAGCATTTAGATCCCAACCAGATCTCGGGAGGTTCTACAACCCGCACGTCATGCAAACATCCTATGAATGCGGCTTACTGAACAAAAACTCGGAATCTGGGGCGTGAAATGACCGGTGCCTGTTGTCGTATGTGTCGCACCCCGCGATATCGGGATAGTTTGACTGCTTGTAAGCTCCCAATGTCAATGACGCATTAATTAGTCAACGATTCCTACCTAGGTACATGACTTGAACGCGGACCCTTATCATTGTGTGTCCTACCAAGGGGAACTGCCCACCAGGTACCTATGTAGTCATAAATGTAGCTTACTTGTAGCTGCCTGCAGGTGGGTACCATTGACGTGCACGAGCCAGGACCCTACTCTCACAGTCACACTGTCCCGTTGCAGAAGCAAGATGTAACAGGCATGAAATCTTCCGCAGCTAGGTAGCAGGCAAATACTTAGTTTTGCTGGTTCCAACACTGCCATACTCAGCCTATTACTGGGCCGTACTAAGTACCTAAAATTGTCTCGAGAGAAGTCCCCAAGGTCTCTGGAGTTGTTCACTTTTTCTTTTATATAGCAAGTCCCCTGAATTCTCACACTATTGTATTGTAAGATTCTTCTTATATTGCTCATACCCAGCTTATTAAGTGCCGCATTTTGCAATAAGAAACACGAATGAGGAGCCGTAAGTAGCTCAAACATCGTCTCAAACCACACTACAAACCGCATATGCTACCTGAGATACTCTTTTACCTGCGTAATTCGATCTTTCCCATCTCTATTTCCAGTTCATCGAGTGTTTTAGGCTCTGCCCTGGGCCTCCACCTCATATTGTCGGCTCGCCACTTGTTTACCTCTTCCGGTGTACATAGCTCCGTGGAAGATTCTCTACATGTTGCGTAGCTACCAGTCCAAACCGCAGGCTCTATTTGCATCATATATCCGAAAGTGCCAAAAGGACTGAAGGGGTCCTTCATCCATTGAAGGTTATCGTCGCATCGGCATTGCCCTGATGTGCGCCTGTCTTTACATTTGTGCTCATAATTGTCTTTAGCGCAGCAGCGGCATCCTGCCCAGAAAATTTTGAATTGTATACAGTGTAGCATGTCCTCGATCCCAGCTAAGCAAGCGGGATAACCGATCGTGTTGGCAGACATGAGTACGCTGACCACCGGTTTTATGTAAATAAATAGTAATGGTATTGAGCTGTTGATTTGAGGAATAAAATATTGCAATCGTGAGTACTGTGTTAAAATGAAAAAGATTACGGAGATGCGGTTTTTATACGCGCTCATGACTTTCCTACTGCCGACTGATCTGGTATGTGGGGTCATTGAGACAATGACGAGCAATCGGACTCCGAGCTAGGAGCTGTCATGCATCATGGTTATGTTTGACTAATTTAATCGAGTTGGGTACCCATAGGTAGGTATGACTTGATTCCAGAAACAGTCACTGCCACACTGGACCGTGCACGTCTAGTTCGTCAGACATGTATCGAGGGAGAGCCTTCACGATAGTAGAGCACGAGCACTTCGCTCGCATGCTCGCTCTATTTAGATCGTTTCTCCGTCTCCTTGCTCTTGTTAACATCTCACGTTTTTCTTCAACCTAGCGACCATCTACCAGCGCTGGAGGTATTCGAAGTTATGGCACTCGTACGATCATTGCACCTCCCACTGGGCCAAGTACAATCTCTGACTTGAATATAGCATTAGCGACCTTCCTCGGTCACCATTCCTAGATCTCCTGGGCGAGCTCAGGAACGCCATCTACCAACGTCTGCTCGAAGACAACTGCTACGAAATAGGACAGAATACCCGAGTAGCACCAGATCACAACTCTCTCAGACGTAGTCTTGCTATTCTATCCGTAAATCGCCAAATCTACGCAGAAACCAAGCTTCTTCCTTACTCTTTGGGCAAGCTCCTCTTTCGCGGATGTGGCGCCTTAGAAAAGCTCCTCAAGACTCGGACAATGGCACAAGAAGCTGTCATACAATCGATCATTATCAAGACTAATTGCCATCTGATTTTGGACTGGCAACTCGGGTCGCTGGTTGGATCAAGAAGAATAGAGAGATAGAGATCTTCACGGAATCGTTCTTCTCTGAATCTTTTGACCGACGTTGGCTAGTCCCGCTTGCAAATAAGACCTTTTCATGTACTGGGAAAATAAGCGCTGTCAAGCAAGGCAACGGAGATTCACGATGGGAAGTATTTCTGTCAGCACCCAAGGAAGGACTGGTGCGGTGCTAATGGGTGCAAGCGACCACCATATTTCGAGGATCGTGCTAGGCATTGTAGTCCCAGTCTGTGGTGACTCCAGAAGAGCTTCAAGCTATGCAACATCTCGAAAGGATTCAATATCAGATTAATGTATGCTCTTACACAATCATAAACCCCAAGATATTCTCCGAGAGCTTTGATAGAAAATTACTCAATCCAGTTCTACATTTGCATTTGCTAGCAAGGTACAGGTTACAAACGTTGCACTGGCTTCATGCGTACCCCTCACATCAACTTCCCCTCGTCATTTCTGCGCCCGCACCTGAAGTTCTCTCTATCCCAACAATTGCCATTCCAAGCATCGAAAAGGTATGATGACACAGTCATGATAGATCTCAATTCTGAACCTAACTGAACACTCGAAGGTGTCCAAACTCAAGCGCCGGTAATATGCAAGGCTCAACGCTCCTCGCCTTATCTAGGGAACTACGAGGCGAAATCTACAAGCACGGCTTCAGAAACGGCCGCTACCAGCTCCATATCGAAGACGGAATATTGTGCGGTAGCACTTACGGGCATCCCACCTGTCTCTGCTATTCGTATGCCGACAAACCCACGCAGAAACATAAACCTTATCGTATGTGACCAGCATCTTTCAGTTCAACTCCTAGCAATCAATGCGCGAGTTCTTTCTAACCCGCACTCTAGTTAAAAAATCTGCTATCCGATCAATAATGCTGCGCAAGTTCGCGAGCACGCGGATGCTCTATGACACCGCATAGATGCAGTTGAAGGCAGCAGATTTTGAGTGCTTGGCTGGTTTGACCGGGCTCGAGGAAGTTGAGATATTGGACTATGCGTCGAATCGGAAATGCTGCATGCCGAAATGGGTTAATGTAATAAGCAGGATAGGCTTCGAGTGGTCTCCGTATGTCAAGGTCAGCGCACAGGAGCTGCGTCCCGTCCGGGCCCGAGGCGGCCGTATGGTCCCCTTGTTTTTCTCGAGACGTGGTCGCCCCATGGTCTGAGCAACGTTTGATACAACTTAATCTTTGTCTAGTATAACATCAGCGTTGGCGTCTTCACATAACAAGTTACGGCGTGATGTTTCGTAAGCTGGTACACGCAGAAGCAGTTAGCGCGTTCGTTGCGGTCTTGCACTCCCCTAGGTGTTGTCGGTGAAAGTGTTCTCTGCTAGTGTCCCACTAGCGCGCGGCGCTAGCAGTTCCCATGTTTACCAATTCTACCTCTGGCTCTCACCATGTCCGCTCGACGCCACTTGCCAAGTGTAAAATTAACCTTAGGCATCGTTAACCAGTCGAACATGTCCGAAACCAACACGTATGTCGCACCTGCCTGCTCACCAACCTGCTACTAATCGCTGCAGTACACCGGCTTCACTGCTTCTCTGTCTTCCAGCCGAGCTCAGGAACGCCATATACGAATATGTTTTCAACGACCCCCATGATCTCCAAACCGAAGTCGCCCTTGAACACGGCGCCATACGTTTCTACGGCTACATTGAAACAGACCTCCTCGGCTTTGTGGAGCCCAGTATGCCTCTCCTTTTGGTCAACCGCCAACTACATACCGAGACCCGGATGATTCCATTCGACCAGGGAACATTCGTCTTCCGGGACCGTGGAACTTTCCAGGCGTTCCTTCAGAGTCGCACGCAAGACCAAAAGGCGGCTATAGCGTTTCTAAAGTTGGAGACCGTTGGAGGCCAGTTGTACCCGTACGAGTGGGATGACTATGAGGCCACGTATCTGAAGTCTATCATTGGTTTCAGTGGACTTAAAAGAATCGAGATCATGGACGAACATCCGCCTTCTTATCGACTTGTGCGTCTACTCGTCGATATGTACACCCTGGCTAGTCAAGGCTCTCCAGGAGTCAAGATCATGGTTCGAGACCAAGATGGATATTGTGGCCAGCTCCCTGAGGGAGGGCTCGCTGGACGCCCTGGCCCAGGCAAACCTCAGAGTGCCTGGAGAGGTGACTTTGGGCAAATGATGGAACTGGCGAAGGAACTGCACCCGCAAGCAGTATGATCAGTATGAACTGGATGTCAACTGGTGGTTGACTGGCGAAGAAGCCATGTCTCTACGATGCGTAACAAGCATGAAATACAACCCAAATTAACTGGAACTTCTCCTGTCGTCATGCCGCGGCGTTGATGGTGAACATTGGAAGGTGCAGCCCTCACTAGTGCATCACACTAGCGCGCTGCACCATCACACATGCCAATGCCAAACGTGAACTGCGCATCCGTAACATCTCACCGTTCTCCTGACCAATACCACTGCTCGCGGTTGATAGAACTTCTTGGCTGCACCAATATCCAACATGTCGACGCCCACGTCGTAGGTCGCACCTTCCATTTCACTGACCCAAACGCTCACCATGCAGCAGTGGCAGTGTCGTGCCAATGTCACCCCTCCTCGCCCTACCCGCTGAACTCCGCAACCTAATCTACAAGTACGCCCTGGGCGGCAACCATCACGCCCTGTACGAAACTACCGGAAAGCTGCACTTTGGTCCCGACACCGACAATCTCCTGGCTCTGTTGCGCACGAGCCGCCAGGTCTACTCCGAAACCCACCTCATCGTCTACTCGCACAATATCTTCGCCTTCAGTACCACGAAATCTGTCCACAAGTTCCTCAATGACCACAGCACCGAGCAAAAGGCTGCTATCCGGACTCTGGCGCTGCAAATCTTTTCGAGGACGAATATGATCAATGAGCGCAAGGCGTTGAAGGCGTCGGATCTTAGGTACTTGTCGCGCCTAACTGGACTCAGGAATGTGCAGATATGGGACTACTACTATGACGGACGTACGGTTGATACGACATGGGTGGGTGGTGTCTGGGCGTGGACGGGCGGGCGGAACATGAAGGTGGATATTTGTCGTCATAATTCTGACCTGCTGAGCTTCCAGAGCGTAGAGACGGTCGAGCGTCCGCGCGTCCCGTTGGGGGTCTCGTCTGGCTGAAGCATGATGTATTTCTTAGCGGCGTAAATCTGGCGGAGGAAGCTCTACGACGGGGTATTTCGTAACATGTGCAACAATCGATGAAGGCTAGAAACTCAACTCGCTAGCGCCTTGGTATCGCGATACTTCTACCCCAAGTTACCATCTCTTGTCTCAACCCACACTCTCCTCCTTCCTCACCCTCTTCCTGAGAATGTCGTTTCTGGGAGGATCAAGCTGATCGCTCTCTGCCTTGTCTTCGTTATCGCAGTCGGCTTGGTCGCTGCAATCTCGGTCGTTCGTGTCACTGTCACATAAGCCGCGCAACTCAGCCACACGTCTTCGCCCTCACCCGAGTTTGGCGACGCATTCATGCTGAGACTGCGCGTTTGCTTTACTCAGGGAACGCCTTTGCTTTCTTCGACCCATCCACTGTTCGACATTTCTTGGAGGAGCTTACCCAGGAGCAGATACAAGCTGTGCGAATCATTCGGCTCCACGTCTTGTATTGGCCCTTTGAATTCCATGAGCAAGGATACTGGAATTAGGACAGCTTGTCAGTCCTGGCAACGTCCCCTAACATCACGAGCATCCATATCAATGAGCTGTTCTGTCCAAAGGGCTATACGTTATCAATGCGTCTTAGTTCGAGCCTGCAGAAACGCACTCTGGAGAGGAAACCAGTGGTGGTGCTTACGCACTATATCAATGAGGAGTTGCGATAGGACCTGCTGAAGAGATATCTTCTAGTAATGGAGAGTCGACGTCGACGTCAGACTTGAAGAAGAAGTGGTCTTTTTCAGATGCGGCGGAGAGGAGGTCCCGAGGAGTCAGCCTACACCACAAAAGAGATGCGGTATCGTCCATGGCCATCAGGGAAAGCATCGAGACCATATTGAAGAGTGCGTGAAGGAGTGTAGTCTATGGAGTAAGTATGCATGGTTCAAATGTCTTCGACCTGTTTGGAGAGAAGAGAGTCTTTGTTGTGCAGAAAGGACATACACGGGAAGTCATGGTTGGATGGAAGCGAATACAAATTAAGTAAAGAAGCACGGTAGAATCAGCTCGAACGAAGAAAGTGAAGCAAAAGACAGCATAGCAGCTGTCGTCTTTCTGTGAAGAAGTTCGCGTGTAGTGAGTGACGTCGAGCCGTGAAGTGCGCTAGTGAGCGCGGAAGTTGAGCCGCTGCGCACGGCCCCGTCTCATTGTCGCTGTTCCTTCGAAGAACGCGCCCGACCCTGATATCACCCAACGACCACGACCTCGACTACCGCCGACATCAACCGCCGCACCTTTGGGATCACGTCGCCCATCATGGCGCCGCCCCTCGAGATCGCCGCCGCCCCGGACGACGCCTCGACGGGCGACACTTTCCAGCTATTGAAGCAGACGCTGGAGCTCGACATCAGCTTCTGTCCGCGCCAGGTCACGGGAAAGACGACACTCGACATATTACCCGAGAGAGGGCAGCTGCGCGAGGTCATCCTCAACGCTAGGCAGCTCAAACCGACCCAAATCAAGATTGAGGGACAGACGGCGAGCTTCAACTACTCGAACCTGCACCAGCGCATGACACTGTACCCCGGCACCGACCTCGGCCAATACCACTTCCCCAAAGACCGGATCCAGCGACATGTCAACGAAGGCGCGGACGAGCTGGTCGTGTACTTGCCCGACAGCGTCAAGATACGGGAAGTGAAGCCCGAGGAAGCCGGCCAGCCTCTCGATGCGCAGGGCACCTTTTACGCCCCGCTCAAGGTGGAGATAGACTATATCTTGGACGACTTCAGGGACGGGCTGCATTTTGCCGGCGTCGAGGATGGAGACTCCCGTTTCCCGCATGCCTACACGCGCAACTCGCCCTTTCCCGGCACCGCATCCTGCCTGTTTCCTTGCATAGACGACGGCGAGACTAGGTGTCCCTTCGACGTGGCCATCCGGTATCCGCGTACCATGGGCGATGCGCTCAGCAAGCACTCACCAGGATCAGGCACCGGCCAGGCGCTTGTCAATGGAGTAGACAAGGCGGACAGTGTCATGTCTGACTCAGATGACGATGCAGGGTTCTCCGAAGAGGAGAAGGCCATGGAGATGCAAGTCATCTGTTCTGGCGTTCTGACCGACGACGTATGTACTTTTGTGTGACCAGCGCCAACATGGTGCTAACATTCTGCAGATTCTGGATCCCGCAGACTCCTCGCGCAAGACTGCCAGCTTCACGTGCGAATCCCTTGTCCTCCCCCAGCATGTTGGATTCGTCATCGGCCCATTCGAGCACGTGGACCTCTCCGACTACCGCGATCTTGCCGACGAAGAACGTCTCGCCGAGAGCGCCATCAAAGTACACGCCTTTTGTCTGCCCGGCAGGGAAGACGAGGTGCGCAACAGCGCTATGATGCTTGCAAGAGCTCTCGACAGCTTCACAGAACGGTTCCAAAGTTACGCATTCGGCAATGCGTACAAGCTTGCCTTCGTGGACGACCTCGACTGCGACGCTTCCCATACTGCCTCCTTCTCCATCTGTAGCTCCAGGCTGCTATTTCCAGAGACGATCTGGGAGCCACTTGAACACACCACCAGGGTCTTGGTACACGCGGTTGCCAGCCAATGGATTGGAGTCGACGTTATTGCACGAGACATCTATGACTATTGGATAATCGTTGGGGCCTCTTGGTTCATGGCCGAGCTCTACTTGCGCGAGCTCTTTGGCCGAAACGACTGGAGATTCCGCCAAAAGTTGATGGTCGACAAGGTCATACAGATGGACAAGAAGCGGCCTTCGCTGCAACGCCTCGGCCAATACCTGCAGCTGGATCACGCCGAGCAAGAATTCATGGAACTCAAGTCCCTCATGGTTCTCTCCATCCTACACAACCGATTGGTCAAACAGAGTGGGAAGAATGGTGTTGATCGATGTCTCTACCGACTATTGTTCAATGCCCGTCAAGGCAAATACGACAATGGCGCGATCACGACAGAAGACTTCCTCGACATATGTGAGAAGGTCGGGCATCAGAAGCTCGACTCTTTCTTCAGTCAGTGGGTTGTGGGATCAGGATGCCCCAACTTCGAGTGCTTTCCGTCGTTCAACAAGAAGAAGCAAGTCGTGCAACTTCAAATTCGACAGATACAGGCAGATTCGACCGTCACAACCATTGAGAACGCTCTATCAGCCGACGACTTTATGCGAGAAGCGAAAGAGAGCGCACATGGCTTTCTGCATGGGAATGAGTTCCCGACTTTCGTCGGTCCTATGACCATTCGGATACACGAAGCTGATGGCACACCATACGAGCATATTGTTGATATCAACTCATCTAATGTAAAGGTCGAGATTCCCTACAATACAAAGTACAAGCGCCTGAAGCGGAATCGCCTGAACAAAGAACGACAGGCTGCCGCGGCTGGGCTTGATGCGTCAGGCGAAGCTCAAGAGGATGTCACCTTCTACATGCTGGGCGATGTCTTTGGAACAGCAAAAGAGCAAGAAGAATGGCGACTCAGCGACTGGCCTGCTGAAGACGAGGCCAAGATGGAGGGAGAAGCTTACGAGTGGATCCGCATCGACGCTGACTTTGAGTGGATATGTCGAGCGCACATCAATGACATGCCATCTTATATGTACGTTTCTCAGCTACAACAAGATAAGGACGTTGTTGCGCAGTACGAATCCATACAGTTTCTGGCCAGCAAGGAAGGGCATAGATTGATCTCTACATTCCTGGTCAAAACGCTCATGGACAATCGATATTTCCATGGTATTCGGACATATGCTGCCGATGTCATGGCTCAGAGCGCCTTGAAGCGAACGGAATGGACGGGGCTGTACCATCTTAAGAAGGCTTTCCGCGAGCTCTTCTGCATCCCAGGTTCCCCAATGACGCGATCGAATGACTTTTCAGACCGAAGCTTGTATCTGATACAATGCGCTATCCCAAAAGCAATCTCCAAGATCAAGGGCGAGGATGGAAGAGCACCTCTGGAAGCAAAGCGTTTCCTGCTCGACATCATTCGTTACAATGACAACAGGGGAAACGAATACAGTGACGACTACTACATCTCGACTCTGATGCACTGTCTGGCAGATTGTCTCACCGCCAATAAGAGTGGTGATATGGAGCTGTTCGACGCCGAGACAGAGCGCGACGAGTTTGAGTTCACCAAGAAGGCCATCGAAGAGCTCACACGTCATCAGCGTCTCGATGAATGGATACCCACGTACCAGAACGTGTACACGACAACTGCACTTGACTGCGCTCGCAAGCTCATCATGAATCGCGTCACTCCCTTTAAGCCATCCGAGTTCCTGCAGTATGCCCAGCTTGGCAATGCTGACAATGTGCGACTGAAGGCATGGGACTGTCTGGTACGGCTTGGTATGTTGCGGAAGGATGCAGTCTTGAAGTTCTTGATGCACGACATTCGATCTGATCCGTCGCCATATTTCAGGAAGCAGCTTCTACGTGTCTTCAGCTTTGCGATCGGTCAAATTGCGACAGGCGATGTCTACACGCCAGAGAAGCCCGCCGACAATACTCTTGGTGGTCTGGTAGTTGAGACAGATGCCGATAACTCGGACCGTGCCAGCCAGCTTGCCCGACAGAACCTGAACGGTGCCCAGCGAGGATTGAAGACAGACCTTCAAAACAACCAGACCTTGAAGGATGCACTCGAGGAGGCTTTGAATTCCAAGACCTTGTCGACCAGCGATATGTTGGAACTCCTGGACTTCTGTAACATGGTATTCGACCATCTCAAGCGCAACACACTGCCTATCGTTCTGCGTATGCCACGCTACTGGAGAATGGAGAACCTCGGACAAGGTCGCCTACGCTTCACACAAACAGGCGCCTACCGAAAGAGGTCGAAGCCAGCTCATGTCCCGGTTGTCGAAGATGTGGTTGCACCCGTACCCTTGGTGCCGATGGCACCTGTCGTCCAAGCCCCACCACCGGTGTCTGCACCGAAACTGAAGATGTCGCTAAAGCTGAAGCCAGCTGGATCGCCTCCGCCTCCATCGGCCGACCCGGGACCACCCAAGTCGAGACAGCAGTCGGGAATGTTCTCCCCACCGGTCGTCAACTCTCCAACGTCTTTACCAGAGTCGGCAAAGGCATCTCGTGCACCTACTCCGGCAGCTGCCAAGCCCGAGTCTCGAGCACCAACGCCAAAGCCCTCACCCGCACCGGTGGTAGCACCGCCCTCGAAGCCGGCGACTCCGGCACCTGTTGTAAAGACACCAGTTCCACCACCTGCGCCTCCTGCACCTGTCGTTGCGGCACCATCACGACCTGCGCCAGCGCCTGTCAGCATTCCAACTGGCATCTCTACACCACCAGCCATTCACTCTCCCATCCCGCTTCCAACGACAACGACCAAACTCAAGATCAAGACAAAGCTCGGCCCGGCATCCGCCTCTGCCAGAGCATCAGCAGCACCCTCGCCCCGACCGTCCGCTGCGCCCTCTCCTCGACCTTCAGCCGCCCCCTCTCCCCGACCCAGCGCAGCAGCCGTCCCTACAATCAAGGCCCCCACGCCTGCCTCCTCATCTGCGACGCCTAAGGGGCCAAAGCAGAAGCGCAAGATCGTCAAGCTTTTCCTGCGCCCGGAACTGCTCGCACGATTCACAAACGATCGCAAGAGAAAGCTGCAAGTTGACGATAGCGATAGGCCGCTTAAGAGGCAGAGTCTGGAGCCGAAGAGTGGGAGGAAGACTGGGCTCGTGCAGTGGGATAAGTATGGAGGCGACAAGCCGAGATTGATCGTTAAGATGAAGGTGGGCAAGGGGAAGTTGCCTATCGAATAGGCTGAAGAGGAGGGAGGGGGTAATGAGAAACGGGAATACGGGAAGGAACATTATGCATTTTCTATGGCGTTTATGGTTCACATTGCCACTCTCGTAATGCAGGGAGGGCGCATCGGAGCATAGGGGCATTAGCATTCAGCGGTGGCGTTTTATGTAACCAGTGGGCATTATACCCCCTTTTATCAAGCCCTGGCTTTTTTTCTGGGAGGGCGAGAATGATAACTTACCTAACTAGTCATTTTGTTAGAAAGAAACATGAAAGATTATAGATTTATTGCTGTTTTGGCTGCTGTCGGTGTTCTCGTGATATATTTCCCGGATCTGCTGTGGTGACTGTTTCATGTTCCTACAGTTTTGCGTAATGTCCCGATTCGATCGAAAGCGTCTATATCACCTCTTAGTAAATATGGCAGGGCCGTTGTGAGGGTGATGTATGTCTGTTGCTGGCTCAAGGGCCCTTTTCACTACTTGTTGGAGAATTGAGTCTGGCGCGTTTCGTCTCAAAGTGCGCTCATACTTGACTGATTAGGGTGTTGCAAGGGCGCTGTGCAGTTTCTTAATTCCCTAGGGGCCAAATGCTGCTACTTGTTCGCCGCAAGTAGCAAAAGCAGCCCTTCTACTCAACCGATGTGTAGTTTCTTCGGCAAGCGCGAACGAAATTTTGCTGCATCCTATCGACGGCCTCGTCAATGACTGAAAAGCTTTGGATTGTTCAATGTATTGATTAAGCAAGGTTGTTGGAGATGGTGATCTGGAAGCGATGCAGTACTTCATTGTGAGGAATTGCGCAGTGTTTGTTTAGAACTGCTAGACTAGAGTGTGCGCACTTGAACTCTACAAAGCCACAAATTGATGGCATGCTCGAACTAGGAACTGTGGAAATGTACAATCGCGTCAGAGAGATCCGCCCAAAATGCCCCACGTATTGAACATGTAGCAAAAGGGTATCAAATAGAAGTAGGAATGATTTACATGTGTTTCGCGCAAGACTGTTCTAGGCTCGCGCGCTCGATCAAACAGCCTCGGTCCTCCAGAGCAACCTCTTGATCGAGCGAAAGCCAGACTGGAACACAGACTTGCTGACAAGTGCTGCAGCAGGTGTCTGGTCCTCCGGCTTGAAAACGGCCTCAGTCATATCAATCGAGGACTCCACCAACTCCGCTGGAGCTTCGCCAAGGCTTGGCCTGGGGTACTTCCTAGGACGTCCTCGGCCTCGTTTGACTACGCAGGGGACTTAGTCAACTACTCGGGAGTAGGCTCGGTGGTGCTCTCACCAGGTGCAGCTGCCGGGCTCGCGGGGGCCGGTGTGTTTTCATCTTTGCCAATCACCGAGTCTGCGTCTTCGAGTTTCGCAGGCGCTGCTTCTCGGGAGGGCAGGATTATAGGGTCGTATGCGACGTTCTCGGGTGGAAGATCATCGGCGGCCCCTTCTATGAGCGCGTTACAGATCAGGCACTTGATGTCGACGTTAAAGTGTTTGGGCTCCTGCTTGGGCCGGTGGTCGGTGACTGTAAGGTATGTAGGTCCCAATTCGCCGAGGGTGGTGAGGGTTGCGGAAAAATCGACATCGGTACTGGAAGATTTGCGGGGACCTTTCGTCTTGTTGTTCGCCTGCGCATCCGCAACCGCTCGTTCCTCGAGGCAACGGGAGTGTAGCCATTTGGAGCAGGAAGGACACTGTACGACGCCTTCGTCGGGATTGCAGGGTGCCTTATCAATACACATTGAACGCAGCTTCGACAACTGCTTGCCCTTTGGCTTGCCCACGTCGAATGTCTGTCTCCAGAATAGCTGATCTTTAAACGGCATCGACTTTTCCAGGTCTTCGTCCCAGTGTATGACAGTGGCTCTGTCGATAACGCTCAGCGCTTCGATGATGTCCATGTGGTTGCTGGCGATGAGCTCCCCATCGGCATGGTGTGGTTGTCGGCCGTCAGGCAAATCTTCTGGTCGATAGAGCCAGTAGACCCTTAGATAGACGTGAGCAGCATCGCCCGCGCGCACTTCAAGCACTTTTCCTATCCAGTCCTTGATGGCGCTAGAGGCATCCTGCTCTTCCTCAGTCTTGGAGACAAAAACGGTCTGGCCGACTTGGAACTCGGCTTCGCTGATTGTGAACTTCCGATAGCGTTGGGTGCTCTCCCACTCTGCTGCGGGCCTGACAACATAATGCGTCTCACTCAGCTGGCTTTCAGAGAACGGGTTCTTCTGCACGATGTCTGCGTCTAGCGGATCATCTTTGTTGTATCCTCCCGTGTCACCAGTAGTAGGTATGCCGCCGGTAGACTTTCGCGTCTTCTGCTTCCTGTTTGCTTTTGGCGTCTTGATCTTCGCAGGATATAATTTGAAGCCCGGGAAGACCTTCTTCTGGTCGATGGTGGCCCAGTCAATCTTGCGTTTCTTCGAGGCAGGATCGGGCGTCGCGATGTCTGACGTCACGCTCCGATCAACGCTTTCGCTTTCGCTTTCGAGGCGCCTCTTTGAGGAAGGCACCATGCTTTTGCGTGGAGGCATGGTGTCCGATGCGTGAAATAGTAACGAGTGTGCTGCAACTGCACAACCAATTAGTGGATGCGCGTCTTGCGTGACGCGACTGGCGAGCTTGCTTGAGGTGAGCTATGACCTACGCGAAAGGACCAAACTACGCGCTAATGCCCAAGATTGGCGTTGAGAAGATGTGAATGAGAGAATCGAACTTGGGCGCGTGCCGCAGGCTCCCGATCTGAAACGTCCAGATGTCGTCCTCAGGCATGCAGCCGCCGTCATCCACGCGTGTTTGGTGTTCTGTGGGGTGACGCGCTGACGCCAAGGACGCTCTGGGGTCACGTGTGCTCGCTCTCATCTCGCGGTCCCGACGTCGGCAGCGACTACTCGCCGCGAAAAGCGAAAATACGGGACGTGATGAGATGATACGAACGATTCGAGAATAGAACAGGGTTGCTCGATATTGCCACTAAGTTTAGCTATTCCCCGCCTCCGGATCGATGCGTAGTCGAGTGCAGGCTAACTTGAGCTCCAGACCAGCCGTGGGCCGCAATACCGGATTTCTCGAGTCTGTTCTCCCAATGTCCCGAAATGTGCTCGACAGAGTGTGCAGATGCGCAGACTGCAGATGGATGCATGTTTCATGTACCGGTACCTGAAGGCTCGGCTATGCAGTGCAGGCGACCCCAGAATGTTCTGCATGCGTGCTGGGATGTTGCTCTGACAGCTGCGTGCGACCATTAACTCCGTGCGTCTACATTCCTTCTACTTGCCAACAAACACGCGGCCTCAGGCACAGCCACTATTCCCTCCACCATCATGTCCAGAAGGGGCTACTCAAAGTGCCGAGTGGTCCGCGCGGAGGACGGTTCCGATTAGTCTCCCATAAGCCCAGCGTGGTCGAATACGAGAAACAATTGAGTAAGCTCGCGGGCGGACCGTGTTGGCTGCATGAAGGAGGCCAGGATGGGACCCAGCACGGAAGTATTCAACAGAAGGTGTTGCGGATGCGATGCGACAGCGATTGGAACCACCAGCAACACGTCTTGATGGTCTTGTGGCTGGAGTGTGGATCAGGTTAGTCGTCAGCGCGTCCTACTTGAGGACAGCCAGGGCGTCGATCTTTGGGCAACGTCATTGTTTGCCTGTCGCATTGCCTAGAATTCCTCCAGGGCTCCACTGCGGACGGACCGTGGACTAAGAACCACATACGTACAGACTACATACATTCACCACTGCGCCGCTCCTTTGCGCCTCTCAATCCTCAAACTCCTCCAGCCCCTTGCATCGCAGCAACCATCTTGCCAGTCGGTCGTTACTCGAACCTGTAATATAGTGATCGCTTGTCTCTGTCCTCCTTGCCGGTGTATCCGTGGTGTTGCACGGCTGACCGTTAGCACCATTGACCACGCGCCGACTGCATCTGCGGTGTGCCCTGTACGAGAGCGACGTTTCCGTTTGGACGGAAGCAACTGCCCGTGGGCGCCGAATTCACCATGGGACGTCCCAAGAGAGGTAAACAGATGCGACTGTACTTCACCACGATGCTGTCTTTCTTCGCTCGCCCCAATTTGCGTGTCTGAGACCATGGGCTAATTTCGCCTTCACCTGCAGTTCTGTCTTTTATGTCGCAATGGGGAGGCAATGCACACCTGCAGAAACAGCCGCCCTCGAACACAGCGTCACCGGGGCCGTCGTCACCCGCTCTTCCCTCGTTTGCTCTGTCGGCAACCGCGCTCGACACGTATAACAACAACGGGCGTGCATCGCCCTCGCCCAACCACCAGCGGCAGTTCTCGACCGACTCGCGGCCTTCCTCGCGGCCCATGTCCATGATCCAGACATACCAACCGCCCGTCATGGAGGTCGGCGCAGACACGCTCCCTGAGCTCCAACGCATCTTTACATTTCTCAACAGTCATTCCAACAAGCTATACCAAGAGGGCTACTTTCTCAAGTTCCACGACACAGACGCCCGTACGTCAAACTGCCGAACCATCGCCGTGGGTGACACTGACAGCCTGCAGGTGGCCGCCCCGCGCCAGACAGAAAATGGCAGGAATACTTTGTCCAACTCGTGGGCACCATTCTCTCGCTATGGGACGCCAGCGCCCTTGACCAGGCCGGCGGCGACGCCGAGGTGCTACCGACGTTCATCAACCTCACGGATGCTGCGATTCACATGGTAAGTGTGCCGGTCGCCCAGCTGGCGCAGCGCTGACTCGGACCAGATCCCCTCCATGACTCTAAAGGACGGCAAGAAGCTCGACAACATCCTCAGCGTATCGACCGCGGCCAGTAACAAATACCTTTTCCATTTCGACTCGTACCATGCCCTGACGCAATGGACCGCTGGTATCCGCCTTGCCATGTACGAGCACACGAGTCTGTCGGAAGCGTATACCGGAGCACTCATTGCGGGCAAGGGTAAGACCTTGAACAACATCCGTACGCTGCTCGACCGTCAAGCCGCACCCTACGACGATTGGGTGCGTGTCCGTTTCGGTGCCGGAACTCCCTGGCGCCGCTGCTGGTGCGTCGTCTCTCCGCCGGACCAGAAGGAATACGCCAAGCTGCAGAAGACGCAGAAGAAATCCAACGTATACGACAAGCAGGCAGTCCTCAAGGGCGACATCAAGTTCTACGACTCTAAGAAGATCAAGAAAAACACCAAGCCCATCGCGACGGTCAAGGACGCGTACTCGTGCTATGCCATCTACCCGCAGTCTAAGCCACTCATCGACCAATCGACACTGGTCAAGATCGAAGGTAAAATCACGGTTCACTCCACCCCCGAGAGCACGACCGAGGGCTTTGTTTTCGTCATGCCTGAAGTGCGACCCGCGATCAGCGGCTTCGAGATTATGCTGCAGTATCTTTTCCCTGTTTTCGACACATTCAACCTCTACGGACGCCCTAAGAAGCTCGTCGCAGACGTTTTGGACTCGCGGGGTCTCATGTTCGGCATGCCTTCGGGCAGGCGCTATGGCTACTTGGAGATCTGGGACGTGGTCGGCCTCATTAACACTGATGGCAGCTCAACCTGGTCCGAACGTCAATGGCGGAAGCAGTTGAAGGAGCTCACCTCAACCCGCATGAACTCGGGCGACTCCGACTCTCCTGGTTCTAGGGCAACCAGGAGAAATACCGTTAGTCGTACCACCGGCGCTGGTTCCATGCGCGCCAATAGTCTAAGATTCGATGATCAGGGCTCGGTCCGCTCTAATCCATCCACTCGCCGCTCATCTCCAAGTCGACAAGCGCGTGTCGACTTTGAGCCACAAGGCCAACCACGCTCGGGTACCGCTCCTGCAGCAACTCCGTTCGCGTCTCCCAGGCATCAGCGCTCGGTCTCTGAGGCACAGGGTTACAACAAGTACCAGGGCGTGCCCTCACGCCTCGGAAATGGTCGTGGCATGGATGGAGCTGATCTCCCGCCCGCACCACCACCACATGCGTCCTTCAACGGCGGTCCCCAGAATGGACAGTCGCACCACTACCGCGAGGCTTCCGATAGTGACGAAAGCCCAATCCACGATCCAGGCAATTTGCCTCAGCTTCCCATCGCACCGTCTGCCCCGCCGCACGGACCAGTGGATGTGCCACCGGCTCTTGAGCATGCGCCTTACCAGCAGCCACCCGTTCGACCCACTCTGCCATCTGCCATGATACCAAACGCGGACGTCGACCCTGCAACGTATCAGCAGATGGCTGATGCCTCCAACAATCCAGGTATCGCGGCAGCCGGTGCCGCAGCTGCTTGGAGAAGTCAAGAGAGCATTCAAAGCAGACGCAGCGCTGATTACAATGCTTACGGTGGCGACGGCCAACAGATGCATCTGAGCGCACCCTCCCGGCCTCCGCCAACAGACCGTAACTCTAACAGCCGGCTGGCGACGATACCAGCATCGCCCTACGTGGAGCATGCTGAGTTTGTCCAGCCATCATCTACATACGAACCTGCGGCTCCTCCAGTGCCTGAACACGTGGAGATGCCGCAGCAGCAATGGCGAGAGGAGCTCCCGTATCGTCCGCATTCTGGTAGCGGCGACGGTCACGTCCAGCGAAAACCAGTCCCAGGTCGGTCCCCTTCTCCCTCGAAAGAGGATGACGCTCGCTCGACCAACAGCTCAAACCTCGACAGTTTACGAAACGAGATAGTTGATCTCGAAGCCCTCGACGCTCTCAACCACCAAGAAGCATTGCTCCACAGACAACAAAGCACATCTAGTAGTCGCTACGACGATGACGATGCCCTCTCAAGCTCCACCCCTGATTATGCGAGCGTTGCTAGCGAGGAGATTCAACCACGCAAACTGCCCACTAGAGCTCAGGATCGCCCCCGAAGTGGCATACTGAGAGTTGTTGGTGACCCCAACCTCAAACTCAAGTCTGATGTAGAGGAGGAAGAGGCTTCGCAGGTCGTCGCCAATCGACACCCGCCATCAGCAGATGTGCCAGCATTCGACTTTGGTCCCACGTACTCTCTTCCTCTAGAGGCCAAGCGACCCGGTACTAGTGGTACTATGACCCAAGAAGTACACGACGGCAGCTTTTCGCGGTCAAGAGAGAATCTCACACTCACTCCCAATGAGCAAAGACGCCAATCATACATCTCCGGACGGACAACGCCGAATACAATGCTGCATATGCGGAGCGGCTCGGGCTCCGCAAATGCTTCGGATTCGCGAAGCGTTGCTTGGCAGCCAGTCACGATAGCATCACAACAACAACAGCAGCAGCAAGATAACAGGCCAAAGCTTGATGCAGAAGAATGGGTCAAGTATCGCGCAAATCAATCGCAAAATTATGTCTACGGTCATGGTCGATCCACTCCCGAACCCTTCGGAGGACGGCAACGATCTGGTGATTGGACGCATCTACAGCGTACACCTGAAGGCTCTCCAGGCGCCGTCCGACCTCCCAGTCGGCCGTTGAGTCGCCCACAATCCATGGGCGCCGATGCGATTTTGGATTACCGGCCGACGTCACTGTCAGCACAAGAGCAAGAGCAGGTTGCTCGCATGACAGGCACTCCATTGCTGTCAGGCGTCACCAAACACAAGAAGCAGCAGCCCTCGCAGGGATTGACCGGGTACATTGATTCCCGTGAGAAAGAGAAGGCTGCTGCCAAAGCGGCACGCATCGGCCACTCCCCCGCAATGCAAGCAGAAATAGACCGACGTCTACTTGCTCAGCAGCAAAAGCAGGTGGCCGAAGCTCAAGTACGCCAACGCCAGATGCTCGAGATGCACCAACAGCAGCAGTTACAAATGCAAGCAAATATGGCACAGAGCCAGTACGCATATGGGAGCTACGCAGGTGCGCCTTCCCGTGCTCCGAGTGTCATGGGCATGTCAGTTGGAACTCCAAGTGTAATGGGCATGCCGATGGGAACTCCAAGCGTGATGGGAATGCCAACTGGACCCGGCACTCCTCACGGTATGGTGGGCATGGCGTACTCCAGCCCGAGTCAGGCTCCACAGCAGATGTACCAAGGCCAAGGTTACTTCCAACAGCCAATGATGACGCCGAATACGAATGCAATGCCAGGTGGATGGGCATCACCTTCTCCTCAGACGCCGCAGAGTCAGTACTTCCAGCAACAGCAAATGCAATACGGACAACAGCAGCAGCCAGCAACGCAACCTTACGGGGCGAGCTTCGATCAAGCACAAGCGCGACAAGCACAGCAGCAGTCTTACTCTCGTCGATAGTCTCAGGGAGAGCGGCCAGCGACGCAACCGTACGGGGCGAGCTTTGATCGAGCACAAGCGCGGCAAGCACTGCGGTCGTACTCTCGTCGATCCTCCCAAGGAGAGCAGACAGCGCAGTCAACTAGGCGGTCGAGCTATGGATCGCATAATTCCGGTCGATCAAATCGGCTTCAGTAACCTCACCTCTCCTCGGTGACGTTTCAAAGCGGTCTGGGATGGCGTCATATTACAAAAAAAAGTGTGCATGGTAGCAACACATCGTAATGGTTGAAGAGGTCGAGGAGCTTTCTTCTGTAAATACTTAGGGTAGATTTCACACATGGGGCAAAGGATATGGCGGTTTATGGGTACAATGGTGATGCATTGGGATGGTGCATAAAAATCTGCATTGTTTGTGCTTTTGCATTGTATATGACTCGGTGGGAACCACAATAAGACAGAGCATTTGAAATACATCTTGGTTGTGCATGACGTGTGTTTACTGTGATGTCTTGCGGAGGTGGTGATGAGGGCCTTGGCGCCCTGCGGAAGAGGTATATAACCAGCCGTCGACGTGCTGTACTTGTCGAAAAACCGCGAAGAAAGATTACGATGTGTTTCTTCCGGCTTCCAAGTCCTTGACCTCTCTTTTCGAAGATCTCAGTCATGTACATTCATGTCAGTGGCGAGTGGGAGCTTGCTCAATAAGAACGACTGTCAACGCATGTGAAAGAACAGAATCCAAATGAAGAAAAAATCGACTCATGACTTGGGTGTTGTGTTGGTCTCACGGCACGAAAATATGCATGCTCCGCCGGAATATGAGGAGAGCGTCGGGTGAGGAAGTACAAATACTTCTCGTCCTCGCCCTCTCCCATCCAAACTTTACCAAAAGCCTTTTCTTCCTCAAAGCAGTTGCTTAGAAATTCAATGTTTCTTGCGGTGCGAATACAGAGATCCAAAAGCAGTAAGTGATGGAACGATGTTCTGTTCAAAATGGAACCAGTCCAGATACATGTCAGCTTTCTGGGTCTTTCGACATTGTAGAGAACTAGAATGGACAACCTTTTGCCGTATGGCCACCCACCTTTTCCAGAGCTGCGCATATAAGTCTTCACGACCTTCTATAATTGGACCCGATAACTTCCTAACTCACTCTCACCTTAAGAAACATGCCAGTACACCTGGGATAATATTTCCAGAAGCACATGAAGCACATCTCGATGTCGGTTGCTCTCTTTCCTTCCATTCAACCACTAAACGCAAATATCAAATCCTACATGTAAACAAGCGCCTCGCAACCCCGCAGCGTGTCGCGCTCACTGTAAATACCCTCGTCCACATGGGCCTTGTACTCACGAAAAATGCCCTCACCCGCCTTCACCTCGCACGCATTGCAAACGCGCCTTCACCTCTTAAACCCACTCTCCCCCACCTACTTTATTCCTCTATACATACCACCTAAACCTCAACTCCTCCAACAAATCCAGTACACCTTAAATACGTGCTGGCGGCAACCCCAGGCTGACTACCTTGGCGCAGTGGTCGTGATAACCCATTAAGTTGAGTTCGACTTGCATGACAAACTGTGTAAGGTTTGCAAGTATCCTTTTGCTCCAGTGTTCGAATCGGGGGTGAGTCTGTTTTGGGGTGAGGTTTGTGTTCTTTCTGGTTAAGGGTGTGGGAGAGAGAGGTTAATGACGCGATGAACAGCAGCGTTCACGTAGAAGGTGCTGGATTCATTCTAAAAAGTCTATGGACTTTCTATACTAACTTTGTCGCAATCTTCTGTTTTTGTTAAAACAGAAATGCTAGCGCGCTATGTGTGCCTCCAGGCACGAAAATTCCACGACAGAGGAGCCTATGTGCTGTCCCAGATCTTGTGCGAAACTAAATGTTCTCTTCTTCATGTATCTGACTGTCTTTTGTCAGCTATCGAAGTATACAAAGACTACCTCTCTGCTTTAATCCTGTCTCTTTACACACCACCACTTCTGTTATTTTGGGAAAAACAAAATGGGTCCTGGAGTATCCTGTGTCGCATGTCTCCAAAAGCGGTCAACGACTTCATCATGAGAGCCGTTCTCTCTTGTTCCCCATGGGCCCCAACATCCAACTTAAACAGCATTTATCGCAAGCGTAGGACCAGACTCTTAGCAGGATGAGCATATATAAACCGCCTTCGTCGCCCTTCCACCTTCCCTCCTTTAGACAACACGCCTTTGCCTCTTTTCTAAAAAATTAAAAAGGGGGAGAGTCTGACTATGTCCGTGTCCATAAAAGTTGTGGAACATCGTCGGGATGTCTGCGCCTTTCTTCTCCGACTCTATTTCGAAGCATCAATGACACTTTCGCATGTCCTCTCCTCCTCTCCTCTCGAAACGACCAGACAACAGTGCAATGCGCCTACAAGTACCTGATGCAGTACCGATGTCTGCTCGTCCTCTTCTTCGTCTCAACAAAATCCTAATACTGAACTTGGCATGAGACTCTTTTGACCAAAACCGGATAATCATCGACGAATGTCTTCTCTCTTGAGCACAAAAAAGATCGACACCATCCACGCATGTCCGACCTCCTCCAAAAAAAACAAGTGCCACACTCTGTAATGCTTCCGCTACTAGACTCTTGTTCTCGACCAAAATACACGACTCAGGTAACGAATGAGTGTAGAAAAGAATTCGTGCAGCTGTTTTCTCCATGTTTCTGGGGGACGCCGGCCCCAGACAACACGAAGAAAATGGAAAATGGCGAGTGGGTTTGAGGTATGAGACTTATGTGGATCAGATCGCGACTCAAAAGCGCGAGGGCACATGCTCATGTTCTCCGCTTCTTTCGGGCGTTTGAGCTTGGGGTATGTATATACTCACTCTCCTCGCGCTGTGCTCTTCTTCTTCTTCTTCTTCAAGGATAGTGGAAAGGAGGATGGACCGGAATTACGTAGAGAAAGAGTGCATGTGTTCTTTGCTGGCGATCACAGAGTGGCTGCTGTCCATGGTATGGTTGAGCGGAGAAGAAAGCTGTCCGATTAAAACGTACCCGGAGCCGATTGGATGGCGGCATGCTCTGGCCCAGAGTTGTAAAAGATGATGGATTGGTGGGCATATGGTACTATATCAGTGTGGAGTGAAGTTCCGTAGTGTGGTGATGATTATCACCACCACTGCCATCATGATCATGACCAGAATCATCTCCATCAGCTGCGAATGAAATTACCATACGGAAACGTGATATACATTAATCCTCACCCTTCCCCTCCCCGCTATCTTCTAACACTATATACAAGCGTAACACCTCACCCTGCCCTTCCCTTCCTCCCCAGCACTCTCCTTCTCAGCCCTCTGCTCCAAACACGCCTTGTGCCACAAATGCCTGCACGCAAAAAGCACCAACTTCCCACCATCCTCTTCTTTCACCTCCTCAACTCCTTCCGCCACACTCGGTCTCTTCCCCTTACTCTTTCCCCCAACCTCATCCATCCCTAACCCAACCACTCTCGCCCGCCTTTCTCCTTCTTTCTTCTCCCACGCCGCCCACACCCCGCCGCCCGTCCCAGGCCCCCAGCACCTCTTCCCACAGCCCTCGCACACCTGTCCGCGCGGTCGCCAACCCCTCTTCCTACGCTCGGTAACTTCGTGCACGGTTTCGAAGCCTTCTTTGTCGAGAAAGCGGTTCGCGAGCGAGAGGATCGTCTCTTCGAAAGTGTACGCTGCGAAGATTTCGGCTAGCACGGAGCGCAGGTGCGCGAGCGAGGGTGAGTATGTGTGTGTGGCGCGGGTGAGGAAGCAGCGGAGGATGCGGAGGAAGGAGGGGTTGGATTGGGGTTGGGATGCAGTATGGCGGATGGGAGGGCGGGTGTTTGTCGTTGGGGATATGGTGGGGCCTTGTTTGTTAGGTGGGATGGTGGTGGATGTGAGGAGGGGCGGAGAAGGTTTGTTGGACGGAAGAGCGGAGGGTCGAAACGATGCGGGCTGTGTCGATTGTGGTGGTGGAGGAGGGATCGGTGGAATATGTTGTAGCGTCGAGATCGGCGACGGCGGTGGAGGTGTCGCGAATGAGCCGGACGACTGTGTCGATGAGATCGAGCCAGAGGAGTTCGTTGAGGGCGAGATCGGTTTCGCGGACCTCACCGTAGGCAGACTTTCGTCTGTCGGCAAGGGATTCGGGTGTTCGATCTGACGATCTGGTTTGACCTTGACATAACCATATGCCGACTTTGACATATTTGTTGATGTCTTCAAGCAGATCGTGAACCGCTTCTTCCGTATTTGCGACGTCAGGTGTCTCTGCAGCAGCGCTGATGAGGCCTGTCAAAGCAGTTTCCAGTGTACCCAAGTGCTTGATAAGACGATCCATGGCGTCTCTGACGAGACCGTCGCGCGCCATGAGAACAACAGCAGCGTCAATAACTCCGCTCTTCTCTAGCGCAGGCAATACAGGATCCAGTCTCAGATCGCCTGAGTTGAGAAGGCCAACAAAATCTGCGACATGAGAGCTGTTGTATGTGCACATGAGCTGCACATATCGTTCGACGAAGCCCGTGGGCAGAGTCTCGTCGATTATGGCGACAGTGCCTTCTTGTGCATTTTCTGGCTCGATTAGAGCCTCAAGATAGTGATACTGAGCATCAGCGTTATCATCGAGAGCGTCTAGTGTTGATTGTAGAAGATCTGGGGCATATCTTTTCAGCGTGACAGCGGTCTGTGCCGGATCGATCTCAGCTAAATCAGTCGCACGACGGACGATGACAGCCTTGACTTCGTTGATCTGCTTCTTAATGAGACCCTTGCTTGGCCGCAACAGGTCGCTCATGCAGCCAAAGACTGCTTCCTGATCCTCTGCGTCGTCTAGGTACGTCTCCAGCAGTTTTGCCCACTGTTGTTGGCCTCTGTATACCGTCTTGAGCACGCGATGAAACCCGGCTGTTTCGAAGAGCGGTACCAGATCTTGTGGGTTCGGTGGCTGGTACATTGACAAAAGGTATTCCACGGATAGCTGGCAGTCCTCTTTAATAGACTCCGTAGGATAATCGCACAAGCCGACAAGGACCTGCTGCAGTTTGGTACCAGGTAACATGATGTGCTGTGGATATTTGGGCAAGTTCCTTGCCACAAACATGTAGAAGTAGATGATATCTTCCGGATCAAAGTTCTCGGGCGTCATAATACCAAAGAGGATGTTGATGATGTACTGGCGTGTAGGCGTCAGGGTAGATCCTCGCTGAATACCGTTGGTCTGGGCCCCGTTCAGTCCTTCTTGATCACCGTTGAGGAAGCTATCTTCAAAAGCCTCGTTAAGCATACTCATAAAGCTTGATGCGTCGAAGTCGAGAATGAGTGAGAGGTAGGGAAATGGAGGTTCTTCGCTGTTGTCGTTTCGAGTCAAGATAACCTGGCCAGAGGCTGGCGGCCACTGCAGATTCTTACCCGAAAACAGGAAGCGATACATGTCTTTCTTTGCGCTGTATGCTTGCTCGTCTTCCATGAAAGTGCCTCCAGGATACAAGCGACCCGTAAAAGTGTATGCCAGGTATGCAAAGATCTTCTTCGCCGACGTCATGTAGATGTTCTCCGTCTCATCGACGTCAAAGTCTACCAGCTTGACAAGGTCTAGGATGTTGGTGAGCGGCGTGATGAAATCACCTAGAGCGCGCGTCCAGACGTGAATAAGAGCATCGTAGAGCACGTATTGCTGGCACAACATGGTGACCTGGTTGATATCCATGGTGTCAGTGCTCAGTCGACATAACATCTCCTCAAGCCTACTGCCTCGATTGGCAGATGCATAAAAGGTGATCAGATCCTTGAGTACATTCGGCGGTACGTCCGTGATCTCGTCGTCCGATATGTACGGCTCGAGCGTCTCGAAGAATGCCTTCTCCGCTGAACCATCCTCAAATGCATCGTATACATCCTCAAACAAGAAGTCTAGCTCTTTCATGCTGATCAATGCGGTGAAGCAGACTTCCGCAAGCTCTTTGAGGCGTGTCTCTCGCGCGTCTTCATCTTCATCTTTTCTCGTGAATGTATACTTCAGGGACGCAGTGATCATGTCAAGCAATTTCTCTTGAACAAGCGCATGGCGTGCTTGGTCATCTTCTGGAAGTCCTACCGTCAGTTTATCTGCATCGCCAATGTAGTATGAAGTTGCTAGGCCTATGGCAGCAATGTAGTCGCCATCCTCCATAAGTGCCATCAAGCGATCTGCCCAGTTTGACAGTGTTCCGATCGAGACATCGTTGAAGCCTAGCAAAAACAATCTTCCTTTATAAGCTCGGAAGCTCATGTAGAACGCGTTGGCAACGACGCCATGCATGGAGTCATCTTCCTCATTATGTTGTTCGATGACATGCCTTAGCTGCCGGGAAAACAAATCAGAAAAGTAGATGTGCTTTTGTAGCAAGTCAAACGAGTCTGTCATGCGTAGTGTGGTGTCTTCAAGGATAATCAGCCGCTGGCTGATCGTTAGTACACCCAGCACTGATCTGCTGAGCCATTGCACTGCGACGACAGCTTCTTCTGCTTTCCACCGACTTCTCGGCTTAAATTTGAGCTCTGTTGGTTTCTCTTTCTCTGTTGGCGGAGCACTAAGCGATTCTACGTCCAGGATAGTCAAGACATTGGACCAGCAGTACACTAGTTTGGTTTTTGACACGGACTTCTTGTTGACATCGTTAGAAGGATTCTTCAACTTCACAGCAGGGAACCAGGCGAGACATCCGCTCAGTGCGCTATGGGGCTCGACGTCTTTCGGACGCGGCGCTTTGTGTTGCGTCTGTGCAAGGGGAGTCGTCGAAACTATGACCAGCAGGTAAGGTGTGAGCAGCGCAGTCAAGCCCATGTCATCTGTAGGCTGCTCGACGTTCCCCAATGGCAACGGCGCGAAAGCGAGCACGGAACTTGGCTTTCGCGGTTTCTCTACGGACTTGGCTGACAGTGGATATCTGCCTAGGATCCTGGTGGTTTTGACTGTTCGCGCGATAGCACCTAGTCCACGTGTAGCGAGATGCGAGAATGCCATTCCAGCGTCATCGGCCGACACAAGAGCAGTGTGCCGTGTGCCAAGAAAACCGAGATGTAGTACAGCCGCCCCTGAGATGTGGCCATCTGACTTGCGATCATCCAAATTTGTGCGATCCAATGGCGGAATATGCAGAAACGGCTTAGCTGGTTTGGCGAGCTCCCAGGTGAAGATGTTGCCGGTCGCATGGCCACCCGCGACAGTTGAGTGATCAGCCGAGATGGCTAGTGATGTCACAGCACCACACTCAATGGCTATCAAACATGTTAGTTGATATCTCACTACTTTGGTGATAGAGATATTTGTACCTTTTGTGCCAGGGCCAATGATGGACTTCAAGACCTGCTGATAGTCGAAAATCAGGATAAAGCCCTTGGAGGTTCCAATGGCAAGCGAGGCCGCAACATTGAGGCATGTTGGGCGGCCAAAGTTGCGCTTTCCTATCTCTGAGAAGACTTGTCCAGTGATCTTCTTCAGCTTGGTCCACCGCACTACCTCCCATGGCGCCTGCGGTGTTTCTGCTTCATCTGGCTGATGTTGGAAGAGGATGTTACTAGACAGAGACGATTGTCTTGAGTGTGCGGATAGAAAGGCCGGAGATGATGCACGAGGCGATGCAAGCGGAGAAGGCGAAAGGCGCGAAGAGAAGCGTCGTTCGAATGGTTGTAGTGAGGTTGGTCGATGTGGTCGAAGTGAGCTATGAGATACTGGTACACTGCTACTTGGCGAGGAAAGTCTTGAGCCCTGAACGTGTTAGTGATAGTTGATGGGTTGTAGTTATGCGACCTACCTGTATGGATGGGGTATCATCGGGGGCGGAGGTCGATTCCGGGCTCTCTGGTCTCTCTACCTTGGGACGGATGGAGAGCACAGAACTTGTGTCTTCTTCTTGCTGCACTCCTCGACTCCTGACTCTATGGAAGGTCAGGCCATTACCCCCGTGGTCTATCGATTCGAGCTCCTCTTCTTCGGCGTCTTCGTCTTCTGTGCCATTGTCACCCGGCACATCCTCCTCCATGCTCCCATTTTGATCTACCGATGCTCCGTCTGCAAAGTCGTCCTGTGCGCTTTCATCTTGGTGGTTTCTGGGAGCACTGGAGCGGCTCTCCTCGGAATCTGAGCTCATGAGGCTCGTTCGTCGCAAAGCATCGCTTCACGCAAACATTGGTCGGACACGTGACTGTTGATGGGTTGAAACGAGGCGCGGTTCGTATCTCTAAGCTGATGTCATGTGCTCAATTGGACACTCTGCTACGACAGTCGTAAAGTGGTTCGCGATAGGGTCGAGGGTTGCCTGAAGACGCGCACGTGGTATCAAAGGACTTGGCGGGATGGAACTATGTATTACGGGTCGTCCAGACGTAGGAAGAGATCACAGGTCACGGTGAAGGTAAGGGAATGGCAAGAGTAGCTCGCGGCGAATGTTGGCGGGGATGATGGTGCTCGTATTAAGCTCCATCTATGGCGCAGTTCGCAGATCGCCGCGGGCGCGCCGGGAGTTTGGCCCAAGCTCCCTCAACGTCACTTGGGACCAAACCTCGAAACAACTTCATCCACACCACCGCCAAAACGCACGAATCAATTGACAATGCCGATCGGGCCGACACTGCCTCCGCACCTGGCGAAAAGAAGCCGCGACGACGATGAAGATGGCGCCTCCAGCCCAGATTCGAGCGACAAGCGGCGTAGAGTAGCTGGCCCAGCACCTCCGCCCGCCGCAAAATCACCTCGGCGCGCTGTTGGACCCTCACTGCCACCACATCTCGCGTCGCGATCGAGTAGCGAAGACAGCGATGATGGACCGGCGCCTCCCCAAGCTCCGAAGCCTGCACGTGTTGTCGGTCCTGCACCTCCACCAGCGTCTCTAGCCGAACGACCACCCAATCCCCCATCAGACGATTCAGATAGCAGCGACGATGATTTCGGGCCCGCACCGCCGCCTGCTGGTGGACTGTCTTCTAGCTACGGCGACGACGACATGCCTGGAAAATCAGCCTTCGATACCAATCCACAATTCACCGAGGAGCCCAAGAAAGCGCAGCGCGATGACTGGATGACGATGCCACCCACGCAAGACGACCTCGCAGCACGCCTGGATCCGACCAAAGCACGCCCCAAGAAGTTCAACACAGGAAAGAGCGCGGGCGGAGGCGGAGGCATGAGCAGTGCATGGACAGAAACGCCCGAGCAGAAGCTTAAGCGTTTACAGGACGAAGCCATGGGTATCACGACGCCAGCGAATGCGCCAGCAGCGGCACACGAGTCGAAGAAGAGCAAGGAGGAGGAGAGGAGGGCGCGCAAGATGCGCGAAAAGATCGATGCGGCGCGCGGGAAGAGCTTGGTTGAGCAGCACGCAGAGAAGGGCACTGGAAAGGAGAAGGAAGACGATCCCAGCAAGCGCGCGTTCGACTATGAAAAGGATATGGCTGTCATTGGCACGGCGAACAATAAGCAGCGACGAGAGCTACTTAGCAAGTCCAAGGGCTTCAGCGATCGATTCGCGAGCGGTAGTTTTCTATAAGTCCTCGAGACCACCGGCAGGCGCGGACCATCTGCAGATGCATAGCCACTTGTATCGGCAATTATCAAGTCTTAACCTCTTTCTCTCCACCGGCGGCTTGAGCCAAAAAAAAATAACAGCGAAATCATGAAGGCATGACTGTCAAGTGACAGCAATGTCCCCCTGCCAACGGGTAATGAGATCTCTGCGCACGTCGGCATTGCCACAATGTGTTCAAGACATCTTGTTAGAGCATGCTGATTCAACGAAAGAGGCGTTGTATAGTCGCTGCTCCTCGGCTCCCGAATCCTCCTTACCTAGCTGCTTGTTTCGCGGTGTTCCTGAACAACGTTTCATGTAAAAAAGGTTGTTGCACAGTTACCTAGCTGCCGTACTAACGCATTCGTGGGGGAAGTAATGTAATCGAGAGAGAAGTTAAGTATCTATCTATTTGATGGCGAAGTGCTGTATATAAAGTAGGCTATCAGTCTACGATTCGTTCTCTACACAGCTCTCGTTCAGAACCTATCAAGCCCTACTTTGCTGCTGTATTCTTAGACATTACGCTCTTCTATCCTAGTCCTACTCTACCTTTGCAATGCGTTTCCTTGGCTATAGAATTAATCAAGCCCTCAACGGTCTTGCACACAGCGTCACGGATGCGTATTGGGCCACTCTCGTTCAAGTATATGTAATTACACCCCCTCCTTCATTACAATGCTTACTTTTTCAGTACTGGACATCAGTACCAGATGGGACCGCCTCTGCTCCAGCTTCCCGCGGAACTCCGAAACTCCATCTACGAACACGTCAACTTGAACGAGACTGTGGTTCTACGCTCACTCGCGGTCTTAGTCAACGAGAGGTACTTGCATTACCTATCCCCAAATCTGCGGAATTTGAAACTTGCATGTCGCCAACTCTTCCTCGAAACACACCACCTGCCTCTCCAGCTCGCGGACCCCTCGAAAAATCTGTCCTCAAACCTGGTTCGCCGCGAGTTCAAATCCAAATACAAGATGGACTCTGTAACTGGTCTCATCCTCCATTTTGCCGAATCCCGCGCCTGGTTTGGCGCAGTCACCCTCCAATACACATTATCCCACAAAAAGAATATGATTTTGCGGTGTCTCATGACGCTTGCACTCGGCCATAAACGGGCGAACCTTTTGGCGGAACTAGGAACCCACATTGGACAAGATAGTCAAGACAAAAATAGTAAAACAGTACCCTCCACAGATGATATACGTCATCTACACTAATTCATGCATAATCAACAACCCTTTATACACAAGTCAAACTGCACATGAGTACCCCACTAAAGAAAGTGCGCTAACAACATGTATAACCAGGAACGCCTCCTAATCCACATAAAAATCTTTCTAAATCCCACAACATTGACGTTCAGAAAAGGATACACGCAACGCAGCTGCCAACGCTAACTCAGACAAAAGTTGAAACAACGCTAGATGGCTCGATCCTGATTGAAAGGCTTTGGAGTTAGCACGTACCTTCCTTGAATTAGGGCGGCAATTGTTTTTGAATTTAGTGTAGAGGCAGGTGTTTTCTTGAATTTACTGTAGACTAAAAGCCTCTCTCCGATGAAGGAAAGATACGCTTAAAACGTGTGGTCGTGCATGGCTACCTAACAAGGCACCCTGGTGCTGACAGATGGGATCGTTGGTGACGCGTAACTGCCTTTGATAATACCCGCGGTACATTTAAGAACTTGGCTGACGGAATTGGCTGACAGGGTAAGACAAATGGTCGTCATGAAGGTCCATGTGCTTCTCGGACGAAGGCGGATCGATTTAAGGCCGAAAAGTGACGTCAGGAAGCCAGGGTCATAATCTTTTGGCCTCTGAATGCCCGAGGCGATGTTGCTCTGCCAATGCAATAAACCAGCAATCGATGTTGCTGCTGCTATAAGTTGTGGAAGGTGAGTCTCTTGTTTGTCGAGTTCTTCTTGCTACTTGTTGCTGTGCTAAGATCTTGGCTATACTGTCTTTTCTGTGGTCTTATTTCGTTGTTTTCATACTTGGTGGCATGCATGTGCTGTTTGTAGTGTGCTTGTACTAAATGAGAACCTGCTGAATTAGGGTTATGTCCATCAAAGTAGTGTAGTGGCTGCGCGAATACTTACGTGTAGCTTTTTATCGATGATCATAGTAGCAAGCCAACAGAGCGTTCTTGTAAGGATATTATTGTGGTGTGGTAGCTGGGTACATGATTCTAGCTGACGTATGTTATGAAAGCAGAAATATCACATAGTATAAGTCAGGAGGTTGTACACCTCATCAACCCTCATTGGTATGTTTCTCCATTACCACCAGTTGGGCATCAGAAGTCCTTTCCCTGCTTCTGGGGTGTCCTCAAGCAACGTTATGCAAGCATATACAGTTGTGACATGATTGCACGTCCGCGAAATGGGAAAAGGGAGGATCATCATCACTACGTACTTTTGCGAACTCCGATCTTTCGATATTATATACGAATACATTCATAAACGCGTTATAACTCATTAATATGCCCGAGGAATGCTATTTTAGGACCCAAACCACCTTACCTTAAGGCAGAGGGTGATGAGGATGATCCTCCTTCATTATCCACTCTTCGCTACTCGCATCAGCCGTAACCCTGATCGTCGGCGGCGGCCTATCATGCTGCACCGAGATATTCCTCTGTATATGAATCCCATTCTGCGGCGCCAAAGTGCCCTCACCCGGTCTTCCGCCTTCCACCCACGAATGTCCCGGGTTTTTGGCGGCGTCCTTCGAATCGTCCAGCTCAAAGGTGTCGGTATAGGTGTACATGTCGTCGCCAGCCAGCTTGATCGAGTTGGACGGGTGGCTGCGGAAAGGCATGCTGCGGCCGCCTGCACTGCCGATGGTTTGAATTGGGTAGTTGGCTCGCGCGGCGGAAGAGGAGGCGAAGTGTTTTGGAAAGATCATGACGAGCAATGGTCGTAGGCAGGGCAGGCAGCCGCACATGATACCGACGTTGTATTCGATGGTGAGCATGATGAGCAGGTATCCAGCCAGGTCTATTCAATAGATAGGTTAGTATTACGAAAATGTGAAGGGGTGATCATAGGGCCTACATGTACTATCCCAGTTTTCCTGATATTTCTTTGCAAAATGTATTTTGACGATGGCACCAACACATGTCACCATTCCGAAACCAAATACTGTGACAAGGTTCAGACGCTGCCGTAGCGAAATCTGAACTTTCCATAGGGGGATTACGGGCCAAAGGAAGATGATGAAGTCAGAAACGGTATTGACGGCCATGCTGGCTAAGACTAGAGCTTTGACATCGAGACAGCGGCCCTTCTTTACGGCGGGGTTCCAGAGAGATTCAATTGGCCTGGCTTGGGGTCAGATGGGTATAGAAGTTCTGGACCGCTTATGACTTACAGGCATTGGCAGATGTACATCGTCGTGGTTATGATGTTCCACAACAACTGGTAGGCCATCATGGTATAACTGAAAATCTTGTTGGCTTTCGAGGGAAAGAGACGTAGGTATGTCAAACATAGCGAAATCTTGGCGAGCGTATTTGTCGTGTTGAAGATAGTTAATAGAACCAAGTTTAGCTGTGAATGTCAGCGTTTACATCCTTATGGAGCCGAACATGCTAACCTTAATCCAAGTCGGAAAGAAATCCGGTCTAACGTCGTAAAGATGGCGTCCAGCGACATGCTGCGTGCAGTAAAGAATGGTCGCGGTCTCCACGCAAGCCAAGATCTGTGCCTTTTAGATTTGCGTTGAAGGAGGGTGGTGCCTATACGTACTGCAGCTGCGGTCATGAACCAGTCATCGACGCCCATGCCAAGTTTGGACTTCGTCCGGACAAAAATTCGAGATCCGACAAAGAGAAGCATAGCAATGGTGGTCGAGTAGACCACAGCCTCGATGGACGTTTTGATACTCTTGGGATTGTCGTAGTTTGGAGTAGGCCATGTCGCTATGATCTCTGGCGTGGGCGCACTCATTTTGGCGCAGTCTCAAAGAGACCCAAGATCTTTAGAAGATCGATGGAGTATGTCAAGATGCGTGAACTGAGCCAGGTGGAAGTACTCGAGACTTTCCAATGAGGTGCTGGAGCTGAAACAAAGGAAGGTCCTTCGGGCCCCAATGGATCCAGATGCCGATTGTTAAGATGCATGCCCTGCAGGGTTCTTTGAGGCGCCACCCTTGGATCTTGGACAAATCTCAACCAGAACTCTAAGTGGAATGCGCGTCGATCCCGCGAGACTGTTCCTAGACATAAAAGCCTTGTTTAGGCTCCAAGCCCTGGCGACTGTCGGATGTCGGGAGAGACCCCGAAGCTGGGATTACTGGTGTGTGCCCTAAACGGCCCTTTACCGCCAGCGAATCGTATGCCGTATAGGTCAAATCTGGAAAGTTTATCGAGCTTTAGTACTGGGGATAAAGTGGACAAGGGACGGTCGGGGCGTACGGCTCGCGTGACTAGTGCCCGGCCAGCCATCCATCAACGGGCTGTATCTTCGCACAACGTACGCCATGTATGAGAAGCCGCATCTGGATCTGCCGCTACTGCATCGATCTCACTTGATGCGTTGCTGAATGCTTGCTACGCCGTTCCTATGCAACTCTAACTACATGGAAACATTATCTATAGGTAGTGGAAAGCCTTCACCTCACAGGCTGCGATATTTTCATTCTGTAAAATTCCAACTAACGGATAGATATGTGGACTAGCTGTCGACAACGCGGAGTCGGACATTCCACGAGGCGTTCGCGCTTCGTCCAATCGTGAAAGCCGGACACCAAACCAAGTACTGTGGAAGGTTTCGGGTACTGGCAGCCACATCGCGATAGTTGGACAGACACGGGACATTTTGTTGGTTTAGTTGTAAATCCCGATGGTGCCACTTATCCCGTTGAATATAAGATCCACGTGCGGTCCGTGGCAGGTCGACAGCGCGGAAAGATGAGGTTCCATCTCATTAGGCAAACGACATGATGCGTTGCACCACCCAAAACCATCGCCGATGTGGAAAGTAACTTGTGGACGATAGGTGGTGTGTGGAGCCATTCGAGACTCGTGCGTAAGGCGACCAACTGATACCGTGTGGCTGAAAGCTGAGCATCCCGGCCGCTTGTCGAGGCGCCGCTGTGTCAAAATAAGGCCGATACTATGTATGCCACGACTATTGGCATCACCTATGAAAATGTCGAGGCAGGGGTTCCATGCTTGGTCTGCGCGTCACACACGGCTTCGCATATCTTCTGGTTCGAGCCCTGATCACGTTCTCCCCTGATTATCGCATTAGCAGTATTCTCGAATGTCACGATCTCTGGAGAGTTTAGTCTGAGCTGAGGGATTTCTAGATCATTTGAAGCCGTTGTGTGAATAAACACTCCGATCGTCATTGTTGGGTAGCCACGCATTCCGATCAGCTCAGTAACTTCTAACCTGTGTGCAAGCTACTTGGACGTCCACCGCATTCATGCGCACACCTGAACGCAATTACTCGCCCTCATCTCTGTAGCGTAGTTACGCTTGCTTCCGCTAACAAAGAGCTGCAGATCACCTGTGGTTTGCACAGTGTGCTTCACCTTCCCACCCTGCTTGACTGCGAACTTCTCGCAAAGTGGCTTGCCGTCAATGAACCACTGTGCCTCTAGCTTCATACCAGGGTCCCAGCGTCCGACAGAGGCATCGACTGTGCTGCCCACCTGAACGCCATACTCTGCATCGATAATTGGAGGAGCTTGACGTGCCACTGCTGCAGCGCGGCCGCCGCGCTTGATGACATCGTCCCACTGGTTCCCCCTCGAAGAGGACGCAGTAACACTCCCAGATAGCGGCTGGGTGCCATTCGGGCCATGGTCATGGATCCACGCCTCTAAGAACTCGAGGTAGTTCCAGATTTCTCTCGACTGGTAATTCCCGCCATGTGGCTTCTCCGGCAGGATAGTCACGTTCGCCCATCCCGCCCCACCAATAGCATCAGTCTGCTTCTGAAACTCCATGACTCCTTCGTTGAGGTAGTAATCATCCCAGCTACCAACGTAGACGAACACACGTCCAGCCAGATTCCTTCCCAGGTTCAGAGAGTTGTTCCAATTGCTGGTAATGTAGTTACTCAGATCATACGACTTCCAGTGCTCCACAGCCTCGGGATAAATCTCACCAGTGACCTTATCCCATGGCTCGAGTGGGTAATTGTTGTAACCCTGGACACCAAAGACGGCATTCCACACATCCCATTGGTTCGAAGAGCGGGATGCAGTGCCAAAAGTCAACTCCCAGTGGTTCTCGAGTGCGACTGTGGCCTTTACGACTTCTGTGCCGTTCACAAATGATCGAATGGAGGGGACGAAACTTCCGTCAGCACGCTGATACGCATTTGCAGCAGTGTAGAGCTCGATGTCCTGGTGGCGGTGAAAGTCTAAAGAGTCGGGATAAGACGAGAAACAATACCCAAACAGATCCGGCCTGTAGATCAAATTAGCGGCAGACTCCCAGCCGCCGGTCGAGCCTCCTTCTTGGATACGCGCGTATGGCGCTTGGATCGTGTTGAATGTCTCCTCGAGGTAAGGTATTAATTCGTCATTGATCGCATCGCCGTACGGACCAAGATTGGCAGTGTTCACTGCGTAAGAGTCGTCGTAGAAAGGAGCTTCATGGCGGAGTGTGACCAAGATCATCTTCGGCGCGGGACGAGCCGCCGTTTTATTGGTCGCGGGGATGGTGCCGTTATCCCAGGCCTTTGAGAAGGCCGCTGTAGGGTATCGGAACGCGCCTTGGTCCGCGGGCCAATGACCCTGCGAGTAGATGACTGGATATCGCGTGGCCGTATCGTTGGCGTCGTAACTGGCAGGAAGAAGCACGTTTGCTCCGACATACATATCCCGACCCCAGAAAGCGCTCAGCTTCTCGCTGCGGATCTTGATATATTTTAGGTTCTCAGTGTCCTCATAATTGCCTTGGTTACATCCACCGATCTCCCTGCCATTAAACACTTCGATCGCTGTGCTGTTATCGAATATGAGCTCTAGTGTCTGTGGTTCGCCAGATACCTCGAGACCGATCGCAGTTGTGACAAGACTTCCGTACGTGTTGACGTTCGGATTTCCATCACCACATGGGAAGTGGACGCTGACGATTGACCCATCGCTACGAGTCACTGACTCATACTTGTTCAAGAAGGCTTGAACCTGGTAAGTGCCGGATAGCACATCACGCAACGTTATATTCGGCCATCCGTATACACCAAACTCGACACTAGAGTTGGATCCACTTGAAAAGGTAATCTTATCGCTCGGGCCAAAATTGTACACATTCTTTCCGAAGATGGAGTTCGGTGATGAGGTTACATCCGTGTCGTCGAGCGGGTCGGTTCCGTTTGGCGCGAGCATGAGGACAATGCGACCATCGGTAGGCGCATTCAAGACGCCCTCTGCGACGGAAAGCTTCACTTCCAAACCACCGGGCAGATAGTTCTTGGCATAATGTCCAGTCGTAGGCGCAGCAGATGCGTACGAGGCAGCGCTCATGACCAAAAGAATGGTGTTAAACATTGCGCAGATGTACATGGAAGTACCACCTGGACCAATAGACAAACAACTTAAAAATTTCGAGAACGATATTAATAAAGAGGAAGAACGAGCAGCAAGCAAGCTTTTCCATGGAGATGAAGCATTGTTGGATCGTAACGATGTGGGTCAAAGCTAGCAGCATGACGATGCCTGAAGCGGAAGGCGATAACGACACGCGAATTTCACAGATAGGAAAAGCAGATTACAGCCGCCTCCAGATCGATCAATTTGGCAAACCGTCTGTCGCTCTCGACCAGATAGAGCATGGCATCATGCATCCGCCATGAGAAGTTGTCCCGTCCATATGGTCGCGTGCCGTGACAGAGACGGAAGCCAGGTTTTTGGGTCTTGCGTGCGTCTTCCCAAAGCAGGCCCCATGCAGTCCTGGGATACAGCATAGGCGTAATATCAATAGCCACGATGGCAACGAAGGTTTCAGTGGCTGACAAGGGTGTAGGAGGAAATTGTACGAACGAACCAAATTTGTGAAGGATGCATGTATGCGAGGGCCCTGCTTCGCTAACCACATCGACCATTGCGCACAAAGAGCACACATATACGGAGACGGTCTTTGATTGTGTTTTATAGGACTCTCCTTGAATTGTTGATTGTGAAGCATGCTATCTTTCAGCACACCAAGTTGTGACCACAGCTTTAGACCTTTAGAGCAAACGAAAGCACACGCAATACACCCTCGTTCGAAAGCACAGAGAGGAAAAATAACGAAAGGCAGAGTCTACTCCAATTGAGTCCATCCTTCTTCCTCTTAGAGTTGTTGGCGATCAACTTTTTAAGTATATATGACGCGTATGTATGTTCTTGAACGCATTTCCTTTCCTCTTACCTAGTGATCCTTGCTGCGTGCAGTACCTAGGCCCTAGAAGCAGCCTAGCACATAACAATGTTTATAGAAGTGTCCTGTGCTGGAGCGAGGATCGTGACGGCCGCTTCTTTCTGATTCCTATATGTCGAAGGCCAAATGTGACCTTGGTTCCCGGATTGCATTTCTCCACGATCGCGCTACAAATCGCGAACTGTTCAGCCATATATGCCAACTTGACAGCTCGCTCAGACTTCCATTCTTTTCCTCCAGGGTTGTTGACTGTACTTTGCCACCCTTCGGCGACGACGAACACTTGGACGGTCTCTAGGAGCGGTAAGCGAACAAAGACAAGTGAAGCTTCGTTCTACCACCTTACTCAATCGTCTAGTTCGTTTTAATCATCGTCGAACCAGTAGTGAGTGAAGTTCTCAGTTGTATCCAAGACGAACAATGTGACAGTCTTCAGCATTCCGCTGCGCTTCAGCGGCTTCAGGAACATCAGAGAATGAGACAAGCTCTGGGTGCTGCGCGCACGCGGGATGGTTGAAATTTCGGAGTTGACTCGGCGCCATGTGCGTGGAAGGCTGGGTCCATTCCTCTGGCTGTCCCGAAAGTCGAGAAGCTACGGTTTTCGTGGGTGGCATAATTCGAGAGTCAATCCGCGACGGCTAAGCGCGCATGAGTAGAGATGTTTGCGCAGTTCAGCAGGTAGCTTGGGGAAAGGTGATGCCGTTTTTTTCCGCTGTGTACTAAATGATTTCAGCTTTACGTATGTCAACTGTAATGGAGGCGTGTACACATGATGTCAAGATCACAGCTCTGATTGGCGAGCATGACCGTCTTCTCAGCAATGACTCTGTTTGTCGCAGGTACAAGCTATAGCTTGCGCAAAGCTTCGTTGCTGCGTCACGGAGTCGATGTCGAAGTTGATGTCAAAATTGGTGTCAAAGTTGATATCAAAGTTGATGTTGGAGTTCACAACACAGGGTTGAAGTTGGGGATGTAACAGCAGAATTTGGGCTTTTAAATCAATGGCGGTGCTAGGATGGGTACGTGCTGGGCCACGCTATCCCGTCAGTGCAAGGGAAGGTGAATATCCAAGAAAAATCATACGCCAAGGGCCCAAAACCAGCATGGCAGTGGGAATGGAATTTCGTTAATGAATGTAGTAGACGTCGCAGGTGGCGTAGAATTCACCTGTTCGGACAAGCACATGGTATCATATTCTTCCAATGCTCATGAATAAGATGTATGGACGCATAGAGACTACCGAGGCTCAGAATCTGTTTGAAACCGCTGAACAAGGCTAAAATCACCAGTAGCGGTATTGCTTGCGCTCAGCATCGTATCACTGTCCGTGCAAAGGACCAGTTTCTTGCTGGCAATGCTAGAAGAGGACAAATAATCAGGTATGACGGAATCTGGCTGCCATATGGACCAATCTTCCTGACTTATACTCTAGTAAGAGTAATTATTGAGCTCGAGCTGGCTAATGATGCTGCTTTGCTCTGGAGAGATATTCTGATCTGTAAGCCAATTGTACATGTGCTCTGGATCGTAGAAGCTGAAAGTTGCGACAGAGTATGAAACGAGGCGCGCTTCTTCATGTATCTGGCGGCATGCGCGTTAGACGCTCAGACCGATTCTCTGTGGATAGTGTGCTGAGTATGGTTTACGTTGGGCTACGAAAACACTTTCACAGAAGAGAAACGTGTGGATTATTTTGCGCAATTCTTCGGGTAGTTTGAGAAGGGGCGATTTCGGTTGGTTCGCCGTGGTACCGTGTCGTATCAGTCCCGCCTTGTGAAGTGCAGTCAAAGAGACTTTACTAACAGTTCCTGTAAATGTTTTTTTCTACTGCGTGTAGCTCTGTCTCTCTTTGTGACTCTAGCCGCGATGAGTGATGGTCCGCCTTTCTCTAGATCGGGCTCAGCTTTTGGTCGGAGGGGTGCCATGTTTCTTTTTGTTATCAGAGAAAAGGCGGAGAGAGCGTTGCCTAGTTTGAGCGTGACTGACCAATGGGACTAACGTAGTCAAAAGCTCACTATAACACGAGCGTATAAATGCGTTTGCAATGAAGTGAATATGAGGGTGAAAACATGACATAGTGCCAGCCAATTATCGACACTTCTTTTCTTCCGCCACTCGCAAGGAAATGCACTGAGCGCAAGCTACGTGATTTGACCATTTTAAAGGTGGCCCTCCAATCCAGCTGAACTGAATCCAGTCTACCGCATCTGGTCGTCATCCTTCTCTAGCTCATTTACTGCTAATCCACCTTCACAGACACCTCCACCTCGGGATATGCAGACTGAAACATTAGTACGATATAATCATGCACTTCATGCTCTCAATTATTCCGCACCACCCTCCAGTTCCTGAACGATATGCATAACAGACTCTGCTTTGGCCGTAGTCCTGATGGGATCCAGCAGATATATGCGCTTCAAGCCAAGTAGTTGAAGAACCTCTTCCGCAATCATATTCTTCACCTATGATGGGAAGTGCCCAATTATAATATGTAGGTGATCTGTATTATAGTAGCCCTAGTACGTTGATGTCGATGAATGTTCTCGAGCTAGGACCGGCACAATCTGAAGCGAAGATATGATCGAACATTGCTGTAGTCAGATAAGAAAGAGTAGATCGATCGAGGTAGAGATCGAGAAAGCAATGAGGCAGTGAGCCAATACGCTTGTCTCGTTGTGGATTTGACGGTATGTGCGGAGGATGGCAAGCTTGTCACAGTCAGCCCGGCGCAACGGATATAGGATGACAGCCGGCGAGCATGACATCAGATTTCATGATCTAGGAGAGGCGGAGGTTCTGAGGTTGCTGCTTACGTGTGAAGTCGGGCTCGGCTTGCGCTTCTTTGGGCATTTGCCAATGTTGATCGTAATAATGCCGAAGTAATCCTCGTAGATACGGTTACGGAGTCATCCGGGCAGCCCGAGTAGCGGGAATGGCGCTGACCTACCACGTATCTTGATCTTCGCCATGCTTCGTGCTGGTTGACAGTTTCGTTGTGCAGATCAAGTGACGCAGGCCGGAAATCGTAGCAGTCGGGTAGCAGAGTCGAAATAGTTGCGGGTTGTCAAGAGTGAAAAGTGGGGATCGAGAGGCTGGAGAAGCCGAGGGAAAGACCATGAAGATCAGAGCTGTCTTGATGCTGGGATATCAATTAGGGGATCAGAAACATGTCTCGTGGAATTTTTTTTGGAAATTTGCCCACTATAGCTACATTCAAGCTCCATAAAATAAGTACATACGCAGTCATAGTATCGTTTCCCGTGATTTCGGTCCGTGTTATACATCCAAGGGCACTGGCTCATGAGAGTAGATCCACGTACACGAGCTGATGCCTGGACCTGGTCTTGAGGTCCGAATTGGACAAACAGAGCTGGTCGTTATTCAGGTCGAGTAGGTTTTCCCAGAATCGTGTTTGGGCATTTTCGAGGGTCCGGTGCGTTCGGTGACGGTTACTGTATTGCGCAAATCTTCCAGTGCTCCTGCCCAAAGACTACAAACTTCGAACGTTGTTGTGAACACAGATATCTAGACTTGCCATACGTATGGAGCAGACCAATGTAATTATGGTCCATATTGCTTTCAACCCTCGTGCTCTACCTGGAATCCCATCTCTCTATCCCTCTCCTCGAAGTACCCAAGCATCTTCCATTTATACGCTTCCAGATAGGGCTGGAGGTCCTTGTGTTCCGGATTCCAGAATTTCTCATGCAAACTCTTGACGCCGGCTTCCATGTCTTGCACAGTCGGGAAGTGGATGTTCCACATCCTGTCCAGCGTCTGCCAGGGCATGTTGCCTTTTGGTCGGCGGTGAGCCCAGTTGAGAAGGTTTTGCTCAGGGAGGGTTTTGCCCCAGCGATTATCGGAGATTTCTAGCAAGGAGCTATAATAGGCGAATATAGTCGCATCCGGCTTGAAGACGATGAAGCCGCTGTTGAGGTAGTTTGGGCCGAACTGGTACTCATTCTTCTCTTCAGAGGGAGGGAAGCCGTGTTCGATTCCTTCAAACGAAGTTAGTTCTTGCGATCTCTTCTTTCAGTGCACAATAGACTGTACGTACTTGGTTCTGCGGTGGTAGCAAAGGCGTACTGAGATGGTAATGGCGCTTCATCATCCTTGACCGCCTCTGGCTTGTGCAGGGTCGCTTGCATTTTGACCGCAGGATCATCAAACACTCCGTCTATATTGTCCATCAACACAGTATCGCCATCTATGAGGCAGATGCGTTCGAACTGAGTGAACTCCCACAGGCGCAGCTTTGTCATCACATCCTTGAACCGAGGGTTGATCTTGGTTACCCAGTTGGCTACCAAATCCTCAACGACTACGACGACTGCACCGTCTCTTTGCAGGCGCTCGATTTTCGCAGCAGTGACAGTATTTGTGACGATCACTATGAAGGGGATGGACGCATTCGATTTTGTCTTGGGATCGTGGAGAAGCTGGTAAGCGAGCAAACGGGCGCCCAACAGGTAAACGTCATCCTCCTCCGACTTTTCGTTTCCAGCTAGAAATGTAGCGTATGCGTATCTCGAGGTGATATCTTTCAGTTCGGTCGGCTTCCATTCTTGTTGGTGTGGCGAATATGGGTGCCACACAGCGTCCACAGCTGTATGCACAACTGCCTCTCGGTATGTATGCGCTCGATCGGGTAATGGTGCATACACGAAGAAAAGGAACGCTCCCATGAGAAACAGCCATACTGCAGCTATCCTGGAGCGAAGTGTCGTGGGGATAGTCATCCTCGAGTGTAATCGCGAAGTCGGGATGCGGTCAAGAGCAGTGCGCGGAGGCGCAAGGATAAGTACACTCGTCAACCGGTGTTCCCAGGGCTGACTGACTGTGCTCGTGTTGCGATAAGCACTGCAGTGTAACACAGCATACCTAAGTACCTAGGTACCTAGGTAATCGGCAAAGGCAGGTCCCGCGATTCGCCCTTGCCATTTACCGTAATGAATGAAAGTGGTGAAGGATTTCAATTGTTTCTTTTCGACTGATGACGTGAGCTCATCGATATTCAACGCTCATTCACTGGTCATCATGGGTGCGGTGGCTTCGCCAAGGGATAAGATGACATTACTATATCAGGCTAGTGTAGCATGAATCATACCCTTGGCGGTGCTGGAAGAGGAACCGGATCCTCTTGCATTCAGCCTAACGCGGAGTTACGCAAGGGTGCAGAGGCACAAAACAGAGTGGATATTACACCGACGGGTACGGGCGACGGCAGGGCAGACACGACATGCCGCTTCGATAGACCTTGAGACCTGTGCACATTTTTGCGCGATACCGCCTGCAAGGATGGTACGTAGTGGAGTGCCCGGTCGCAGGATCGAGAATGGATTCCTAAATCGCGCCCAATGTAGCAAGAAGTGGGGTGTGCCGAGACACTAGCCCTCTATGCTAGACTGCTCTGGTATCTAGCTTATCGTGGCCTGTGAAGGCACGGCTGACAGGGAATAAATGAGTTCCATGTGTTTGCGGCGTGAGGACTGTCATAGTAGGGGTAGATAAATTCCTCCGGAGCAGCAGACGTATTTGGGCGTTGGGAGCGGGTTGCATATTAAGACAAATAGCTTCTTCTATTCTACTTGTACTACCTCCGGATCTACCTTTCTTCTAGACCTGCTGCAGCTTCTTCCACTTGCTTCCGTATGTAAGCATCCTTTTTATTTCCTCTATTTTTGGAAAAGACGCCGTATGTGTTCGCCGTCGGTGTTGATATTGTATGTCATCTTGCCAGGATGGATGCGCCTCATCTCTCCCGAGATATCGGTCAACAACCTGTAATATTTGTTCATCGCTGTAGACTTTCTATAAATCTTGTAATTCCTCATGAACTCTGTCTCGTTGATCTCCATTGTCACACGAAATCGCTGTAAGCCTGATAAGTAGGTGAATGGCATATTGTCCAAGGTGATCCAACTAGACATGCAATGTGTTGCGGATCGACGACGCAAAAGGTACTGCTAGACCACGGATACGTCATGGCCTCGACAGAGATCTGTCGGCAGACACCTAGCAACCCAAAAACACGCTTGACTTGATTCCGCGCGTTTCCGTCCCAGCCGATGTCCCAGATATGGCCAGTGAGCAGACACTCGTACTTCGTTTCGAAGCTCTGCGGGCAGACTGAGAAAAGGAGATCGAGCGCTGTTCCGCTCTGTACTGTATCTAGCCAGCGCTTGTCATATTGACTTGTTTTCGCCATTACTGACATGTGACAAAGCTCTTCCGGTGTATGGAGCAAGTCCTTGGCTGGGCGCATATCGGTAGTAAGCCTTCGGTTGTTGATACTGCGAGAAACTGTCGATCTTGTTCTACAGAGCTGCAGTAGAGAGAATGGTTGATTAAGGCAGTGTGCGGCAGGTCCTCAAAGATTGATAGAAGAGCTTGAAGAACTCTGCAGTTGGGAGAGGTGGAGTAGTCACGCAGCTAAGTGCTTGCCCGCCATGAAAACGCGCACAAGACAACGAGTTGCCTCTAAATGCAATGTGGCGGAAGGAACACTGGTGAACGAACGAGAAATGGAATGCGGATTACTTGCACTGGATGGCATATCCATCACATCAAAAAGATCCAACGCATCATCGTCATGAAGGGTACCTTGGCGCGTAGCAGGATGCTCGGCTCTGGCTTACCCTTTAAGAACCACTCATACGTAGAAGACCAGGCCTCGTTGCCGCCATCATCAATAACGTCGCCGTGACACGGAATGACGCGCTTGATGTCCCACTCAGCGACCTTCTTGGCATCTCGGCGCATCAGCGAATGATTTACAGTCGCGATGTAGTACATCAATCGTTTTGCCCAAATTGATCGCGGATGCGCACGTTTGGCGAACTCGCGGGATAACAGGCCTTGTTCTGAAGACGGAGGCGAATATTGCTACTCTAGTCAGCTGCTCATTTGCAATGCATTAGATTTGTCAGACATACCTCAGTGCATGGCAGATTCATCATGAGATCCGATTGAATCAGTGTCTTCGTTGGCTTGTGGTACCACGCTACACAGTACGTAATGAATCCTTCGAAGAAGACAGTCTCAAAGTCGTCCGAAAAACCAAACTCGTCTTCTGGTCCTCCCATACTCCAGTCGCCACACATGAAATCCCATTTCACATCTTTGCGCTTGGTTTCCAATCCAGGGACGCCGATGGTCTTTGCGTCCGGCCAAACATCGAGATAACTCTTTACAAACAGATGGTGACCTAGATCACTCGCGATGAAATGCACGCCCCCGAGAGCAGTCAACGTGGCCTTTACTGTCGGTTCGAGAGGAACTGGGTTCAGAAGTAGGATGCGATCGTCGCGAAGGCGGATCGCTGTCGCTCGGTTTCCCACGGCGACAAATTCGCGGTATCCGAATGGTGCAAAGCGATTGAATAGCACGCTAAAGGTCGTGATCTCTGGCGAGACGTCGCGGATTACTGTTTCGGTCTGCGACATGCTTGGCCGATGTGGGTGCAATGTCGATGTTGGATGGTGTGGTTAATTCAACGTGTTCTTGGGATGAGGTTGCGATGTCGTCATTGTTGGCAGAACACCCGTGGACGCAAGTTTATTAACATTCCAGTGAATTTGCTCTACCATGCAGGAAGCTTCGTCACAAAAAGCTGAGATGTTCTTATCATTCAACTTAGTATTATACCCCAGCCATTCCTCATCCGCGCCTTTATATGTGAACATCTTATCACGACCATGCAACGCATCGTTACCCAGACGACATCTGTCGGAAATTCTAATAAGTTAATATCAAGCTCCACGCTCTTTTCCTCGAAAGCCTTCTTCCCTTGTTCCGACGGGTCGAAAGGCACTTGCCAGTCATTGCTGCCGCCCGTCACGTTGTTCCTTCCCCTGCACCTGTGCATCTCCTCAGCCAGTGCAATCCGTTTCACGGTTGATTGCAAGCCCAGAATCTCAAACATCCAAGGGATGCCTTTTGTAATTAGATTCTTCGCATTTGCGCGGAAGAGTCTCAAGGAATAGACATGTTGTCTCCACGAAACTGTACGTGTTTTCGGACAGAGCGTATTTCATATCTCGTTATGAGACTTAGCGGGACGGCGGAGAAGCGGTGACGACTTGGCATTGTAACTCATTCTTTGATTCTACGGTAGCATTAACACGTTCAGGAGCAAATCACAATACATACACCACACATATGTCGTGATGAGGTGCCTGAAGTACTCTGGCGTCTATCAGTGTAGTGGTTGAACTGCTGTTTGCCATGATGGAGATTTCGTGGGTGGTATTTGAGTATTTCTTAGGAAGGTTCTTGAACTAAGGATCGAGGTAAGAGAGAAAGTAATCGGGAAGCGGGGTGGTCATGGCGGCACACTTCTCCACATCTATATCTATATATACACGTCATAAGGCCTAAGTGTAGTCTTTACACCTTATTTACCATGAATTTGATTGACCTTGATCCCTATGGCTCAACACCCAATTGTCTCCAGATACTGTTGTCTGCGCAAGTAAAAGAACTGCTAACCGGCGTATTTGGATCATTGTAAGTCGCCATCAGTTGATCGATCGCCGCCCACAATCCTGCTCCGTTCATGAAGAGGGTAATCAGGATGATGAACCAATTAAGAATAGCCAGCAATGTCTTCTTCCAGCCTTTGAACTGCACGTCCCAGTTGAGGTACAGCCACATGACGCCAGATATACCGAACGTGAACCACGCGACAAAGAGCGCCGACGATATCGACAGAATGGAATCGAAGATTGGGATGGCATTCGCCAGGATAAACGCCAGGACCCAGAAAGTTGTGCCGATTCCGACCCATATGGCCCAGGTGCGCTTTGTGTTGCGATCGTATTCCTGCTCGATGTTGAGCATACGTAGGACCTCGACGAAGATGAACTTTATGGATGTATGGCCAAAGACGAGAGAAGTACCGAGGAGTGTCGGGAAGAGGATGCCGTAGGCAACCTTGGATGGGATAACAGGTGCTGAGCCTAATGCAGGGCTCGTGGTGAACTGACCAGCCAGAGCATAAATGACGGCGCCAACGATTGTGTACATGGGTATCGCGAAAATCTGCAGGATGTACATGGACGGCATGAAGTCCGCTGAGGCGTCCTTCATCTCGGCCATTACTGTAATGAAGGCTTGATTGCCCGCGTATGCGAATGCGATGTTAAGGACGGCGGAGAAGCCTTGTGCAAAGGTAGGGTCGCCGACTACATTGATCTCCCGAGTCCATCCTGGAGGTGCTGTGCTTGGACTGTCTACACCTAAAGCGATCATGACAATGAGCACAGCTGAGAAGATGGATATCGTGGCAATGACTGCTAAAGGTTAGCTTCTGATCTTGCCAGGATTCGATTCAGTACATACTGCCAAAATCTGCCATGAATCGCATTTTGCGCGGGATACACAAAAGCCACGAGCATAGTGTAGGAAACAGAATGAACAATATTGTGCACAATGCGTGCTCCGATATGCTGTTCAACGCGATGCTCATGGTGATGACTGAAGAAGCACATGTCAAGATGAGATTCAAAACAAACGCGATTCCGACAACAATAGCCAACGGCTTGCCACCGATGATGCGAAAGCAGTCGACGCAGTTGAGAACTGTAGGATATCTTCGAAAGAACTGCAGCAAGACATAGGCCGTGTATGTCACGAGGATACCTGAAAGATGCGGATTAGGTGACATGTGCTAGGAGTTTGGACATTTTACTAACCCATCCCTATGATGGTGATGATGCATGGGACCAAGCCCAAGGTCTGCATGGCTGTCGGAAGGCTCAAAATGCCTCTTATTGTTAGTAATGCCTTACATGTAGAAAGCAAAAGAGGGGACTCACCGATGCCGACTTGGTTCGTGATGTAGATCAGCGATGCCTGATACCTGTTAAGCGTCTTGTACGAAGAGCCCTCTCTCAACGTTGTTTGGAAGACAGCACTTCCTCGTCGCTCGGAAGGAATTTTCTCCATGGTTGCACCATCATACGGTGTGCTTTCGCTGGATTTCGAGATGTTTTCATCCGCTTCCACACCAGGATTCAGGTTGTCGTGGCCGTAATTGGTGTTGTTATACGGAACCGGTCCTGGTGCTCTCGTATGCGCACTCATCGTGGCTACTAGAGTTGACTGCTACCAGATGGAGAGGATGGAATTGAGAAAGTCGATGGACGATGGATCAGAGAGAATGGCGAAACCAAACATTATCAAAACGGATGGGCAAAACGTTTATCAGCAAAAACTGGGCCTTGACCCACGTACGCTGAGCTTTGGGCTGATGATAGCATCTTGGAGAAAGTTGGACGCGTGTACAAAAAGACGCACCAGAGCTTGGTATACTCTACGTAGCCCTAAATGTGGCTCTGAAACGAAGCCAAATGTGCATGCATAGCGTATCGTAATCTTCTTAGTCAATGGCAGACGCAATTGGGAAGCCGATGCACGGTCATTTGCCTTACACTGCCAAGTACAATGTTTCCGTCGTAGCCGTTTGCCATCAATTTTCGGTCGCATCGCGGCGCTTCGAAGTGTGGTGTTAAGAAAGACAAGATGGATCGGAAGTTCCGAGGCTCTTGGCGAGTTTGACGCGTGACGTCACAGCCTGCCATGGACTGGTACATTACATACTGAGTTCACAAGTATGCAGAGCACTTTCAGCACTGAATGATGAGAGGATTTGGATTGCAAATGCTCTATTCAAGACATGTCGTATCCCAAATGTACGGCTGAGTTCGTTACTGACCGGCACATCGTTCACGCGTGTATGGCTCCTCTCAAGTTGCGGAAGAAGAGAGAAACGGTCAATAACTGCAACAGCGGTCTAAGATATACAGATAACAATTGAGCAAAGCTGGAAATAGCTCTATAGAGTCTTTTAACTTTTCTTAAAGACACCTGGGCAGTTCTAAGTAGAGCTGTCTAGTTACAGGAAAGGAATACAATTTCGCACATCAAATTTCCGAAGGTGTTGTATCTCGCTTTTTCTGCAACGTGGGGCGCCTTAGTTGACTGCTTGTGATCCATTCCAATGCAGGCTGCTCAATTCTCTGATATCCCCAACTCTGTGGCATCTTCCATTGTACGCTGATACCACTCAATGAGCAGACCCGGCTGTAGAGACCGCAGACACTGCTCCAACTCGATCCGAGCCTTCTACAATGCACCTGCAATCACCAGGATGTGAATTCTCTCGACATTGGGAATTTTCTGAACAAACTCCCAGTCCTGCGAAGTCAAATCCGCACACCTTGCAACATCGCAAGTTCGACGTGCTGAATAGAGATGCGTTGAACGTTTGATTGGTCCTCGAGGAATTCATTGAGGGTGATGGAATCAAAGTATCGGCGGTCTGGCGAGTTAAAGGATTCGAAGACGAAGATCAATCGTTGGTCAGGTAGGAGGGAGATCTCGTGATGATCTGGCAACAAACGAAGAGTAGGCTGATGCATTTGTAAATGACGCTAGATCACTGCGGAAGATATGCGACTCTACTGATGGTCACGTTAAGATAATCAGGTCACTGTGAAAGAATATCTGTTGGACAAGGTTGTTTCATTGTCCATGCTCTTGGGAGGACATGTCCCACGTACTCATCTTCGCGCGTCCATTTGTGAATCGCCGCCTTCATTAAGCACGGAATTCGTAGTGTAGTATATAGTCCACTCTGCTAGACATGAGACGTCAGATGCTTCGCTCTCCGAAGGCATATCCGTCTGCCGTCTAGAGCTCAAATCTCAAAGTTAACCTCGAATGCAGGCACGACATCCCCGAACCTGTGATGGAGCTGTGTCAGATCTATCTACCTTGTTGAAGGTCCGAGTGATTGAGTGACAATGAGTAGTGGGATATCAAGAACATAATGGGAAGGTAGGAATTAAAAAGCACGAAACAACGCGCTAACGTCACGCTACTTTCCACTATCACCCTCATAGCGCAAGAATATTTTATTACTACGAGCCACCATGAATTCGGTCAAAGCTTCGTCGGTATATGCCCACCAGGTAGTCATTTAACGTTCTTCTCAAGCCACTCCTCCCACTGAGCCTCCGTCCAGCCGCTTGATATCTCATTATTGACAACGCCATCGAAGACCACTGTCGGTGTTACATGAACACCAGTCAACCTGTTGGCTTTGACCTGAATCTTGACGTCGTCCGTCACACCATTGCCCGTGTTCAGGCCCCCATCCTCGGTAGGCTTGTCACTGATTTCCAGAAGACTGTACACCTTCTTCTCATCGATACCAACACTTCCAGCGATCTTAGCTAGGCGCTTGTACGTAGCATTCCGAGTCTCATTGACGACATTGACGTCGAAGAACTCCTTCTGCTGGTGGAAGAGCGCGGCGCTGAAGTCGTAGAATCTGGTGGGGTCGACCTTCTGGACTGCATACCCGGCCTCGTGGACGAGTGTAGACGAGGGATGCCACGGTTGGATCTGCTGTCTAAAGATTGTTACAACGCGATCGCCGTACTTTTCGAGAAGAGTCTGGCGGAGGTTCGTGTTGTAGACGGTCTTGAACATCTTCTGGCTGAACGGGCAGACATAGTCGAGGTCTATTGGGAGAATGAGCAGGCAGAGAAATCGACTGATGCTGTGAACTTACAGAGCTCGAGTGTGTGTACAGCTTTGGGTTGTATGGAGCTTGAAGCAAGCTTCTGTCCCGCGAATTTGGGTGCGAGAGCCATTGTCTCCGATACGATATGTTTAGCAAAAATCTCAGATAGTGATGCGATTGAATATGTTTGGATCGCGTCTTTTCTGTTCAGTGAGACTCATATATTTATGGTGAGGAGCACGCAATCAAGAGCTTAGATGTTACGAGGGGTAGCTTCGGAAGCTTCATGTATGACGACATCGGTCCTTCCTTACCCTCGCAGAGATTGAGAGCGACAGCAGCAAATGTGCAGTCATCATCTCTGACCGCCAAAGGTTCTGCGACTTCTTCTCCATAATCGGTCTGGGTTATGCATCGTGGTCTGAAAAGCAGATGTCGTGAAATGTTCCCCACACTTGCCGGCAACGTAACTCCGCAAACCCCCGGACGGATGCATCATAGCTTCAACGCCACATGGCGCCCAACATCACGACCCTCCCTGAGAGAATCTGGTTTTTGATTGCGCATATTTGCCCGGTCCTGGTGAGCTGAAATGCCATCGGATGACGATCTTCTCGCACGGCTGAACGCGTTGAAGAAGTCGAGCGTGAGCCTCGGCACGAATTACAACCCTTCGATAGCCACATCACCTTCACCGCAGCCTACCGACGACCTCGCAGCCCGTTTCGCACGCCTTGGCTCAGCCTCTCCCTCAAGCTCGCCACAGCCTTCACGAACCACATCTGCAGATGATGCGCGTACACCAGTAGCGGCACCTGGTGCGCCAAGCTATTTGGAAGGCATCGCAGAGGGCATCGGCGGAAGCAATGTCGAGTTCAATGAAGAGGATGAGAAGAGCCTGGAAGAGCTCCTGGGAGAGTTGAAGGAGACGGTTGGCGATAAGCCAGAATGGGAGTTGTCCAATAAGGAACAGCAGGATGTTGGGAAGCTTTTGAAGGACATGAAGAGGATCCTGCCAGAAGTGGTGAATAGTAGAGCACAAGACGCGAAGACCACGGACCCAAGAAAGAAGCAAGAAGATCTTACGGATTGGGAGACCATTGAGGTCAATATTGGCGGCGGAGAGGTCACCACCGGCACAGGCAATGCCGCGGACGAACATGATGACGAGGATGAAGAAGGCAAGAAGCCAACAGAGGACGAAGAGGCAGATGACCTTATTGCAAGAGTTATGGCTGAGCTGGAGATCAGCAGGAAGTACAATCCGCCATCCCCACCACCAGAAGATGTCGAGGGTCCGAAACAGGGAGATCCGGAGGCGGACCAACAAAACCAAAATGGCGGTGATCTGAGCCTTCCATCTGCACCCACAGATCTCCCAGAAGACGATTTCGAGCGCACGAAAGCTATTGAAGACGCCTTCACCGCCCGCCTTGCAGCACTATCCGCGCCATCTCCAGCGCAGACAGACTCCTTAGGCCTGCCATCCGCTCCGTCTTTCTCTCCCCAGAAGAAGCCTCCTATCGGATCAAACCTGCAAAAATGTATTGACGATGAGATTGATACTTGGTGTATCATTTGCCAGGATGATGCGACGCTGAAGTGTTTGGGTTGCGACAGCGACCTGTACTGCCAGCTCTGCTGGACAGAAGGCCATCGTGGCGAAAGTGCGGGGCTCGAGGAAAGAACACACAAGGTTCTCTTGTATGAGCGAAAAAAGAAGCAGGCGGCTGCGTAAGCACGTCGTTTCGACCGATCAACAGGCAGATCTTGCGAGCTCGAATATCAATTTCCGTTCTGTCTGTCACGACTCACTAGAATGATACGATCGGGGATGGGAGCTCCCAGCCGCGGTATCATTTCCGAATTTGTGCAGCTTGTCGAGGTCACAGTGAAATTCGACTTTGGCGCAACCATGGAATCTAGGTCTTGGCGCCTCCCCTGATATAACTTGCCTTCCGGTGAATTAAGAGAGTACTCACATTCCTTCACTCCTCAACTACCACCTCTGGAATCCAGCATCCCAGTTTAGAGGTCATCGTACTCCAAGTTCCAGACCAAAACCTGGAACAAACGGTCGTAAAGCGTTGGAACTTGATCGAGTTCCTTACAGCCAGACGTCGCGAAGCTCGCGCAGAAATGTAAGCCTAAGCCGATTTCCCGTTTCATTGCCACCATGTAACAACTGGCGTGCAGCACCCAACGCAATGCTCTCAAATCGCCTTTGCTTCGCTTGCCAGCAGAGATCCGAAATCTCATCTACAACTACGTCCTCACCAAAGGGACGTACACCTTCGGACGACTTTACAAACCTCGAATACCTTATCCTACAAAAACGCGAAAGAGATCCAGAAGTTGGGGCGTGCTGCAGAGACTCTTCCCGGGAAGCAACGCCAATAGCCTCTCCCGAGTATGCCATCAGATCCACCACGAGGCCTCACTGCTCCCATTCGAGCTTAACGACTTCCGCTTTCAGAATGTGGTATTCATAAAACGTCTCCTTGAAAAGCACTTTTCCTGGTCTCAGCGCACTGCGATGAAGCGAATCCGACTGCGTGTTATGCAAGACTTAACGCCATTTGCTACGATGCCGTCGCACTACAATTTGGAGCATTTGGTGAAGCTCCTTCCCAACATAGAGAGTGTTACCATTGAAACGCCTGAGGCATACTTTTTTCCTGGTCCTTACACGCTTCCTTCGCTGGAACAGGGATGCACCGACGAGAACAAGCAGTGGTTGTGGAGTTGGGCGAATCGTGGAAGCAGCCGGACGGTACAAGTGGGGTTCAAAATCGTTTTCCAAATGTTCTATCCGCGCTTCTCCGCCGAGTTTTGCTAGGTTTCATGAGCAAAATAGTCTTCAAAGCATGGAAATGCCTGCTTTTCCATACCATCAAGGCTCGTTTCCTCCCCATCCATTCAGTTGCCTATTGCCTGCATTTATAGACTGCGACACGATTTACTTTTGTAGCTCCTTCAAGAAAGGCGATGCGAGAAGATACGGAGAGAACCCGGAAAGCATTGCTCATAATAGAAAAGAATTGGGGGAATTTCTACGACGTAGGATGAGGCCCGGCCTGGATTTTGTGTGGGTCTGAGGTCTCCTCTACAACGATCAGAGTGGCTGAAACAGTCGGTCGCAACGAGGACCTCGGGAAGCTGTGAAAGAAGAAGAGAACATGACCGCGCTCCGATTCATAAGATACACATAATAAAACATTCCCCCCCCCCTCCTATCACCTCAGCAAATTTCTTTCTGCACATGATTAGTCAGTCGCAGCAGACGTACCACGCGACTTTGCCGCAGCCACTGCCTCATCCAAATAACACCCTCTACCGCTTTTCTCTAAAACAACAATCTTGCCAGCAAACATGTCCACAAACTCGGGCGAAGATTGTCTCATGCCGTCTACCGCTACTGCTGCTGCTACTGTTACACGCGCAATCAATGCCGCAACGTAAGTTTAACGTCAACATCTCAATATCACATAGCTCTAACGCGATGCTCAGTGCCGAGCGCAACGACCGAGAGTCGCCACTGCTTCGCCTACCTGCAGAACTCCGCAACCAGATTTACGAGTACGCTCTCACCGACGGCATGTATGAATTGCGCGCACCAAAGGGCGGCATTTGTCCATATCCAGCTGGGATTGGCATCGCCGGTGTTTGCCAGAAGCTTTATTACGAGGCCTCCCTTTTATCATTCACTCTGAACGAGTTCCACTGCGGAGTAGCAGCCGACCTCGTCAAGCTACATTCTCGTCTGAGCATCAGACAGCTCAGCGCTATAACAAACGAATCGTTTTCGAACCATATGCAAATCCCAGTCATGTTCAACGGCCGTTTAATGACTCCCAGTTCCGAGATGGAAAGTCAGCGAAGCGGAGTCTGCTTCAGAGAGTTCTTCCCCAATGCTCAGCGTGTGACACTCGCTGAGGATTGTCATCCATATCCATATCCATACTATGGAATACGTCCCAGATGGGACCCAGTTATCTCGTCCTGGGTAGGTGGCAGACGAAATGCTGGCTTGGTTATTGTGTACAAGGAGAGCTGTGACTGAACAACCCTGTGATAACCAACCACTCGATTTGCGATGACATGGACTTTGCTCGTGGTATTATCGGGCTTTCTTCGTCAGCCAATTTGACGTCAATGCAAGTTCACTCCACGCTGGTATAGTAGCGCTACTGAGCATCCAGCATTCTTAAAGATAGAAAATGAGAATCAAACTCTTGATCCACTAATTACACTTTCCCAAAATGTCTATTTCTTCCATCACTCTCGATCTGGGATTATCTTCTGGTAGCACAGAACCCGCTGCTCAAACTGCTGCCACAGCAATGTAAGTCGAAAACATTCCTGCTATACGCTTGATGATCTAACTTCATATATACCGCGCTGAATGGCCGCACCTCACCTCTTCTCCGCCTTCCAAGCGAGCTAAGAAATCAAATATACTTCTACATATTCACGAAGCATGTCGCCAACTTCGTCTCGAGGCTCTGATTGACTAGTGCTCACTACCAATTACAACTCCGGTGTGAGCCGCCCAATCTCAGTCTCACCTACGTCTACCATCGACTCTACCACGAGACAGGGTTCCTATAATTCACGTTTATCGACTTCCAGCGCGTCGACATTTGGGTGTGTGCGATCCTAATCTTACGATTTACTGACACACAGCGGGCAGCGCTGAAGAACTTTACCATTGAAGTCACAGTTGGGACGAGGCACCCGTCCAATACTGTCTCGAATACGATCACCCTAAGTACTCCCTCGGAAACCCTTTCGAACCACGCCCGCTACCAGAGTACAAAGTATTCGGTCTCGCTCTTACCCTCGTCTATAAGCAGATCTACTACGAAGCCTGGTCTCTTCCCTACGCTCTGAATACACTCGATCTCAACGACATGTTTTCAACACTTTGCCCAAGTTTCTTTTATACACCTGAAGAATACACACAGTTGGTGAGGCAGCTACCAAAAAGCGAAATTGTCCTTGTTATTGTAATCAACAATAGGAGGATCACTCCGTTGGGAGTTCCCCGTTGTCCGGGAACGAGAAGACCCTGGAGCATTTGATCCAGTTAGGACGCGGCGGTAGTCAGTTCTCTTTAAGGGACGCGTATACATTCGGGAAACATGAGGCAAATGAAACTTGTGTTTTGAGAGAAGACGGGATACATACGTAATAATTCCAGATTGTACAGGTGCCCATCCCCTTTGGGATTGATAAGGAATCTTGGTTGTCTATGATTCCCAGTTTAGCAAAAATCAGAATTTCATGTTCGACAGCGTGACGAAGAACAGAGTGGGAGTGAAAGCCCAAATAGTGTGACGAAGTTACTGGACAGGCAACAAAGGCGTTGTGGGTACAAATTCATGTTCTCGACATTGTGCACACACTTTCCCTCGATGCTGCCTGGTTGCCGCACGCGAGATCTAGAAGACTTAAATTCAGTGCTACAAGAGTAATTGGTCTCTCACGCCGACACAACACCGACTCAACATTGCTATCTTGTAAGATAGAATCAACTTCGACCAACTCAAGGATGCATGAGGCCTCGGTGGGAGATACTGTATCGACTCTGGAGTCCCGATTCCTGAAACTCCCAGGCGAACTTCGTAACAAAATATGCGCTTACGTGTTCACCACAACCTATGGCTATGTGTGGATGAAGAAAACAGGTATAGCGTAGAGTCAGAAAAAACTTCACGTGGCCTGGGAATAGCCTAGCGACCAGTGTTGGCCCATGCTCTCTTCTATGCTTCTTCCATTTGTAAACCACGTGACCAAATCTTTCATCCTTGGCGCCAAGCATCTACTTTGTCACTCCAATTCATCCACTTTGTGCAACACTCTGCCATAAGCGACCGCGTACAAGTGCAATTCAACTTCCCTCATATATCACAACTTGATCGCGACTCAGCTGCAACGACCACTCATGGCCCTAGGCCCTCCTCCCAAAATGAGCAACGTTCGACTAGCCGCGGGCCAGGTCACCAGCGGCAAGAAGCTCAAGAACCGAACGCAAGTATGGCATGCGTGTGCGATACGAACAGCCCATTGACAATGTTCAGCTACACGCACCAGGACTCGTCCTTCCTCAAGCTCCCCGGCGAGATTCGCAATCAAATCTACACCTACTTCTTCGCGAACTCGACGTACAACTTCATCCGTAGGAAGAGAAGCAGCAAAGACCGTACGCCCCTGGTCGTGCGTAAAGACAAGACGCGTGTCAAACAACATCATCTCGCTCTCCTCAACGCCTGCCGCCAAACGTACTACGAGTCATCTGCGTACCCATTCCAGCTCGGCCAATTCAAGTTCATCTCCTTAGCGACTTTTGCGTGGATTGGCGACCACTTCTCGCCCGAGCAGAGAGCGAGGATTACGTGTCTGCAAGTACAGATGTGGAGGAAGGATACTATCCATCCGCCCGCGCATGTGAAGAGATTTTATAAACAGGATCTCGAAAATGTGTTGCCGGGTGTTAGATTCATGGCATTAGATATCATTCTTGAGACAGATCGGACGACAAACATAAAGCAGGTCATCGAGAAGTGGATTAAGAAGAGTGGTCGAGTTGACATGATCATACGCGGGATTTATCTTGACTCTAGGATTATCGTCTGGTCGATGAGAGGGTGCATATGAAGGAGGAGGGGTATGATGATTGTACGAGAGACGGCTCATAGATGATGGGTAGCTAAGAAATGTGATCGTCTATTCCATACCGTCCTTCTCGAAGGCTACCATAATTCCCATTGCTCTTTCGTATGTCCACATAGTGACCGCGCTCGCAGGAGCTGCTTTGAGCAGACTGACCGTCAAGCCTCTGTACATGCCACGCCTTCCCTCGTGCTTCCAAATATGCTGAAGGGTCATGAGTACGCCACTGTAGGTCGGTATATTCCGATGAACGTATCGCGCCCGATTCGGTCCTTGCACCTGCAATCGCTTCCGCGTCGTATCGAGGGGATATACGGCTGTCTTGGAAACCACGCTAGCCACAACACCTGCGACGGCATCAGAACTACCTAGTGGTAGTGGCAGTGGAGAGTCGGCCATGACAGGCTTTAGGCTCTCGTAGCTGGCAAAGAAGAGACCCATGTATGGTACAATCTGGCTCACGCCGGCGCCAAGCCCACGGAAGAAGCCGGTCGGTCCCTCATGTTGCGCGATGCTCTTTAATGAGGCCACGATGGACGTGTATACCCGGTCCTTGCCCTGCGCAGCGAAGCGCGTGCGCAAAAGATCCAATGGATATGTGACTGTCGTCGCAGCAGCCCCTGCGCCAGCACCACTGATGAAGGAGTTTGCTGAGCTTGGCAGTGTATATGGAGCTGGGATCGTGTCCAGCATTTGCGAAATGTTCGTGTATGCAGAAAATTGCACGCTGCCATACGTCAAGTAGAGCAGCTCAGCAGGTATGTTGCCTTTCCATAGGCCTGTGACACCTTCATCGCGCAAGATTTGCTTGAGGGTACCCAGTGTCCCTTTGTACACCGGGCCATTGAGGCCGCGGTAGCTTGTCGGTTCGGAGAGCGAATGGATCTGAAGTTGTAGGCGGATCTTGATGACGTCGAGGGGTGCTATCACGAAGCTATCGCAACATCAGTAAAGCACACATGCACGCCTACAAAGAGGGGGACATACCGCGAAACAAGCCCTGCAGCCGCACCTGCGACGACTACCTGTTGGCGGGAGCCCTATGTCTTATTAGCGTTCGAAACCGGGTGGTAGGAATAGTCGTTGTTTTACCTCATGCTTGAGCTGTGCGACGCCCTCAGACATGCGCCCAGCGCCTAGATCGCAGTCAATGCAACACGTGCCACAGCGGTACGCGCTATAATAACTGCCGGCGGTTTGTGGGTTCTATAGGGACGCGTCGGAAGAAAGGGTGTAGTGTGGAAGTAGATGACCTCGGTCTCGGGTCAAAGTTTCCAAGTGTCGTCGGCGTCTGAAAAGGAAACGAGACCCCGCGGCTCTGCCGCTGCTTGTTACACGACGACATGTCTATTAACATTTCCACCAAACTTCCACTGCGGAGTGTTTCCTCCAGGACGATCGCACGATCCTGCCGATCTACTCAGTGCTCACAAAAAAGACACTTTTTGTTCAAGTCGTTCTGGAGTAGATCGTCCAGTTCGGCTGAGCACGCTGATTGGACCCGCGATACGCATGGCCCGACCCGGCCAACTAAAGCCGAAGAGAAAGCACATCAAGAGCAGGAATTGAGGCAGAGAAAAGAGCAGGAATCTTTGGTGCACGATGAATCGAATGTCGGTCAATTGGACGGGAACCCCGCAAAACACGTTGCCGTGAACATTGATGGGGAACCCAAAATCTTCGACACGGTATTTCTGCGGGATAGCTGTGCATGCCCACAGTGCAGGGATCCGCACAGCAAGCAGAAGCTCTTTCAAACCTCGGACGTCCCGGAAGATCTAGAGGGAAGCTGCAAGTCTGTCGTTGATGAAAAGAAGGGGCTTTCAATCGAACTGAAATGGAAGAATGACGTCAAAGGTTATGGGCCAGAACATCGCACTAGGCACTCGATAGACTGGCTACGAAGAGCACTGAACACTGAAGTCGAGCTTAGAGGCGGCATAAAATATGACGACCGAGTGTTCTGGGATAAAGAGAAGATCACGAAGAACAACAAATGGGTCGACTACAACGAGTACATGAACAGCGACGAGACCCTTTTCGAAGCCCTAACACACCTCAACCAGTATGGTCTGCTCTTTCTGCGCAACGTCCCAGACTCTGAAACTTCGGTCGTAGACCTTGCGTCTCGAATCGGAACACTGAAGGACACATTCTACGGCCGGACATGGGACGTTCGCTCCAAAGCCAAAGCCGAAAACATCGCCTACACACCGCAATTTCTCGGTCTGCACATGGACCTGCTATACACGTCTAACCCACCACATCTCCAGTTCCTGCACTCGCTACGCGCCCGCTGTCCCGGCGGCGAATCGTTTTTCAGCGACTCTTTTCACGCCGCACACCAACTGCAACGGCGCTCCGCATTCCATTTCCGAACGCTGTGTACGTTTCCCGTCACGTATCAGTATCATCACCCTACATTTCACTATCATTTCACGCGGCCCGTGATCGATTTGCATCCATATCCGAAATACAGCGATCCAACTCTTCTCCCCATCCATCGCGTGAACTGGTCGCCGCCATTCCAGGGGCCGTTTGAAGCGCGCATTGGCTCCAACAATGCAAATTCACTGCGCTCGTTCGTCGCGGCGTCGCATGCGTATGAGAAGTTGATCAGCAGCGAGGAAAATTTGTATGAGTACCGATTGAACGAGGGCGAATGTGTGATATTCGACAATAGACGGGTTTTGCATGCGAGGAAAGCATTCGACGCGTCAAAAGGGGAGCGATGGCTCAAAGGCGCATATGTCGATGACGACGTATTCTTCAGCAAGTTGAGAGTGCTGCAGGAGAGAGTAGAAGGCAAATGGGTCTACGAGGGCGTCATCAGAGAAGCAGTGAAATAGAACTTGCACATCATAGCATAGCGGAGCATGACATAGATGATACTGCATCGCATAGAAAAGCATCATCAATTATCATTCAATATTCCGACCTCTCCATCTCCGTTCTCAAAGCGCACTTTCATCATCGATACCTTGGCGAAGTCCAACACGCCCATTTGCACCGTCGCATCTTTCCAACCCCTGCGCTTTAATGTCTGCTCCAGTAGGAATGCCATGTCAACTCTGTTAACAGCAAACTCCATCGGCTCGCCCTGCAGACCTTGTATCAAAAAGTTCAATTCCAGACTTGGCGCCGTGCGTGCCAGGACGTAGAACGGTGTCGCGCGAGGTTCTTGCGGGAGAGGCGTACTTTGTGGACGGGGACGTGTAGATGGCATATTGCGCTCTTCTTTGATATCAAATTCGTGGTCCAATCTGGCGATAGGTTCGGCTTGGACGTTAGCTTGCTGAGTGAGTTGCGAGTTGTGCTTGGAAAGGGCTTGGATCTTGGCTGTGTTGATGAGAGCGCGGCGCTCGAGTTCTGAAAGTTGTTTTTGAGACATGAATTGGCCAGGGACGTGTTGTTAGTATGACGAGGAGCTACGTGGAAGATTTTGCTGGCAGAACTACGTTCGCTGATGTGAAAGACTTCCTGTCACTTGCTTTGGTGAATAGAGCAAACGTTGGAGAAACGCAGTCATCTATGACAGACAACTTTGACGAAGTGTTAAGGAACATAAAACCATGGAAACCTGCAGGCTGGAGCTGGAGCAGCTCGAGTGACAGATCAGACGCCTGATTAGGAGGCCAATATGCTCGCTTTCATCTTCGACGTCATCACACGACGCGCTGCAAACTGGATATCACGATGAAGTCTCGATTGTATCTTTCTATATGGTAATACCATCAAAAAAGATGCGATACATCCTACGCAAAGGTCGTCCCCAAGCAGTGCAGGTACGCTTGGCCTCTAATTTCCGGAATTGTACCTGGCGCCACCATTGCCGTCATTATAGTAAGTTGAGCCCTAAACAGACTGTCAGAATCAAGGTAACCCAGCGTCGACGATCACCTACGTTAGGGTTGGAGTAGTAGTAGGAGCCGTTAGTGTTGGAGTAGTGGTACGAGTTTGAGTTTGATGCACCGGAGCCGTAGTCGCGGGAGCAGTAGTGGTTGCCCTGTTTCGCATTACTTAGCACTACTCTTTCTTTTAGGGATCCAGTTACAAACCTGGCTGTTTGTGCCGGAGCCGGTGGTGGTATAGCCAGAGGCACCGGAGCTGGAGCCGGAGCTGGAGCCCGTGCCTGCGGAAGATGAGCCTTTAGTCATACTGGCTAACTCGTTGGTGGTTGAATGTTGTTGGTTGATTGGATTCGCCGGTTAGTTGGGATGTTTTGGAGCGAACGGAAGAAAGAAGGCTCATGAATAAGTACCCGTGAACATATGGTGGAAAGGGCCGGTTCACCCCGCTCCAAACTTGTGCAAGTACCCCACATTGACCGACACTTCCGCTTTTCCCTCACGATATCACGATAGTCGCCGCCGCACCGGCAAGGTACACGTGTTTAAGTTGGAGAGACATGTTGCTGATTGTTTCTATTATATTTCTCGTAATACTGTTGACAATATCAGGCTCATGGGTCGTATACATACTATCCCCTTCTTCTCCTCTTACAGTGTCTTGGAAAGCCAGACTATGCACGATTCGAGCCACGGCCAACTTCGAGCAATGAACTACGGTTCCAAGCTTGTAACTTCAGATGCACGATGTGACACACAGGAGGGCAATTGAGCTCGGGAAACGGCTGATAGGACCTGTGCGGGTAATTGCATCTGTTGACTTGATTGGTACAGTGCTACTTTGTCTTCTACCGACTTTTAACTTCCAGCTGGCTTGCTAAAAGTTTGTCCTGGGCTGCAAACCCGTCATCAACACGGCTCCCAGTCCCATGTCCCACCGCCAATGTTTTCAATCGTCTTCTTATCTCATCACCTTTGCACTTCATTCAAGTGGTTCCCTTCCTTTGACTGCGCGGACATGTACATGAATTCTCGCAGTATCCCGACATTTTCTTAAATTGATAAGGAACAGATGAGCGCTGCATCCTAATCAATGCGGATGTAGTAGTCTTGATGTCAGTTCGGTTCCAGGTCCGTGTGCCATTTTTTTCTCTCGTTGTAGCAACCCGTTTGTTTCAGACGGCTCTAAGCATTGCTTCTCGGTCTCGTTCCTGCTTCTCGACAATCTGCCTTAGGTTGAGATGCGAGATGTATGGCTTCAGTGGCAGGTCCTCGGTCCAAAGGAGTGCTGCGCCGGAGACGATGACGACACCTCGCTGATGAAGACGCGCCCATCGAGCTTTGCTGCGCAGGTTGTGCACGCGGATCCAAAGTATGGCGAAGACTAGTTCGATAACAAGGATGACACCGACGGTGATAAGGGTCCAGATCAAAGGCCAGTCGCGAGGGAGGTGAGCGGGTGCCGCGCGGGCAGAAAGCGTATAGGATTGACTGAGCAGATCCAAGGCGGGCATGCTCGCGGCTATGCGTGATTTGCGGGGAGTAGGGAAATTCCCTTTAGAAGGTGGTATTTGGGTGGTGGTCTGCTAATCTTTGGTGCGCGCAGTGCGATATCTGAAGTTTTTGAGCACGGTCCCGGCACTCCGCTTCGCGACAAACAATCAGAGTGAAGGTGAAAGAGCACATACTCGGACATTCGACGTCATGTGAGCATGACTTCCGGAAATCCACCTGCCCCATCGTCTAAATTCGAGGGCTGCATTATCATTGCGCCTAGGTGTAGGGGCTATGTGGTCACTGGAAGATAGCAAACAGTACGCAGAGCGCAGGTCTGAGAATTTGCCATCGGTTGGGCTGACGAGAACGAAAAGCTGTGCAAGCTATGCATGCCGCACACACAAACAAACAAGTGCGTCACCACCACTCTCACCTCAAATCCTTTCTGTACTCACTGCGACAAAGCCGACACGCGCATACATTAACGCGCCAAGTCAGCAACCTTCCATCAACAAGCACCACATAACTCAAGGTTTGTTAGTTTAACTTCGTATTGATCCACCAATTTGCATGGATTTGACGCATTTGAATATACTACACCAACTTGACTTGTGAGGCCGCTTGTTCGATTCCTGCCTGCAGAAGGTAACCGGAACAGAAAAATCCACTAAGCTGGGTTTAGATGTCGCCCTAAGAAACCTGGATAGGGTGGAGGGTGCTTTTTTTGCAGTTTTCTTTCTGCCTATCTTTTTGCTTTTAGATAGAGACACCTGGACACAGATACGATGCGCAGCCGTCACGCTAGCAGTATAATGACCTGACGCGCTTTGAGCCCGTATCAGTCTCGCTATCGATATAGATAAACTCCTTGTGAAAGTAGGCAGAAGGTGATCTCTGCTTAAGGCTTCCAGGCCTTGATCCTGCTCCAAAGATCCTTGTGGTCCCTGTGGGGTATTCGCTTTGAATGTCAGCTTATCCAGGTACGGGACGCCTTAATCTTGAGGTTCTCCGACTGACCTAGCATGTTTCAAAGGGGTGCACAGGCTGAGAGTCTCTCTCCACACGACATACAATTCCTATTACCCGCCATAACTAAAACAGACACAGAATCCGAGTACAAACACTCACCAGACTCTGATGGAATCATGAATTGCACTACTGAAGTACAACGCATTCTGAGTCTATATCCGTCAAAATGCGACGTTGGTTCTATCTGGCAAAGAACCCAGTCAGAAAAGCCAAGAGTGAGGACGGCCACTTGGCGGTCTCTAAGTGAATCTGGCGGCAGACTTGGGGTAAAGACGTATCCTTTAAATTCGACAACAGCCTGTGTGTTTCAAACCATATACTTTCTGTTCTGAACATAGAAAAGGCCGTCTTCAATGAAATGATTATCGGTCATGTTGTGGAACTCTGGTAGACGCCGCAGAAGCGGTGAAGCTTGATCTTTCTCTGCGGTGATTCGATCTTTGGACTTCCTGGCGGACGTTTTTCTGTTCATCAGAGCGTCGTATAAGGCATACATGACTTTTTTGAGGAGCTTCTTGGGTGCAAAATTATCTGTCGGTAAAGCAGCGGGAAGGCAAGAAAGAGAAATTTAATTGCAGAGTGACGGACTTATTCGTGGCTTCTAGTTTTAGACACAGCGACAAGTCGGTTTTAGATAATTACGTCTCTTGACGTTCTATTCATACACTGTCTGGTAAGACATATTCTGTCTTCGAGGTCATGTACACGGGATTGCTCGCACAGCAACCTTCATTTCTTCTAGATTTGGCATTATCTACATACTCACATGGCTTCAAAGACCCAAATTTTGATGCTAGATCACGTATTGCAAAGCGAAGAAAGGACTAGCAAATATTCTGACACATGTTATAACAGGATTTATTGCACCAATAGCCTGTCCGAGAGAAAAGCTATACCTTTGTGCAAATCGTACGGCTGCCCAGAAGTGCTTCCTCTCGTAAAGTTCTAAAAGCATTTAAAGAAGACTGCTCCTAACTAACCTTGCTTATAGTCTCCTTCAATGCCCCGTTGTCAATTTGCAGGCCTTCTCATTCGAACCACGAGCAGTATGATGGAGAAGGTCGTCCTTTAAGGCTGTTTGTAGGTTTATTCGTCATTGCTACCTTGCTTTACGTATGAAGGTTGCAACAGTCCTCCGGGGCACTCGGGCGCTGTTTCGGAAGCTACCATGGCTGGCGAGCATCGGTCCCGAGATGGAGATTCGCTTCACTTCAAAGATGAACTTCGTACCCAGTCTGTAATCCTTGAGCTGACTCTTTATCCAACTCTCTTTGATCTCTTTAGTGTACTGAACGACATCCTTAACGCCCATCTTGGCGGCCTGCAGGTAAATTTTGATGAGATTATCGCCAAGCAGTATGGTGGTGATGGTGCGTGGGTGGCGTAGTTGTATGCAGCGAAGACGAGGGACGACTGCTAGCACCTGGAGAGTTCTTTTCATTCTCTTTCCGACCTTTGATCCGTAGAGGACTGAGATGTGTCGAATTGCGCCAAGTTGCTTTGCGCTTAGTTCTCCAAGCAATCCAATCATATGACCCTTCGAGGGTCTTTCCCATCCAATGTCGAATATGCCATGTGCAAATGGTAAAAGCGCTGCCTCAACAGAAATTTGGCGACATATTTTGAGGAGAGCAAAACGATTGAGGCTTGAGCTGCCCGGCCTTCTCCATTTGAAAATGCCCTAGACCAGGTCTTTGAAGGCGTAGGTATAAATCATGTTCCTTATCTCCGGTGGCATCAGAAGGAGGAGCGATTCTAGCTGATTGCGCGGGGTGCTGGTTGCGTGTCAGCTACTTGTCATGCAGCAGGAATTGCGATCTCACATTCGCTCATGAAGGGTTTGAGACCGTGTGATGCGGTCCGTCTTCTTCAGAGGGCCAGAACTTGATTCCTTGCGCTTCATCGCCATAATTGTAGCGATTTTTGGGGATCAGAGAAGATGGGGAGATCATGGAGATGAAGCTACAACAATAACAGCTCTATATCTAGCGGCCCGGGGGCTAGTCACGTGCAGAGGTTAGCGTAGGTTGAGCCCACCTTCACCCAATGAGAGTCCTGTTGGTCCGTATAACATCAGCTGGAAATTGAAATGAGATATACCAGGTGAGATCAATGAACGCGCTGCTGACTTGGAATACATTTGGCAAGACATCTGGGCACTTTGTCGACAGAGCATGAGTCCCCCGCAGGTCAGATATTTGACAATTGATACCTAGGTACTTCCAATAAATTGGGTACATATCGAGCGATGTAGAAGTATCGCTACCCTGTGTCAGTCCTATCGCTATACGTAAAGGACCTGAACAGAGATTGTAAGCCCAGTGACGAGTCAAGCTTCTCTAAGCACCCGAGACGTCGGTCTTGTCTACCTCCACAGTCTTGCATTTACAATTCACCACATCAGTCCTGATAACGACGTCCGGAGAGTTCGGAGGCCCAGTCAGCGAGTCCAAATATCCCACGACATGCAAGTGTACCCAATTCTTCACCTCTCCATGGGTCATCCTGATCCTATTGGCGGTATGTCGAGCTCGATCCTCGGTATCATGATCTACCACCATGATTTCTATGTTCTCAATGAAAGGCAACAGGGCAATGGCATCGAGACAACCTTCAAGATATTCGCGACAAGGGCCGCGAGGGCAGAACCAATGGTACGTGATTTTGATCCTCTTGATTGCTACGATTCGGGTGGAGGGAAGTATATTCAGCCTCGACTCAAAGGAACAGGTCCTGTAGAAGTAGGCGTAGTGCTCAAGTGGCAGGTGAGCGGATTCATTGTAGATCTGTCGACAGGTCGTGAGGAGCGATAGACAATTTGTGGTGTTTTGCAGCACATCAATCCGTGCATCATTCAACCCGTCAAGTCGCTCGAGTCGCTCTGGAGTGTGATACGAGATTGTGCCATCGTGGTTGAGGTAGACAATCAACCCGCCAAGGGCGTAGCTGAAGACCTCGTTTCGTAGTTCTGCTGGCAGTCGGAGAAGCGGTGATTGCAGCTGAGATGTAATGGTGATGCTGCGGCATTCATTAGACAACACATTTCTCTTGATAAGCATTCAGGGCATACATACGTCTCGTTCACTGCTCCTTCAATACGAACAGTGGTCTCTTGGGTACTTGCCATGCTGCCGGTAGTTGAGGTAGGACTGAGTTGATCAAATCCGAGGTCGGCCATGTTAGTCTGCTCGCGAAATTGGTCTGCGCGCCTGAGTGTTATGTAGGCGATGTGGAGGGCGCTTAGTAGCGAGCCCCCACGGTGCAGGCATTACGGCCTAGTGAAAGGTGTAGGTAGCAACCGACTTTATGTCAGTTATGATATTGGGACTAAATGCACACAGAGAATGGGTAGATGAGTAGCTTCATAAATAAACGGAAAGATACACGAGTATTTCAATCTGAATTCTGCTTATGTAGTTCACCAAAATTCTGGATTTTGAAATCGTGGAGAAAGGTCTTGTCGAAGCAAATATCCCTGTGGGAAAATCTTTGCTCTCCCTCCCTGACACGCTCAGAGAGTCTTCCAATCAGCCTCCACCTATATCGAATTGGTCTGTATGCACCTCGCTGCGCATGTGACGACTAATGACTCCAATTCTCGGTGTCGAACGTCACGTTCAGCGTCACATCCATTCGCGATGCTCAAGTTTCAGAGCTGATTTGACCCACGCTATCACATCTGCCTTCGTCATCGCGATATTGGGGAGTGTCGTGTAATCCTCGCGGTCGTATTTGTTCCATCCCTCCTTTACATCGAGCATCACCCGTTTGAGTCCAGGCAGCTGAACAGCAGATGCCCGAGTGTCGAGAGTAAATCGCCAAAGTATAGCTGGTTCGTCCACGAAAGCTTGATCAGTACCACTGTCATTGTGGCTCGCTGATCGGTTGTAAGATTTGCGACAATTTCGTTCATCTCTCCATCTCGAGAGTGTAATTCGTTTAGCGAGACAGGCCGAGTCGCTGCTTCAGTTTTTACTAGGTGACAGTCGTCAAAAGTGCTAGGCGCCTTTGCGTACCTCGATTGTCCATTGGCATAGCCCGGTCTAAGGACTCGATACTGTCACGCGACCTCACGTACAGATTTCTTCCATCAGGCCACAATTCCGCATTTGGTGATCTCATTACCCAGATCAATCCGCCGAACACTTAAGTGTAAATCTCGTTCCGAAGCTCGGCAGGCAAGCGGAGCTGTTGTGCGGATCAGCAAATGAGAAGGTTCTCGGCGCATGGTGGGCCGCCAAAAATATCGCGTATTAAATTTCAGAGCCTCCCACCATATCAGCGTTGGACGTAGCTATCCGAGACATGCTGTTAGGGCGTGGTTGATGTCGCGGATATGAGGGAACTGTCGGGGAAACTGTCCAGTGGTTCCCACCCGGGCACGATCCAGAGTACGGTGAAGTGCCTAGCGCCGCTTTAGCGCTTTCTAGCGTACCTAGGTTTAACTCTTCAAAAATCTGAATTATGATACACGATACCAAGTTCCAGCAACGAAAGCGCTCAAAAATGGTGATATCGCAAAAGACAGCACAGCTTTGGAGTTCAAGTTTAAATGTGAGATACACTTAATCTTGAAGGAGTCCCTCCATATGCATCATGCCATGTCCGCTCAGTGTCCCGATGAAACCTTCGCACGTCCTTGGAGATACCCAAACATCCTTACTGACAAAATCCAACCCTGAACTTAATGTGACGACGTTTGTTGGTATTCAGCGCCCTGTTCAACCAATTCACCAAGTCCTTCTTCGTCATCGTCCCAGGTCCTGCCATCTGACCATTCCTCCTGTTCTGCTCCCGGAACTTCTCTCCATAAAAGTCTGTCACATTGACAAGCACGTTCTCAAGGTGCGGCATCGTATCTAAGAACTCAAAGTCCCCGTTTGTGATACACCATCCCATCGCCCAATAAATCGTCACACTCCAGCTCACATGGAAAACCAACGATGTAATCGCAGACCATTGCATGGCTGTAAACCTGACACTGGCTGGTTTATCCCAGGCCTGGAATGAGCCGAGCGAGAATGGTAGAGTGGCGGTTTCAATAAATATCTGGCGGCTGACGCGAAGCAGTGCGCCGTAGGTCTCTGGGAAACGCAGTGGGGGAGGAAGCGGTCCTCTGGGAGGAGCTACGTCGGTCAAGTTCCAGTAGACGCCGCCGAGGACGTAGTCGTAGATACGATTACGAAGCTCGGAAGGCAGGCGCAGGAGAGGCGAGCGCCATGAATTATCTATCGTGCTATTAGGTGCGTTAGTGTTTGGCTCCATACATGTGACATCAAGGCTGGTAAGTACTTACATAGCATGTTGTAGAGGCGATGTCACATTGAAGAATGTTTGAACAGCGGCGGCCTCCATGATGTAGGAGAGTCCGGGAAGAGTTGTGCTTTGTTCTGATGTCGAAGATTGCGCAACGTTGTCGCTATAATACAGAAGCGCGCAGGAGTGCCAAGACACTAAGGCTAGAGCGTCCAGTCCGAGTGAAGGGGTTCGGACAAATAGGCACGCGGGTAGCAAGAAATAGCGGTTTGCAAAAACTAGCGGTTAGCAAAAAGATAGCCCACTCCTCAGTCACCCAAGATCGCAGGACAACAGCACCACAAACTGTGAGCTAAAAGAAACGAAAATTTCTAAAAGATAGATGTTAATTAGATGGCAGACCTACGTGTGTAAATATACTTAATGTAATATTTTCAAGGGGTGGTAATCAAGGGTTAAGAAGAAGGACTCTGCTATTTTCCCTCTAGCTTGATGAACATACCCGGGCTTATGAGTGGACTCTCTTTCGGTAACCGCTAGACAGGCAAGGCAAGACAAGGTGCAAAGGCAGAAGCTTGGTCTTGAAATTGTGGTCGAATGGTAAAGAAGTCAAAATCACAATCTCACATTGCAAAGGTCCATGGTTTGAAAGCCATATCAGATGAAGTACAAACAAGTATCATTACCAACTACCTAATCATACAACTGCACAAAACAATCGTAACAACGGCCATGCTAACAATAAGTAATCGCTCAGCAATAAATCGTTGTGTGCGACAAAGGAAAACCCGGCTGGTCGTAGCCAAAGACGTCTTTCGGGAGAGTGATCAAGTCCCCGTGACATGAAGTATCGAAACAACGCTCAAATAAAAGGATCAAACGCTAAACCGGAATTTTTAGGGTGAAAAAGACTTCCTGTGCCCGGGCGACAAGATGTAGACACCGCTGCCTATTTTTCGATGTAAAAAGTAGGCTTTCACGACCCCCCGATCGATCCAGCTCTTTTGCGTCGATTTGGCACCGGTGCCATAGTATGTCGTATGTGGGTTTGGAGGAAGTTTGGTATCATATCCCATAACAATCTTAACCAAAACAAATGCGCAAAAGAATTCATCATCGTCGTCATGAATTACCTCCCCTCTCCCCCAGAATCTCGACTCTGCGAGATGTCTATTTCTTTCCAAGCAGACCGCCAACAACAGGGATGTTGCTCACGCCACCGCCCTTCTTCTTGTCCTTCTTTCCGCCGCCAAGCATATCGCTGACGGATCCGAGACCCAGGCCGCCGAGCAGCTTGTTGATTCCCAAACCGCCCAGCAGACCGTTGACAAGTCCGCCCAGACCAAGGCCGTTGAGCAGACGACCAACGAGGTTGAGCACACCCGTCAGCAGCAGACCAACAGCCGCGATGATCTGGAACAGCGGCTCGGTAAGCAAGCTCCAGAGCGGGTTGAGCTTCTTCTTGGCATGCGGCATGTCTGCGATCTTCTTCTTCGCGTTGTCGATGGTGGTGACGACCGTGGTGGTGAGTTCCTTGAGGTTGTCTGCGAGTTTGTATTCTTCGGGCGAGGCTTCGCCGGTTTGTTGGCGGCCCTTGGCTTGCGCGGCAATGCGGCCGTCGGGGTCGAGGCCGCGCAGCGAGCCGTTGCAGTCGTTGAGGAGGCGCGAGCCTTCCTCAATGAGTGGCTTGACGTTGTTGACGAGTTCTTCTTCGTCGAGCTCGTCGCGGGGTGTGCGGTCGGCTTGCTCGATGTGCTATGGGGTTGTTAGTGGGTGATCGAGCCTGAATGTTGGAAATGGAACTTACGTCGGTGATTTGCTTCATGACGGGCTGGACGCGCTCAAGAGTGTCGGTGCAGATCTTAGACATCTTGTTGGCAAGCTCAGCGTCCTCACGGCGCTGCTTCTCCTCGTCGGTCTCATCTTCGGGCTCTTCCTCTTGAATGTTCTCGAGGAGAGTGACTTCTCCGACCTTGTTGCCGTCGTTGTCGATAACGTAGCCGTTGTCGTCAATCTCGAGACCAGCGCAGTGACCAAGGTCACCAGCAGTGAGACGACCAAGGATGTCACCGTTCTCGTCGCGGACCTCACCCTCCTTGTTGACACGCATGCCAGACATGGGGTTAATGCGGCGCTCCTTCTCCTCTGGCTCCCAGCGCTCGGCCTTACCGATGACGTTACCGTTCTTGTCGTTGATGTCGCCATCCTCGTCAACCTTGTGGCCGGCAAGCTTCTTGACATCGCCTTCAATGACACGACCGATGATGTCGCCATCTGCAGTCTGGACGGTACCATCCTTGACGACCTTGTTGTTGTCGAAGCCAGCGAATGGTCCCTCAGGTCCAGAGTTGGCGCCCTTGGAGAGTTCAGCACGTCCGATGACGTTGCCTTCGTTGTCCCAGATCTGGCCCTTGCCATCGACCTTCTTGCCGATCATGGTGGATGGGTCTCCCTCAGCAACACGGCCAAGGATCTGGCCACTGGAATCGACAACGTTGCCAGCCTTGTTGACAGTGCAGCCAGCAAGTGCGCTGAGGTCGACTTCGACCTCGTCCTCCTCCTCGTAAGGCTCGGCGTGGCCCTTGACATTACCGTACTTGTCGATGATGTCTCCGTCTTCGTCAACGGCGTGGCCAACAAGCTTCTTCTTGTCGCCTTCGGTGAGCTGACCAACACGGTTGCCCTCACCATCCTCAACGAATCCGTCCTTAACAACACGGAGTCCTTCGAATCCGGCAAACGGTCCCTCCTTGCGCTGGACGCGCTCGTTCTCGGGGATCAGCTCGCATCGGCCGACGACCTTGCCAGTGTCGTTGTGGATCTGACCTTCGCCATCCGACTTGCGGCCGACAAGGTCTTCCAATTTGCCCTCAGCAAGGCGGCCAATGGGAGTACCGTTGCTGTCGACCAGGTAGCCTTGCTTGTTCAGAGTAAGGCCATCAAGGATAGAGAGATCCTCTGGCTCGGGCTCTTCCTCGTCCTCAAGGGGCTCGGCGTGACCCTTGACGTTGCCGTACTTGTCAAGAATGTCACCATCTTCATCGACGGCATTGCCGACAAGACGCTTAGCGTTACCCTCGACAACCTGTCCGACAATGTTCTCATCCTCGTCAGCGACCTTGCCATCGGCAACAACGCGAAGGCCTTGAAGGCCAGCGAAAGGTCCCTCAGGCTTAGCTTCACGCTCGTTCTCAGGGATGAGCTCGACACGGCCAACAACCTTTCCGGAGTCGTTCCAAAGCTGGCCTTGGTCGTCGAGCTTCCTGCCAGCGAGTTCCTTAGCGTTGCCCTCAACGAGACGAGCAACAGGAACACCCTCGTCACCAATAACATTGCCTTGCTTGTTGACAGTCTTGCCCTGGAGGCTGGAGAGGTCAATGGGGTCCTCTTCCGCTGGCGCCTCCTCTTCAGGCTCTTCGTAGCGTTCGGCATGGCCAACAACTGAGCCCTTCTTGTCAAGGATATCACCATCCTCGTCGACAGCGCGACCGACGAGCTTTCTTGGCGTCACCCTCGACGACCTTGCCGACGCGGTTTTCGTTCTCGTCCTCAACGAAGCCGTCCTTAACGACGACAAGTCCATTGAGACCAGCGAATGGTGCTTCCTCCTCAGCCTCTTCCTGGGGAATGGTCTGGGCGCGGCCAATGACGTGGCCCTTGTTGTCCCAGAACTGTCCCTCGTCATCGGCAGTGAGGCCAGACTTGGAGAGCTTCTTAGCATCACCCTCGATCAGTTCACCGACGATGTTACCGTTACTGTCGATGAGCTTGCCAGACTTGTTGACAGAGAGACCCTCAAGGATAGAAAGAGGTGGGCGGTTCTCGCCCTCTTCACCCTCTTCGGCTGCGTCTTCGGCTGCGTCCTGCGCGTCTTCGGCAGCATCTTGGGCGTCTTCTGCGGCCTCGCCAGCCTCATCGGCGGCGTCTTCGGCTTCGCCAACCTTCTGCTCGATGATCTTGGGAAGGGCCTTGACCTTGCCAATGACATTGCCGTCCTTGTCAAGTACTTCACCCTTCTCGTTGACCTTCTTGCCGGCGCACTCCTTAGCGTCACCCTCGACAAGCTCGCCAATAGGCTCACCCTCCTCGTCGAGAATTTTGCCCTTCTTGTTGACCTTGAGACCCTCGAGAGTATCGATCTCGGGTGTGACCTCAACCTCTTCGACCTCAGGCTCTTGGGGTGCCTCGTCGGCAGGTACGAGCTGGGGAAGTGCCTTGACCTTTCCGAGGACTTTGCCGTCCTTGTCGACGACTTCGCCCTTCTCGTTGATCTTCTTTCCAGCACATTCTTTGGCGTCACCTTCGATAAGCTCACCGATGGGCTCACCCTCTTCGTCGAGGACTTGGCCCTTCTTGTTGACCTTGAAGCCCTCAAGAGTGTCGATCTCGGGAGTGACTTCAACCTCTTGAGGCTCTTCCTCCTCGGCGTTCTCACCCTCGGCATCTTCACCTTCAGGGTTTTCGCCCTCGGCGTCTTCAGTCTCACCAAGACGCTCCTTGAGCTCCTTGATGGCCTCGAAGGCAGCCTCGCCGGCAACGACGTCGACCTTTCCAATGACGTTTCCGTCCTTGTCAAGAACCTCGCCCTTTTCGTTGATCTTCTTGCCGATGCACTGGTCAAGCTCGCCGTCTTTGAGCTCACCAATCTCCTCGCCCTCAGAGTCGAGCACCTTGCCCTTTTTGTTGACCTTGAGGCCATCAAGAATGCGGGTGTCGAGAGCGCCAGAGGCAGACTCCTTGAGCTTGTCGGCAGCACCCTCAGCAAGTTCTACCTTGCCGAGCACATTGCCTTCGCTGTCGACAACTTCACCCTTGTCATTGACAGTGAGGCCCTTGATGTCATCAACGTTCTCAAGAGCGCCTTCCTCAACGTGGCCGACAACATCGCCGTCATCGTTGAGGATGTCACCTTCGGAGTTGACTTGCATGCCCTCGAGGGCTTCGACGCCGGGGAGCTCATCCTCAATGTCGGCAGCCTCCTCCTGGATATCATCTTTGGCGCCCTCAGCAGTCTCCTCAACATCGCCCTTGGCCTGTTCTGCCTTCTCAGCGATGCCATCCTCGCCTTCCTCATCTTCTTCCTGATCGACGAGGTCGGCAGCTTCTTCAGTGAGCTCAGCGCGAGCGATGACGTTGCCTTCATCATCGACAATCTCGCCCTTCTCGTTGAACTCGCGATCTTGGATCTCAGATGGGTCACCTTCAACGAGACGTCCAATGAAGTCACCATCCTCGTTAAGGATCTGACCAGTGCGGTCGGCGGTAAGACCCTTGAGAACGTCGATGTCGGGCATCTTGAGACCGTCGCCTCCTTCGGCCTGCTTCTTCTGCTCTTCTACCACTTCTGGCAAAAGTTCGCAGCGGCCGACAAGGTCACCATCGTCATCGAGGATCTCACCGTTATCGCCAATTGGGTAGCCGGCGAGGTCTTCGGCGTCACCCTCAACAAGGTGGCCAATGTCCTTGCCATCCTTGTCTTTGATGAGACCCTCCTCGTCGACCTCAAGGCCCTTGAGTTGGTTTAGATCTGGGGTGTATGGGAGATCTTGGCCAGTGGTGTCTTCGACAGAATCCTTGACATCGCCGGTCTTGCTCTGGACGTCTTCGGTCGCTTCTTCAGTTGCGTCCTCAGCAGTGCCCTTTGCGGACTCGGCAGTGTCCTTCGCACCGTCTGCAGTGTCCTCGGCAGTATCCTTAGCACCATCTGCGGTATCCTCTACTGTGTCTTCCGCATCATCTGCAGTGCTCTTCGCCTTATCCTGAACATCATCAGTCGCGCTTTCGGCAGTATCCTTAGCGTCTTCGGCGGTATCTTCGGCGGTATCCTTGACGTCCTCGGCGGTGTCTTGAACATCGTCGCCAGCATCTTGAGCAGCTCCCTTGGGGTCCTTTGAGGCCTTGCCGGCGAGGTTTGAAGCGCGGCCGGCGAGACCGCGGGCTCCGCTCAATGCACCCTCACCTGCCTGCTTGCCACTGTCTGCGGCTTTGCTGGCGGTGTCAGTCGCATCGTCTTCGGTATTGTCGTTGGTGTCGACATCCTCCTCGAGCTCTTCTCCAGCCTTTTGCGTAGCGTCGTCGCCGGTCTCTTCTGCCTCACCTTCTGCCTCGTCGACATCGTCGTCAATGGGCTTGGGCTCGGCCTGTTCTAGCTCGTCGCCAGCCTGTGAGACCTTGCCGGTTGTGTCTTCTGTCGTGTCATCTGCGGTGTCTTGTGCTTGCTTCTTAGTGTCCTTTGCAGTACTCTCAGCTCCGCTCTTCGTATCCTCAGCAGTGTCTTCAACTTGACCCTTTGCTTCCTCGCCCTTCTCCTTGGCGTCGCCTAGAAGGCCTTCTCCTTGTTGCTTGGTGTCTTGCGCCTTCTCAGAGACATCAGAGGTGGGGGCGTCCTCCGTTGTCGACTGAGGCTTGTTCAGTTTTGGCGCAGCTGACTGTGGCTTCCGTCCGAGCTTAGTAGGAGTGCGGGGGGTATCACTCTTTCCTGCTGCTGGGGAAGGCATGTCGTAGTCTTCTTTGGGTAATTCGTAAATTGATTGGTATGGTGAGTTCGTAGCAGACACGTTACTTGAAATAGAACGTGAACGTATGGATCGGGGGGAGTTCCTATTAGGTGTCGGGGGGAACGAGTAATAGGTGTAGGAGCTGGATGAATTGTCTGTCATGTATCAATTGACGAATGGGTCGTCTTTGTAGGTCAGAAGGATGGCTGGAGGATCAAGGCAGTCACACATTTATGGAACATCAACGGGGGTCATGGACGGGTTTTGCAGCATGACGTAGAGTTCCTACGGCGCATCAAGCTCCAAGAGGCATGCAGCAGGGGGAGCTCACGCCGCAATGGTCGTCGATGGGGCCCAGAAACCTGCTTTGGTGGCTGCGGAGAGCACTGTGTACGACGAGCAGCAGCGAACCGGAGGAGCATTGCGTCACAAACATCAAGCTGGAGCGGGGCGTCAGCTCCTTCTTGGGAGCTCCCCACTCAGTGATGTGAGACAGACGCGGGTAGTTGCTGCAGCAGGGGTGGATGAACTGTGGCGTGAACTGGGATGCGATTGGAATCGTCGATGAGCTGGAGATGCGCTGCCAAGTTCCCAGCCTCCATACTGTGGGAAGTGGATCTGGATGGCAAATGCGAAAATGCTGCAGTTCATGCTGGTAATCGTTGGCTGTGGTAACGGAAGTAGTACAGCTAGCTCATGCTTGAGCAGTCAGAAGATGGAACTTGTTTACATCAATTCCATGTGCATCCAATATTCGCATGCGTAGGACAATAATGCAGACCCTATGAAGCATGCCAACTTGCAAGAAGACGCGACAGTCCAGACCCGATCTGCGGCACTGTGGCTGCCATGTCCGCCATCGTGTTCATCGCAGCGGACAACCCTGGGAGTTGCAAGGGTTCTCATCCTATCATTGTGTTTCAAGTTGGTCAAGTTGGAGCAGGTCGTGCCGTGTGTGGTGTGAAGCAGGTTGTTCAGCACTGTAACACGAAGACAACATGACATCAGCGTGCTGGGTTCTACCTGTCAAGCATCCTGGGCATAACGTCGCTTAGGTGGGTCCTCGCTCCGGGATTGACGATCGTCCTGCATCTCCCATGTCTCTTGAGTTCGGTCGTGGCGAACTTACAGTGCCGTGAGCGGGAGACGGCAAGGCAAGTCGAGAGAGAAAAGGGACCCTGCGTCGACGGTTGTGACCAGGAACAGGAAGCGCTCTTCACCAGGAGCACATGAAGCTGAAGTCATGTTTCTGCAAACGACCCGTCGCCACGCCCCCGGCACGGACTGTCCTCCGCGCGAACCGTTGAAAATTCGCTGCGGGACGTTGATTGACATCGCCATCGCCATCAAGATTCAGTGGTGCGCTAAACTCTCGATGCGGCGGATCATTTCGCCGAGGAGCGAGCGAGCGAGCAGCAAAAAGGTCACTGCACCCCGTCAACACCAACGACATCCTTTCTGGTTTCACAGCCCAGACGCCTCCGTCACTGTGATCGCATTTCTAAATCCGTTTATTAAGGGGTGACACGGCGGCAAACGACAGGTCGACTCGACAGATGCAGGCTGCACGGCAAGCGATGATGTCAGTGGGGACGGCTCGACGCGTAAGGCCTTCTATGGGTCCTGTTTTCTGGATTCTGGAACCGACGCGCCATCGGAGATCACCCTTCCTAGTGACCGTTAGCAAAACGCCGCATCCAAGGAGTTGATATAGAATCTTGGATGTTCGATATGATCGCCATGCTGCTGTGGCGGGAGTCGGGACAGCTACTTGTTCCGATTAGTGGGTTTTCGGTGATGCGCGACATGGTCACCGGCGAAATGAGTTGTGGCTTCACAAGAGCCTCACAGAGCAACATGCATTCAAACACAAAAACACAACATCAATTAGGGTATCCACATATGCAGGAACGCTCACGGTGCAGCACCATCTCGCTTCTCGAGTTTGTCCCGTCTTCCATCAGGGGGTATCGCGCTCTCCACGTCCTGGCCAGACTTGCTCAACCACTTACTCCTCTTCTGCTCCTTGGCGTCGTCCCGCTCCTTTGGCGCCAATTCGTCCTTCTCGTTGCCTCCCCTGCTGAGTCGCTTCCACATTCGGCGCCGCCAGCTCTGCTCTCTCTTTTCCGCTTCTTCCATTTCGGCTTTGCGTGCCAGGATCTGTCGCTCCCTCTCAGCGCTTTTGCTCTTGTCCTTTTGCTCTTCCAGTTTCCGTTTGTGCTCCTCTGGATGCACGATCTTGGTCTCGGCCTCCTTGACATGCTCCACGCCGTGCTTGAACTTCCGCCGCGTCTTGACGTATGCTTCGAGACCAACCAGGACAGCATATGACCGTGATATCGATACGTGCGACATGTCGACGCCGTTATCCTGCATCGAGTGTACGAATGCGCGGAAGTTTTTCGTAGGCGGGCGATAGTGGCCCGAGAGCGGCGAGAGGCGGCGCAACTGACCATCTTTGATTTTGACAAGACCTGCCGCCGATATTCGAGCTCCGTGTAGAAAGGAACTGTGCTGGAATGCGCCAGACTGCTTGATGCCGATGTACAAGCGGAAAGAGGTGTCAGCGACCTGTGAATGGTTAGCACATGGTAACTGCAGCGAGCAAGAACACCTACGAAGATCCACGAATTTGGCTTGACCGAGCTCCGCAAAAGGTGGTTGAGTATCGTCGCTGCGCTGACATGCTTCAACTTGGACACCCCTTTCGCCTTGTTCAGGTCCTCGTTGACGTAGTGTTCGCCTTCAACGTCACTGTGCTCTGAGCCAGTATCTGAGCTTGAGGACATCGAGCTCCTCCGTATGGTCTTGCTCTGGCCGTCGCTGATGAGTTGGCCATTCGGGCCGTACGCTGGAGTGTTGTCGTCTACGGGGACGATGCCGTTGATGCTATCTTTGTATTCTGGCGTGGTATTGATCCGGTTGCCGTTCTTCGCCCAACACAGCCGTCCCTCTTCATCGATTTGGACTAGGTAATTCATGCGCTCTTCTCGAGACAAGTACCGCACCTGCTCTTTCTCTAGCCTTTCTCTGGACACCGTGGGGTGCTCAAACTTCTTGCCCTCGCCGTGATCGAGCCAGTAGTAGAAGTTTTCGTTGGTGTCCGCCTTCTTCCACTGCTCATGGTATGCGCGGAGGTTACTGCCATAGCGATGTTTCTGGTCGACCATTTCCAGGAAATATTGCAGATCCATCATCTTGGCCGTTTTCTCGCGTTCGGCTCTCTGCTCAAATCTCTTCTTCCTATGCTCCATGCGGCCCTCTACAGTCTCATCCTCCGTCTCCGACGCAGATTCTGGATCATCTGCGCCCGCACGTCTTGCAATCTCGCCGACTCTCTTCCAATTCTGCCGTGCAGCATTCGAATTCGCTCGTTCGCGTTGTTCCGGCGTCGTCAGAGATTCGTGCAGAGCGTCCTGCTGGGATCGGGATTTGGGTTTGGTCGCGGCGCGCCATTTAGCTTCGAGGCTTAGTACAAATGCTTGTATGAGGAGAGTTCGAACTGGCTAACCGTCTCTTACTGCCTATTCCCACCTATTAGCACATATTTTCCAGGAAAAAAAGAGCTCTTCCAAGCTTCGGCGACTCAACACACCTCAGCCCATCTTGCGCTCGCATCCAGTCCAATGCCCTTCAACTGTCTCCGCTCCCTATAGCCGCGATAATTGCGCTGGATGGTCGCCGCAGCCTTCTCTTCCGACTCCCTGTCGGTGGGCGCGATCTCGCCCATGGTGTGTGTGTACACAAAATCGCAGTGGTGGACATTTGGGTTCAGCAGGTTTATGTCAGCTGTCCAGGCGGGGAGGTTTGACGGCGGCACGTTGCGGCCGTGGGGCTGGACGCGAGATCCCTGCATCTGGGCCGGAACGCCGGCAGCACACGTCATCCGCGGTGCACAACACCAAACGAATATCACGGAGAGCTTCCATGACGCGCGGTCTTACTTTTGAGGGAATTTGCAAGGGCGCCCTTTCCGCTTGGAGACTTGTTGGAAGCTATATACGGCATTGAGACGGTCCTTCTAGAAAGTCGCCTCGTGTTTTAAATTGCTCCGAGTCTACAGCCCACGATACCCACGCGTCCAACGACAGAGCCACAATCGCAACTGCATTTCCATTGCTCAACTGCGTGTACCAGATTGCAGCTACGCTTGGAGGATATGGAAGACCAATCGGCCTGCTACATAGTATCGGCCCGTGGCATGTCAAGAAACTGCTCACTGGCTCATGAAAGCGATAGCCTCTATTTGTTTCACTCGTCTTCTGTACAACTCACAGCAACCCACCAGTGCATCTTCTCTGCAGTATCAGATTGACGACAGATGTCTACCACAAGACTCCGATCTACTTGGCTATATAGGATGTCATACGATCCGCTCAGACCCAATCGAAGCTGCAAACAGCCATACCTTGTTTATTGCGTTTGATCTGGGACAGTTTCTGGCTATCCATCATTCATTCTGAAAAAACTATTGACGTTGCATTGAGGATAAATCTCGAACTGCACATATAAAAACTAGCCTCACTGGCTATTATTCTTGTTAAGACACACTTCGCCATCGAGGTTCCCTTTTGAGCAGTCCGGGTATCACCGAACGGCTCTGAGGTCGACGCCTTACATTCTCGGATGCATCGAGTCCTTCGCTCACGATACCCACGCGTTGAACGACAGAGCCACAGCCGCTATCAGGAAACTGCTAATCATCCATACATTTGCCTTTGGCGTGCCCACATCGGCGGTGTACCGAGCTGCGAAGACGAAAATGCCAATTGAGATCGTTAAGATTGTGAAAGGTATAAACCACGATACCACAAAGTCTTCATCAATCCAAATTGCCCAGCCGACGGTGGTACTGAGGCCTGCAATGTTAAGCTCAATTGGGCCACCAAGCTTCTTCAGCGTGCGGCGATAAATTGTCTGTGGATCTGCAAAGACTTCTCTGTGGTCAACTTAGATGTCCCTAGAATCCCATAGCATGTTTCCGCGCGCGTTTGCTGCGTGTTCCTTGCCCTTTTCTACTATCATAGTCGGATCGGTGATCCACGAGACACTATCGACTTGGGAGATTTACTGCTCGTTGGCATCATTAGATCTCGCAATCCGATAGTGATTGCTCTCGGTCAGTTTAACATACCAGACGGAGGAAGTGCCTTTGATGTATGCAATGGCAGCTCATCGGTCCCGTCCTTGTATTCGAGTACAAGCCACGTCATCAATCCCTTCGATTTATCCGGTGTGGGAGTGGCAGAAGATTCTCTGCTGCACTCTTCTACCCATACGTGAAGCATGTATTGGGCTGTTGTAGGCTCATCGAAAGGATGATCTGGGTAGTTCTCGGCATCTCCCAATCTGGATCTTTGATCGCATCTGGCCACGCCCACTTTTGAAGAGCTATTGGAAGTGTTGTTCAAGTTGTTCGATAGTATTCGAACTATGTCTATCAACGCTGAGACCACAGAAACTGGGGCTTGAAAGCATACCTTGGCTAATCGTATAGCGCTAAAGCCATGGAGACCTTTTCAACGACACAAATATGGCCGAAGTGAGAGGTATTCCTTTCTGACAGCTTTTATAAGTGCTTTGTCGGTAGGGGGGTTGGTTCCACACTGGACACTGAAGAAACGGAGTTTGCGGCCATTGGAAGATGGATAGGCTACATGCAGGAGTCTTGTGGAGTTGTCTGATTGGATTTTAAAGTCCAAACGCTGTCCTATCACACTTTGACCTCGCTTTGAATATTGGGACGGTGAACCGGAAGATTCGCCGCGAACCGCACCTCGACTGGAATCATATACAAAGGCTTGTTGTCTAGTTTCTGAGAGTGACAGGTTCTGGCGATTTGATGCGACTCCTGCCCAATCAACAGGAACTTCCCGGAAAGGGTTGCTTAATGCTTTGCCTCGAGTGGGCTAGGGTATACAGTGCCCGCTTCGTGCAATGATCATCTCTTTTTGTTGCTCTATTAGCAACGATGCGGGCGCCACACTCCCTAAAGCGTTTGAAATGGTTCTCGGTGTTTACCAAACATGGATGAATGCTTACACATTTGACAACATCGCGGTACGTCCCATGCTTTTGACTGAATACACCATAGAAATGTTTTAGTAGAGGTCTAGCAGTACTGTACGCTATTGAGAAAGCGGTTAGATGAATGGACATCGACTTTATGGGCTGGCATTAAGTTGCCAAAACTTGTATCATTCGTGAGCTCCTGGATTGAGCCTGTCCAGAAACGCGACCACATCTCGCATCATATCTTCAGAATACCAATGACCTAGCCCTGCATATTCTTGCCATTGAACATTGACTTCCATGCCGCCTAAGAAGTCAGCAGCAAATTTGCCAATGTGACATGGTACCTTTTCGTCATCCCTTCCATGACCCATGAAGACCGGTGTTGACTGCAAAGCGGCATTTTGCCCAGCAAGTCCATTCTCAACTGGGACTAATCCTAGCTCTTCTCTTAACCAACCGACAGCTCTCTCAAACTTCGAACCACTCATAGAAGCTTCTTCATGTCGCTCAAACATGTCTTCTTGATCTCTATCAGATCCAACCAGCGATTCGGTCTCCAAGCAGTCCGTATCCTCCACGGAATCATGCATCCCTTTGCGGAACGGCAAGTAGCCACACATTCCCACCAAAGCTCCAATTGGCTCACCTGTCCAGAGAAGCATGGCAACAATACTAGCGGCGCAGCCTTGACTGAGACCCATGAGTACAACGTTGCTCGCTCCAACAATCTTAATCTCATCTCTGAGCAAGTCGTGTATGTAAGCGCTCGTCTCTCGCAGACCCTGAGCTTGCAAGTGTTGCTTAAGCTCCGGTTCTGTCAGAGACCAGTTGTCGAACCATTGGTGTATGAGACTTCGCTTGAAGACCGCAGCTCTTCGTAGTGGTGCAGTCGGGAATATGAATTTCGTGTTTGGAAAGTGGTGCTGGAAAGTCTTCGTGGATGGTGGTGAGCCTTCCTCGGGCGATCCTGTGCAGGTTGCTGGTGCTGTATCCACAGGAGACACTTCTTGGGTGAGCAATGGCTGAGCAAACTTCAGGGCGGTAGAGCCCCGACCATGCAGAATGATTATGGTCGTCTTGTGTTCTTGTGCGGGTGGATACACGAGAGGTGAGATTGTGCGTTGAGATTTCGATTCAGAGGATGACATGCTCGAACAGATGCGATCAGGTGGCTTCGTAGGATAATAGCAAAGGATGTGTCGGCCGCTGTTGGAATTGCGATGATGAACCTCTCTTGGGGCACTGCTGAAGGGCGACAGTAATGGCTATTAAGCGCTTTCAACCCAAATCCGACTAGCGCGGTTTCAACTGGCGCCTGCGTTTGACCGGGGAGACCGCGTTTTTGGAAGCACGTCCATCTCTCCAACCAACAAGCGAGTCTATGTTCAACCCGATTCTGATACGAATTTCTAAAATTCAATTCTCCAACACAAATCTATGTATTATAACTCTGCAACACGAATTTAGAAATCTAAGTCAGCGCACCTGTCTCCATCAAAACAGCCTCCATCCAGCACGATCTAATCGCCTATCCTCACGACCACTCCCTTGTCATCAAACCCGAATACCCGTCGCCAAACGCCAACACTTCGTTTCTCCACATACCAGACTTCCGATTCGACATCAACATCGCTACCTGCCTCGCCTTTTCATCCCTATCAAGGCTTCTGTCGGCATTGATCTGGTCCACAACAACATTTACGCACGTGTATGCATACTGCCGCGTCCTCTCCTGCGCCGCATCAAGAAACATGCCCATGAAGTAGTCGTATGCACCTAGCCACCCAAGATGGGAGATGGAAAGATCGCCAGGTACTTTTAGCGGTGCAGGTCTGTACTGGGAGTAGAATGGATCAGCGTCGAGGGCTTTGAGCACATCGCGCATGCGGTTGTTTACTTTGACGAACACGGCAGCGACTTCTGGGTGGCTGATGTACTGGAACACAGCAGACAGAGTGGTCAATTTAGCCCGGTTTTCTCGCCAGTTTCTCGACTTGCAATTGAGCGCCTTGAAGTCTGCGTCTTTGCGCATCTCGCCGAGGACGTTTTCTTTCAACTTGTTGATGCTTTCCTCGAGGATGAAGAATTCGCCGATGCGGTCTTTGGTTGGACAACGTCCGCCGTAGCACGACATTGTGTTTGCGAGTGCTTGGGCGGGTGTGACATCTCTGAAAATAGAATTAGGGCTCTGGCTCTTCGTGTTAAACACACGGTTCATGGTATTGCAGTCAGCGACCCTGCCTGCGTGGAAACCGCCATTATTCTCCGTGTATTCGAAAGACAGCCAGTTGAGATACATTTTGACAATGTGCTTTTCGTAGATGTGTTCGGTGGCATAGTCTTTACCCGGCGATCGATCGGCTGTCCTTCGCAAGTATCGATAGCACATCCCAGAATCAAACGGTCTGTCGGTGTAGTCCCACCAACCATTTCTAGTGATCTCTTGGTATCTGCCAGCGGTCCTCGCTGGCTCGCCCTGAGCTGCGTTCCCTTCCTTAGCCGTGCTAGGGTAGTCCGGGAAATCCATCAAGATCTCTAGAGTTCCACATTTGGCTTTCTTGACCTCTCGGGACTGAAGGGAAGAAGGTACATTCCGGCGCGAGAGGAAATGGGTAGTAGTGATTGGCTGTCCGAAAAGCGATCCAAAAAGCCCGGGCGTCTTCACATGTTGTACGCAATTTTTATTACACCACTGGGGATCGGGAATGAAGCCATGACAGTCTTTCTGGCATGAAAGGCCTGCAGTTGACGCACCGAGCCATTTTGTCAACTTCGCGTTATTCTTCGCCGAGCCGTCGTTCAACGGACGTACTCCGGCCTCGTAAAATTGATACTGATGGTTACCATTCCTGCAATATCGTTAGCGCTGCTATCAAATAAGGTCAATCGAAAACACGTACCACCATCCTTTCCTAGGCGTTTTGCTGTCGACACACTTGGCCAATATGGCCTCCAAGCTGTCCCAACACTGTTGTTGCTGGTCGCCCGTTGCCGGCGTGGCTCGGTACAAATACGCTTCAACAGCTTCCGTAATCGCAACACGGATCTCGCATTGACCGTTGTCGTTCAGTACGTTGGCGGAATCGCCCGGAACACCTTGACCAGCGGTGCTACATGTACCGCCACAAGCCTCCTGCCTCATTCGATACAACAGATCTCGAAGATTTGTGTTTGTACCACCCAGCGTCTCGGGAATCACATTTTTGCGGTCAATATCTGCAAATACACAGACGGGTGCACCAATAGGGCGACTACTGACGGTTGGTAGTGGGGACGAAGGCAGTTGGACTGGAGCTGTCGGCTGTTGTGTATGACTTGCAGGCGAGCCTGAAGGTGTTTTGCCTCCGGGAATGATGATTGGAATGATACCATCGATTTCTCCGAGCTGGTCTTCGTCCACGTCAATAGAAGCGGTTTCTAGAGCGCAGCTTGTGCATGAGGAACAAGTGGAAGATCTAGAACTGCTAGAAGTTTTGGACCCCTCCATGGTCGACGGCGTGCTGGAGAAGCCGGGTTTGCTTGTAATCTTGGTCTCCTTGTCTTGTCTTTGCGTGCTCTGGAATTTATCGGAAGACTTAGACTGGCTAGTAATTTTGGATTGTGGGTCTTCCTTCTGCCTGGTAGAAGGCTTGCCGTCCTCGCCAATGGTTAAAGGCGGGTACCCAGCAGGTGGTGGCACAGGCGCTCCTACAGGAACACCAGCGTTGGGAAGGACAATGATACCAACGCCAGGTCCAACATACCAGATAGGTAACACGGTGGGATGACCCTCGCGGCTTGTTGTTGTCGCCGAGTTTGCGGTTAGCCCACTAATAGATTGTGTCGTGGAAGAGTACTGTCCTTCTTTCACGGAGGAGGTCTGAGCAGCAGAGGTAATGGGGCCAGTACCAGTAGGCTTGGTTGGCGTAGGAGGAGACCTGCTTGGCGGAGGAGCGGACTTGCTCAGCGGAGGGCCTCCAAGGGTAGACTTGGTCGATGTCGGATTACTACTAATGGGAGACTTGCTCGATTTAGAAGCTCGATTGCTGGCAGACTGCGTCGACGGCATACTAAACTTGCTTGACGCGGAAGAACTACCTGACGCTGGAGACCTGCTTGAAACAAGCGTCGACTTGCTTGTGGTAGGATTACCGTGGGGAGTAGACTTGCTCGATTCATAACTACTGTTAATGGTAGACTTGCTCGTCGTAGGAGAATTGCTCGGCACTGAAGTGGCCTTGGTTGATATGGAAGTATGCTTTTTGGGACCGCCGTCGTCATCTGGAGCTAGAGGGTTGTTCGGGAACACGCTGTTGGATATGGAGTATGTCTCTCCTTCTGAGCTCCATGCACCGCCCCAGAAAATTCCACTCGAGACACATTGTTCGATGATGTTCCTGAACGCCTTTTTGCAGTATTTAAGGTCGTTTTTGCTGTCCGTCCTGGATACTTTGTAGACGACCCCTTCTACACGTCAGCTTGTGGCCATTCTACTCTTCATTTCGAACATACGTACCCCAATGGTTGAACGAATTTTCCAATCTCTTCTCATCGCCAGTGCGCCATTGGCCCGAACAAATGCGATCAAGCTCTGTCTGGGTCCCGATCGCTTTCGCAATTTGTTGCCCAGACGGATCTCCTTCCTTTCGCGGTTGGCTTAGGGAACAGTCGGCCGCGAGCGAAAGAGATGCCAGCGACAGAACGACTGCCAGAAAGTTCGCACGCATCATGGCGCCGAGGATGAGAAGTGAGGAAGCAAATGTCGATTTCCGATACAATGCAGCAGCAACTGGTCGCAACATTTATATATCTCGCACTGCCATGCAGAACCCTGTGTTACCAACAGCTCTATGGACAGAGAGCAGTAATGCATGGGGTCGCCCGGGTTCAAATTTCGTATTCCACCATCAATCGTCTGGTCCCAAATCATCGATTGCTCCTGAGGCTGCATTGATGTAGTAAGGATTCAGTAACCATGTTAGCAATGTATTGTCGCAATTCGTCCGCAAAAGGCACCACAGTGTGCAGCTTTACTGCTCATCGAATTTTGGTGTAGCGTCCAGATTCGAGCTGGCATTCGAGCACAAGTACAAAATTAATGCGGCTAGCCATGTGGATCAAAGCTCAAAACCAGTATTGTCGTTGCTGCCCGGCTCATACCGATCTTTCTTGCGATCTGCGAACGCGGATTTCCTCGGTGTATCAGTCGCTGAAGGTACTCAAGTTGTGATCGCATGGGTATGAGAGGTTGCAGATGGAAGCAGCAACACAGATCTCGGCGCAGTGGTCTCACTGTGCGAAGAAGGCGCCTGTTGGGATGTTGATCGCTGCTCAGAAAACACTTAAACTATGCCCGATTTGGTCGGGAGCATGTACCGGTACAGAGTGTTATGACCAATTTTGGAGTTTGGATCGCCGAGCTGGAACGGTACGTATGCCTCGTATCCAGGGCCGATTAATGTTTCAAGCCTTTTGTGAGTGGCGATACTCCTGGTCTTGGTGGCATAGCCACCTGAGCGGTAACGGTAAGGTTCATCCTGGAAAGCTTGTTCAGCCCAGACAAGGAGGAGCATCCTGAACGCTTCGAAGACTTGACGTGGTGTGCGCAAAAGAATTAAAGCTGCAGCACATTCGTCCTTTCACTTCAGTACCCAAGTCTTAGCTTGTCGCTCATTGCAGCTACAGAAGAACTACGCAGTTCTCTCGGACCCAACCATAGTTAGCGTCGTTATCCTCGATGGACTCGCAAAGTCTTCAGGGTATACACAAGTAGCCAGGAACCAATAGCTCGCGCGGGCGAACTCTGGAGACCTGACGCAAGGAGTCGTAGTAACCGAGTCGGTGATTATCATCGTCTTCGAGGGACTGGTTTCTAAACGGCAAGGGTGCGACAAGCGTGATGGACAGCAGGGGTCCTCTGTCGTGGTTCCTCACCTGCAGGCATGGCACAGCAGGTGCATCGTGGATACGAATTCTATCCCTGCGATCGGACCATAATCCAACACCAACATGAATAGAAAACGAAAGAATTGCAGAACGGCAAAAGTGCGCTGCTTGATTTTCCCTCGTCAATCTGATCGATCGAGGTCGCGCTGAGACGGGATACAAAGTTCTGCAAATGGCGCCGAATGCACGGGCCAAGATCTGAGAACGGACGAAATCTGTTGGCCGGAAGACGGGAGCAGACGAAGCTTGGCGTAAGCACTGCCTAGGTATGTACCATCAACAGAGTGATGGGAACATCTTCTGGAATTTTTCCCACGATTCACCTGGGGTGTTGGACCCCAGTTCCTGCGGATCCTATCGGCCCGTTCGGGTCAGGCGTACCGCGCAAACCTAATTGGAGACGATGTTGTTAATGTGTGCACCGACCGCGAGTTGCTTCGACCTTCTCAGATAAGTCTCATGAGTGGACTACCTGCAAAAGTTTTGCTAGGCGGGTGGGGCGGAGACCTTCATGTGATATGAGAACCTTTTCTTTTCAGTCGATATCGATTTCTACCACTTCACTTCCGTTCTGAATGTCTACTGGCATTGCCTGTCCGATTCAAATTTGCCAAAAGTACCTTACTGACCTCCCTGTTTCACTGCAGGGCAGATTTTACAGATATTATGGTTATACATAAAGAAAGTTCAAAGTATAAGCTTTCGCAAAGCGAAAGCCAAATTAGTCGCCTGAGTAGACAAAATCGGCGTGATCTTACCGATGGATATCTATCAACTATGGTAGGTGATGCGTCTAGACCTCAATACTCACTGCGCTGTTTAACTGGTGGTTATCTTTACGTACTTCTGTATGGAGCAGATATCTAGGCGTTGACTCCGGATCGCAGGGTTCAAGCATTCAACAATGAAATCCAGATGATCATGATAATTCGTGTAAGCAGTTTGAATTGCCTCGGTGATACTTAAACGTAGCTCTAAGGCTGTCCATAGCCTCTCACTTTTGCGTCCGCTCTCTCGGCTAAAAGAGTTTGTGACCAGTTTAATCAATGAAGCCCAAGGCATCCTATGGCTCTGATAGAAGCTCAGTCCTGAAAGCCAATCATCTCACATGATGTTCGGTATCTTCTGTTTGACTCAGCACCTAGGACCATACACCACCTACGCTGAACTAGTGGTGACCGGTATGCTAGCAGCCCAATCTCTGAGTTTGCCACGTGCCAAACTCTCCTGGCCCCACTTACATATGTGCACCCATAGTTCATTGGCTCCCATGAGTAACAACTTTCAGTTACCCACAAAAAGAAGGGGTGGCACCCAGGATGAGACCGCGTTGGTCCGCCCCGATGCTTCCACTCGATTGGCTGGCAGCCATTTACTCCGAAACTTTAAATAGAATATCACCTACACATTCTCGCTAGACCATGTTGTCATAGGCACAGAACAGCGTTTAACCATGAGAGTCGATCGAGACACAGAGTGTGATGGACACCTAACATTCACATTCATGGCCCGAATCCACAAACGAAAGTCAAATATCCATACGCGCACGGCTCAGAATCTTGTGCACACTTAGATGCACAGGCATTATTTAGATCGACATACTGTGGGTCTTACGTCACCACGCGACACAAAGAGAGAAACGTGAACAATCACTGCATCGAATCGATAGTCCGATAGTAACAAAAGCAGCACTCAGGGCCATTTATATAACTGATCTCTGAGGACCCTGTACGTGCGGCCTTCGGCGGGTTTGCATACGCCTGAAATCCATAAGGTTGACATAGCTGCCCACACAGTCGTACATCTTGATCTAATTAACTTTTCCGGATGAAACTCCGTTGATCGAATGGCAAGCAACGAGAATTGACTGCCATGAAGTGTTGCCGAGCACCTACCGGAGCAAGAACTTTGGGTACACTCCATGAAAATCAGAAACTGAAGATAACGTGGCGATTTGCAAGACTTTTTGGCACTGGATTTCTAGAAATTGGCATCAGAGAGGCGAGTACGCGTCAGGAAAAGATATGTTTGTCACAACACCCTAATGTAAATGACACAATTACTGGGTGAAGACAAGCATTTCACCACTGGAGTAAATTGCAAGTATATCACCGTCGAAAGGTTGGTCGATGCAGAGGTGGAGAAGACTTGCATGTGATGGACGCGCAATCGATGCATGTTTCGATAGTCGACTTCAAACCCAAAGGCGGTACGAGCTGCTTGAAGATCGAGCTTTGAAAGAAGGTTTACACGTGGGTCTGACCGAAAATGATTGACTAAGTATGAGAACTCTGTGACACGAGTAGACGGATGGTCCCTCAGGCAAGCGAGTTGGGCAGATAGTGCCCAAACTTGCAAAGTCCGGTATAAAGTTGCTACCATTCGGCACGCTGATGCTCCAGTTCATAAACAATTGAAGTTCCTCACATCCCTTTTGTTATCTATCAGTATGTCTCAGAAGATTGATTACATCGTCGGCAAGTTCGATCAGCTCGAGAATGCCAGTGTCTTTGAGACTGCCTTCGGCACTGGTATGCCAGAGGTGACTCGTAGAGAATTCTATCGTCATATCATTCTGGCTGTCATTGTACTTCCCATCGCTATTCAGGTTTACAAAGTGATCTACCGTAGACACATCCATCCACTTCGATCGATTCCAGGACCTTGGATCAGTTCAGTAACCTCTCTCTGGATTCGCTGGCAAAGATGGCACGGTAGACTCTCCTTCGAAGCTGACAAGCTCATGGCGAAATACGGCCCCATTGTTCGCATCAGCCCGAACCTAGTCATCTTGAACGATCCGGAGGCAGTGGAAAAGGTCTTCATCCGAAAGGACCTCGACACATCGCCAACCTCGATTCGCGCGCTACGCGTCGGTGGCCATGACTGGACGGTTACGTACCCGCAACACCCTGTCGCACGCACACGACGCCACCCTGTCATGATCGCAACCACCACTAAGCATCTCAAGCTTCGTCATCAGGTGTTTGTCGAATACATCGAAGCTATGGTGCGGGATATTGCTAAATCGGATGGGAAGAAGTCTGAAGACATTGTACACCATCTTCGCATCTGTACCTTGAAGAACTCGCAAGTCATCATGGGAGGTTCAGGCGTGGACGTCGAGTCAGAGACCTTTCCTCGAGTGGTGGGAGAGTACAACTTCCTCGTGGTGTGGAGACTCTGCCTTCCTGAATGGCTTTTCGAGTGGCTTCAGTACGGTCCTTTCTCGCACCCTCGATTTCGCGTACAGTCGAGCGACAAGCTCTTTGATCTTGGCCTAGACTTATGTCAACAAGCAGCGAAAAACGAGGCGACATTCGACGAAGATCCCAGCATATATAAGCTATTCACTGACCCGGACGCAAAGTACCCAACGCAGTCGTGGACGGATAGAGAAATAGCGGCAGAGATGGCAGGTCAGGGTAAGTTGTCGTGCTTTTGAAGACATGACTGAATACTGACTCTGTATAGTGCTTGCTGCAACAGAAACAACATCGTCTGCACTCGCATTTATCTACTACGAGCTAGCAAAGAACCAGAACCTGCAACAAGACTTGTACGAAGAAGTCTGCGCTTATGAGGGATATGAAGAGCTCGAATCGCTAAAGTATCTCGATGCATGTATCAAGGAAGGTCTGCGCTTCCGCCCTCCCGTGGCTCTCACGGGCAGCCGTCTTGTACCTGAAGGAGGCCTCAAAATTCTCGGCTACTACCTCCCAGCGGGTACCGTGGTAACAACGCAATCGCTGTCTATGAGCCGTCAAAGGCCGGATCTCTTTCCAGACTTTGATAGCTACAATCCCCGTCGCTGGCTTGGGGATGACGCCAGTACTGCCGAAAAACGTAAATTTCTTGCACCGTTTGGCGTTGGAGCACGCCGTTGCCCTGGAGGTAACATGGCGACGTATCAGATGCGTATCATTCTCGCTGCTACATTCCGCGCATTCCGAATCACGTTAGCACCAGAGACGACACCAGAGAAGATGTCTCCTTTCGAAGCGAATGGATTTCGAAGCTGCCATGATAGGTGCGACTTGGTCTTCACACCCCGAGCGGTGTGAAGTATTACAGATGTGAGTCTGGATAGCTTGTTGATGATCTGTGCAGAGTAATGACGTTCCCAGATTGGTCATGAAACCATGAAGTTCTGATAGAGTTGGGGTGAAGATCCGTAGTTTCAAAGAATGCCAACACCTTCTATCTTCATTCGGTGTTCTTAATTCGTGACTCGTGCGCGGTGAAATTTCGTTCTGATCTGCCTTGGAAGTGTGTTTCACATGTTCAGAGTCAGGCCCTGATAACCGGATCAACGCTCGTGCACGAGATGTCACGAAGCTTTGATACTGCCCCCTCTTCACCACGATCGACAGGGCCAACTCAGCACAACCGACACTATAGCGCACAGCTTTGCAGATCAATTTTTGTTGAATCAGAAGCATTTGCCGTGGTCAGGCGATCTGTACATATGTTGAAGCTAGCTGCCTACCCTCCTTGATCCGCAAAGCTTGCCATTGATCGGCTCGTCCCGTCTCCTTTTCAACAGCTTTTGGAGAACATGCTCTACGTCAGTGTTCAGTCACTAGCAGCAACAAAGCCAGGTTTTGGTAGAAATTGTGACTCGTAGAATGATCCCAGAGTGGCCAGCAGAAGAATATCTTCCTGTTTGAACAACAGGCAGCGATCGGCCAAAGCATCAGCGTCGTCATTATGCTCAAGGAAAGCCCGAGGGAAAGTGCGGGAATCTCGGTGTTGCCGGTGAGAGCAATGATGTCGGAGACGATGTCGGAGACGCTCTTCTTTCCCGTATCCACGACGGGCGGATCGTAGAATGCGGCTAGTCCCCGAAAATTTGTCTGCATCGTCCAACAGCAAAATAAACAGCAAAGCACATATGAGGAAGCGCGCGCAGAAGTAGAAGAGGGTTTTCTCAGACCCCCACTCTTATGTGCTTGGCCATTTCGCGAGCCGCCCTTGGATGACGGGAAGGTCAGTGTCTAGGATGATTCGCACGATTCCTTGGTGGACCCCATCTTTGTCTGTGTACGAAGTGGAGAGGGTAGCACAGTCAACCCCGGCAAGCTGTAATGTGAAATTTTCGAAGGACCCGACCACGATGGCATCTTCGAGCGTGGGATTCTCATCCTCACGTGCATATTCAACCTGACCGGCTGCTCTGAGGGCCGGGATGAGAGTGGGTTTCCCGGTTGATTCTTTGCCGTGGATGACGACAGTATAGGCTGACTCGGACATGATGAGCGACGTTGGTGTGGGAAGCTTAATCGTACTGCAATATGACAACTTGGAATACAAATGGCGAAGCTTGTGTGGCTGTTGGGATGATGTGGGTCTGAAAGGACCAAGTCGCTCACTTATATAAAGTATAGGTTCTCAAGTTGCACGCCTTCTCAGTTGGTCCTTTTCAAGCCTGTATTCCTCAATCTACAACTCTTTTGCACGTCAGACGGAATAACCCCACTGTTTTAAAACATAGTTAAACGTCGGAGTCTACGTCCAAGGAAAGATTTATGCGTCTCCCATGTTCGGACAAGTACATGGAGTTTTGCTGGCGGCAAAGAATGGGCATACGCGGGTGGGAAAGCTGCTGCTGCTTGACTGCGGTACCGATCCCAAAATTAACGCACAGGATGGAATCTATGTCAACGCAGCCTACGCAGATGCATTCCAGACGGCTTCATCTAGAGGCTACGAGGCTGTGGTGCAGCTGCTGCTCAACAGCGGCGCCGAGGTCAACGCACTTTAGGCAGCTTATTTCAGACGCTACAAAGCAGTAGAACAGTTTTTGATAAATGAGGGTGCCAATGTCAACGCAAGGGGTGGAGACTTTGGCAACGCTCTCCAGGCAGCTTTGTACAAAGACAACGAGGCAGTGGCAGAGATTTTGCTCGACAACAGCGCTGACGTAAACGCGTGGGGTGTATAAAATAGCAACGCACTACATGCAGCTTTACACAGAGGCCACGAGGCTGTAGCGAAGATGCTAGTGGCACGGGGTACCAAGTCACTTCAGAACACTTGCATCGGGTTTCGGGGCGAGGGTTACAAACTCTAAAATGCTAGAGAAAGGGCATATATTGGAGGAAATCGTTTGCGAGACGAGAAGCAGGAAGCAGAAGAGCAAGGTGTATTCCTGATCAAAAGAGAAGAATAGCGCAGCTTCTCAACCATGGCTCCCAGTGTACTAGCACCATTGACGAACCAAACAATCCAACTTCCCACAGCGTTATAAAACCCACCCGCCCTGCTCATGCACCGCATCGCAAGAAACTTCGCTCGTGCACAAATGCTCCGAAGGGAGACCGATGATGACAACTTGTCGCTGACAAAATCGACTGAGGTCTGGAACGAATGAAGGCAGCCTGTTGCGTGTACGCGGTGTTAGCAAGCTATGCGGGACGATTTTTACGGCCAGGAAAAATGCTATCATCAATGGCCGAAGCCTCAGATTTATGCGCAAATGCCTCTAAGGGCGCCTTCACTCCACCCGCCTTTCAAGTGTGTCCATATCCCATCGCCACATCCCAAGCAATGCAAGTCAGGCTCGGATGTATTCATTGGGGTCGGCAGCCGGGTGCACAAGTCGACGGGCAGGACGGTAAGACGGACAGTACAGTACAACGGGGTGAGAGACGGGGTCAGGGACCTTGGGAGATTGTCGCGATGTGGCACGGGAGAGGCAAAGATGAGACTTCGAGCTCATGGCCGTGAGAAAAGGACCATAATGAAGAGAGTTGAGGAGTGAAGAAATGGAGTGGATAGGAGGAGGGGTAGAGTTAAATACTATAAGGGCGGCCAAGGACGCCATTTCTTCTAGATATTATCATTCTTTCCTCCGTGCAATGAAGCTCGCCCCTGTACTACGCGCTGTATAGCAGTAGTCACAACTCTAATTTGGTAGGGACAACAATTTCTCGGAAGCTATGATCTGGAACCCCAGGATTTCGCCAGTCTGCTAGAGGCATGCCTCTACAAGGTGAGGAGTCGCGGGAACTATGACGACAAAGTGAGCTGAGTGTTGAACCGAAGCTGGTACAGCTATACAAACCTGAAGGGATTCTAATCATATATACTACTGCTGAGTTTGTAGATAGCATAGGTACGAACTGCTGTATGTGCTGCTACATAAATGTGGCTTTACTCTTCAAAAAAGTTCGTGCCCACCGCATTGCTCATTCCCACATTAGTTTACAACGCTACCCACATAACGCTAAAAACCAAAAGCACTCCATTTTTCCACCTCTCCCAACGCGTTATCCTAACAAACCTATGCCTGCTGCAAAAATAAGATTCAAAAACATACAACAGCGGGGATTCGCCAGTGGTCACCCACCTGACTACTGATCCGCCGGTAAGATGCTTGTGTAAGGCTGAGCGGACGGGAAGCCCAATATTCATCTTCCTATGGTCGTATGTGAAAGATTCCATAAATCGACTGGAATATTTACCTGAGCGTTCAATCGACTCGACTTCGGGCAGGAAACTCAAACACGTCCATATTCTACTTCCGACTCTTTCTCTAGCATAAGGAGGTTCATGTTGTACCTTGGTGGCGATAATTTGTACGGTAGTCGTCGTGATCCCTTTGGGGAGGCATTGTCATGTCCCAGTACATGTGCTGGAGAGAGTTCTGGGATCCATCATCGAGAATATTGCTTTAACTGTTTGATTAGGGTTGTGAGTGGGATAACAGGTCGCTTGCAGTGTCTGTGTGGAAATGTCCGCGTTGTCAGTTGGCAGTCAGCAACATCCAAACCTTCGGGAATGCACCAATGTGAAGCACGTGATTATGACGTCACCTCCCTCCATCCACTTATCCAGTAGGAATGAGAGCAAAACACACATACAAACACGGAGCAGCGCGATCGATGAAGATTACTGCATATTCCTATTCTACCGCCTGAGTTCCACATCGACTAGAATCGGGTATGATTTACTCAGCTGTCTATGAACGCCCCCAAGCTGCCAAATAACAAAAAGGGAGAAAAAGGATGTGAATAACCCTTAGCTCATCAGGAGGAGAAAAAACCCCCGTGGTTCACTGCCTTAGGTCTAGGAACTGTCTCGCAAAAGAAATATGGCAATGCTTCCTCAATGCTGCGCCGACACGAAGTCGACACTGTCCAGCACAGGGCGCCACGACGCCTTGTTCTACCCATCCCCGCTGGTATCGTTAAGGATTCGTGCGCCCGTAGTACTTCGTAACTCATGCTTCAACTCCGACCCCGACTCCTAATTCATCTGATTGCTTACTGTGACGCGCACTGTACGCGCTCGGCGCCTGGGTGCATGTCATCGTCGTCGTCTTCCATACCAGCCATACCACGTGCGCGTTGAGACTCGCGGCTCGCGTCGACTGTCTCGAGAGTGAAGTCCTCGGTCATGGCGTCTGGCGGAGGCATAGATTCGGGTACCCTGCGTGGTGGGAGTACCGACTCGAGGGCGCGGATCTGCTCAGGTGCCATGGGGCCATCCTCCTCGTTGCCGAGACGCTCGGGGAACTTGACGTCGAACTGGATGTAAAGGTTGCCATGGTCGTGGTGGCGGTACGAAGGCATACCCTGGCCGCGGATGACCTTGACTTCGCCCGGGCTAATGCACTCCCCCGGGATGATGTCGACGGTTAACCATCGCTCGTCGAGGTGCTCGATGTGGATCTGGCCTCCAGCAAGGGCGGTCAGCAGGTCGATCTCGGCGTGGTAGAACAGGTCGTCGTCCTTGCGCTGGAAACGCGTGTGGGGCTTCTGTTCGATCTCGAAAACAACATCACCGGGCTCTACGCCTGGCAATTGGTCGCCTTCGCCGCGGAACTCGATCTTGTGGCCGCTCTTGACACCACGGTCAACATGAACGTGCAGAACCTTGCGCTCGATGATGGTCTTCTTGCCGTTGCACTGCTTGCATCGATCTTTGTCTCGGATGATCTCGCCCTCACCCTGGCAGTCAGGGCAGACCGTCTGGAAGCGCTGGATCATGGGTCCCATCTGCCTCATCATGTGCTTCATGCCGCGACCGTCGCAGCCAGCGCACTTCTTGACAGCACCCTCCTTGCCGCCGACACCTGCACACTTGGGGCAAATGACTGACTTCTGCAGAGCGAGCTTCGAGACCTTGCCGCGGTAGATGTCCTCGAGGGAGACCTTGTGGACGTGAGAGATTGTGCGCGCCTTCTTGGGGCCTTGTTCGCGGCCACCACCCATACCGCCGCCGAACATGCCGCCAAAGGGGCCACCTCCACCGCCGAAGAATTGTGCGAACAGGTCTTCGGCAGCCATGCCGCCTCCACCGCCACCCTGTTCGAGACCCTCTTCACCATACTGGTCGTATAATTGGCGCTTCTGTGGGTCGGAGAGGACTTCGTATGCGTGTGACAGATCCTTGAACTTGTCGGCGGCCTCTGGGTTGTGGGCATTCTTGTCGGGATGCCATTTCAGCGCACCCTTCTTGTATGCTGACTTGAGTTGTGCCTCAGAGGCGTCGGGCGACACCTGGATTTGTTAGCGAGCAGTCTCGCTTGTACTTGTGATTAAAACATACCCCGAGGATGTCGTAGAATTTCTGGTCTTTTACCATTGTCGTGGTTTCGCACCGTGTGGTGGTAGAGACGAGGGGCTAGCGGGGTCGCAAAAGTCGTGTAGAGGGAGGGTCGAGGATCAGAGCCGAGCGCGTGTTATATAGCAGAGGGGCTGTCGAGAGTCGCGTGAGGAGTTTGTCCTGCAGGTCTTCATAGAGTTAGCGGGTCAAACAGTGTTCCATGGTTTGTATTCACCAAGCGCTTCAGCCTGGTAATCGTGGCCCACACTTCCTGCGCCGCAGAGGCAGGAGGGGTTAACAAAGTAACTTACCGATTTCAGCCGCAGTGAGGCAACTTGCAGTGAGTCTGGATGTACAGAAATCACGGGAATGCGTTTATGTTGTTTTGTGTACTGCAAGGGCAAAGGCGAAAGCTTGTGGACTTTAAAAGTAGTCCGCTAGGATGCTGCAGATGCCCCGACTGCGCCGAGAGAGAGAAGTTTCCAAACGATTCCACGCGATTCCACCGCCTCCCAACAGCCTTACGGCGCCTGAAATCACCAGGCTGACGGCCCAAACTACTCAGCTGAGTCCACAGCGCCTGAATCTGCAATGTTCCAGCATGATTATTGGGGTTTGGACCCAAGAATGCGCAAATCGCGGTTCTGCTGGCATGCACCTCATCGGAACCTTCAGTGAACCGCGCTATGACCTCCAAACACCATCAACCCGATTGGTCCACAATCGAAAGCTTATCGCCGGATAGCCGAACCTCGATTGGTGTTGCGGGACCCTGCGTGCATGCCTTGCTTGTGACGTGACGGGTAGATTTCCAAAGCTTGAGCTTACACATAAGAAATCGCTATTCGCCATGTCTTCAGAAGATGCTGGATTCAAAGCAGCCTTGCACGAAGCCAGGCAAGGCTGCAACGAGGGCGGAGTTCCAATAGGCGCAGCCTTGGTCTCAGCCGACGGCAAGATACTCGGTCAAGGCCACAACATGCGCATCCAGAAAGAAAGTGCAACGCTCCATGTGTGTACAGCCTCAGCCTCACAAACACCATCGTAGATCTGACCTAGAAAGGCAGAGATATCCACACTCGAGATTGCCGGACGTCTCCCCGCATCCGCGTATCGTGGTGCTACCATGTACACCACTTTGAGTCCATGCGACATGTGTACTGGTGCCTGTGTCATGTACAAGGTTAAAAGAGTCGTCATAGGCGAAAACAAGACCTTCGTGGGAGGCGAAAAGTACCTGCAAGAGAGAGGAATAGAAGTGGTCGTTTTGGATAACAAGGATTGTCACGACTTGATGCAAAAGTTCATCAGGGAGAAGCCGGACGATTGGTACGAAGATATTGGCGAGGAAGACAAGTAATTTATTGGATATCATAGACTTCCTAAGATTTGGTGAGCCTGTGGATCTCCTCGAAGTAGAACTTGAGGTCATCTGGCTTCACGAATGGAGTTATGCCTAGAAGTGTTAGCAATGCGTGTACATGTTGATAGACCGGCACCTACCATGGCCCAGATTTGCGATCCACCCCTCTTTTCCACCACCGAAACCAGCCACCATATTCTCGACGACTTTGGTGATCGATTCGTGCGTGCCGTATAGCACACCCGGGTCGGCATTTCCTTGTAGCACCTTGCCCTTCGCTCTCGCGATCTTGTATGCTTCGGCCGGGTCATGAAGCCAGTCTAGACCGATCGTGTTATACTTGGTTTCGCAGAGATCGTGCAGCGCGTACCACGCTCCCTTGGCGAAGACTGTCATTGGTACAGGCTCCAGACCTTTCGACTTCAGGCGCGCAGGTAGGTTGTCGGCGATGATGTTTAGGTAGGGAAGGGAAAACTCCTTGAAGCAAGACGGCGAAAGCTCTCCAGCCCAAGAGTCGAACACTTGGATCATCTACAAGGGTCAGCGACGGACAACTCATTGTACGACACCACTCGCCTGTGCGCCAGCCTGCACCTGGAGTGCCAGATACTCCACACAGAGCTCAGCAATTTTCTGTAAGAGTGCTTTGCTCTCCGCGGGGTACTTGTAGATCCACGTCTTGGTCTGTATAAACATCTTGCTGCCTCCGCCCTCTACCATGTAGCATAAGAGCGTCCAAGGAGCACCGCAGAAGCCAATTAATGGCACGCGCCCTGCAAGCTTGTGCCTTGTCATGGTTATGGCCTTGTATACATAGTCTAGCGACTCTGCAACATCAACCTCTCTTTCCAGGACCTCCTTGTATTGCTTGTCCTCGGGTGTCTGGAGGGGCTCAGGGAAATGCGGGCCTTTCTTGTCGACCATGATTACCTCCATACCCATCGCTTGTGGTATAACAAGGATGTCGGAGAAGATGATGGCAGCATCGATGAGGCCTGCATAGCGTTCAATGGGTTGGAGGGTGAGCGTAGAGGCAATCTCGGGGCTGCGACAGCACTCGAAGAAGTCATTCTTTCCTTTGGCCTCGTGGTATTCCGGCAAATAGCGACCAGCTTGGCAATGTCAGTTTTGCGCCATGCAGTGTGATTGCGGATAGCTTCGTGCCTTGTCGCATCACCCATATTGGTGGACGCTCAACTTTTTGGCCTGCAATTGTCAGCTTCATGCGTCATCGATGTGTCCAATGTCTCTGCCACACCTTTTGCAGTGCGTAGAATCAAATCATTCTTCATGGGCTCGAACTTGTGTGCCATTTTTGCTGTGTGGAATTGAAGAGTGTGAGACGGGTGCTCGGAATTCTCTATGTTGACGTACCACCGGCGATACTCCGCGACCCCGCGCCCACTTTATGCCGTCTTTCTGCTAGACCACTTTGGGACGCGTACACCAATCGCGCCTTCTCAGCACCCTCGGCCCGCATTCATCCATTGCTCAAGATATGCTGCCAAGGCATTGCCATAGTCTGACGCGCACTTGTGCTCTGCCCTTCCAGCGATGTCAAAGCGTTTCCAACAGAGCCCTTAGTACTGCTGTGAGAGGCGCCTTTGTGGCGCCAACGCGTACCATCGCGAAACCACGTGCTCTGCTGCAACCCCAAAAGCCTCAACGTCGCGGCGCAAAGAGGAAAGCAACTGTCGCCCTCGATGAATTGCCACAAGGCGCCATCGAAGGCGCCGCGCTACCTCCGCAAGATGACACCGAGCCAGATTATCCTCCACTGTTGCAGCAGGTCCGCAATAATATGCTCAAATTTAGCCACTGCGTATTAGTGACAAGAGTAGGAGGCTTCTATGAGGTACTTCCAGCATGTATTCCTGCTATTGCGGCTGACTAGAGTAGCTGTACTTTGAACATGCCGACGAATTAGCACCACTTCTAAATTTGAGAAAATCGAAGAGGAAAACGGTCAAAGGCAGCAAGAAGCCAGCAGTATCCATGGTGAGAAGCTTGCGCATCAGCTGCAAGACTTTATACTCACAGCAGTACAGGCCGGCTTCCCAGCGTATCAGCTCGATCGTTACCTCAAGATCCTTGTCCAGGACTTGAACAAGCACGTCGCAATCAGTGATGAATTCCTCAACGATGCACCATCAACTGCTAAAGGCGCACCTCAATACACTCGTAAAGTATCACGTATAATCACACCAGGCACGCTTATCGACGAACACTTCATGGATCCCTGGGAGAACAACTACCTTCTCAGTATCCACGTCGACCCGGAGGTTCTAGTCAAGGAGAAGGCAGTCACAGAGAGCCCAGGAAGTTCGAGTGTTTCCTCAGTCCTCAACCTCCCGCGCACTGAGGTTGGACTCGCTTGGATCGATTTGTCCAGCGGCGACTTTCTTACGCAGAGCACTGATATCGCATCGTTGCCGTCGGCAGTAGCCCGGATCAAACCGCGTGAAATTGTTCTGGACAGTATCTTTCAAGAAGCCGGGTATTCGCGCATGGTCTCTATTTTGCAAGAAGATGGGCACGTTATCACCTTCCAAGAGCAGTCAGAAAAGCCACTCACTGTGACAGACTGGGTTCCAATGTTGGAAGATGTCGTAGATGATTTCGACACTAGTAAATTCTCGCCCAGCGAAATCGCCGCTGGCGGACCTTTGTTGCATTACGTCAAGTATCAGCTTCTCGGTTCTCGAACACGCTTACAAGCTCCTGTAAGACATCAGGCCGATGAGCACATGAGTATCGATAAGAACAGTTTGAGAGCGTTGGAAATACGGAGTACCATTCGCGACGGTGCTTACGAGGGTAGCCTTCTCCATTCTTTGAAGAAGACAGTCACCAAGAGCGGTACAAGATTACTCACTCAGCGTCTATGTAAGTCAGCAGATCACGATTAAGTCCTTCAACTGACGCTCGTCAGCTGCTCCGTCCATGTCACTCTCGACTATAAATGACCGACTAGACCTTGTGGAAGAGATGATACAATACCCACAACTTCGCCAAGACGTTGTTGCTCTACTTGGACGAACCTTTGATTCCCTGCGTCTGGTAACAAAGTTTACCTATGGCCGAGGCGACGCTGACGATTTGATGGAACTTTCGAAGACAATAGCGACCACTTCTGACATTATTGGCATACTCCGGGGGCATGCGGGTTCTCGGAAAGCCGTCCCCGATGCTACAAACGAGCCCTCGCAGACCCAGCGAAAGCAGTGCATTGCAGCATTGGAACGTCGTTTTAGCCTAGAACAGCCTCTCCAACTTGCCCAACGTATTCACGACGCTATTGACGAAGATGGCCTCTCTGAATACCATCGATTGGAAAACGAGGAAGCAAGCGAAATGTCAGAGTTGGCACAGGACGTGCTAGGACGTGAAGCTGGCGAGGAAGACCTTAAGGCAATACCAAAGCGCATTCAGCCTAAGCCACATGTGATTGCTGCAAGCTTCAAGAGTGCGACAGACGGAAGAGAAGATATTTACATCATGAAGCGTGATGCAAGTCCTACACTGAAACGATTGCATGGTACTCTCGACTCGTTCGCGGAGGCGAAGAACACATTAGAAGAAAGCTTACGGCAAAAGATGGGTACGGATACTTTGGCACTCAAATGGACGCCCAACCTTGCGCATATTGCTCATGTCCGAGGAAAAGACTCGTCTCGCGCCGCTGAACACTATCCGAAAAGCTTAAGCAGCAGCAAGTCGACGCGCTCCTTCCAGGTCCCCGAGTGGACGCAACTGGGAGCACAAATCGACGAAACCCGGTTCCGCATCCGCAGTGAGGAACAACGAGTCCTGGGTCAGTTGCGTGAAGGCGTTGTACGGAATCTCGTTAAGCTGCGTCGAAATGCAACTGTCCTCGATGAGCTTGATGTAGCCTGTGCTTTCGCCATGCTCGCGATTGAGAAGAACTTCGTACGTCCAATGCTAAGCTCGGAAGCGTCGCATAATATCGTTGGTGGTCGACATCCAGTAGTAGAGGCAGGTCTAAACGACCAAGGCCGACAATTCGCACCCAACGATTGTCTTCTTGGCGAACAGGAGCGGATCTGGCTCATTACCGGTCCGAACATGGCTGGAAAGAGTACCTACCTCCGACAGAACGCGCTCATATCCATTCTCGCCCAGACAGGCTCTTTTGTGCCCGCTGAATACGCTGAGGTTGGACTGGTTGACAAGATCTTCAGCCGTGTCGGCTCTGCAGACAATCTGTACCTGGATCAATCAACCTTCATGGTCGAAATGTTGGAGACCGCGCAGATCCTCAAGGAAGCTACCCCGCGGTCATTTGTGATCATGGATGAAGTGGGTAGAGGCACAACGCCCGAGGACGGCATTGCTGTCAGCTATGCATGTCTACACCACCTGTATCACGTCAATCAATGCCGGACGCTCTTTGCAACGCACTTCCATGCACTCACTGACATGACAAAGAGCTTTAAGAAGCTTGGCTGCTATTGCAATGATGTGCTTGAAGAGCCCGATGGCAAGTTTTCCTATGTCCATCGGCTGAGGAAAGGCGTCAATCGGGAGAGTCATGCCTTGAAAGTAGCGCGAGTTGCTGGTGAGTCTCTCGACAGGCAGTGTCAAGCTTTTTAATTGTAGTACTAATACAAGCAGGTCTACCAGAAGATGCGGTTGCGGTCGCAGCGCAAGTCCTGCAGCAACTCAAACCCGCAGTCTCGTCGCAACACCCTGGAGAGGCTCGCTTGTCATCACAGCGTGGATTGAAAGATTGATATGCAAGTCGGGTGCTTACAACGCGCTCAGTGAGCTGGTTTCCCGGCGGTCGAGCGTTACTGTATTCTCCTCGTGTTTCTATTGTATGATACCCATAGCTATGGCCATCTCCGCCTCTGTGAGGCTCAAATTCCCTCTTTCAACCAGCGCAGAATGTCTGCCTTGATCATGTGCTCAGCCTCCTTCTTGCCATCCTCGCCAACGTACCAGATCAGGATAGGGTCCATGACCCTGGACTTGCAAGCCAATTTCAGGCTCTTTGTCGTGTCCGTCTTGGTTTTGAATGGATAGAACTTGATTTTTGTGCAGTCCAATTCCTCTGCAGTCCGGCCAGCGCGAAGATGCTTCACAGCATCCACAACAGCAGGCATCCTGCGTCCACCATCCACTCTCATCGCCTGCCGAAGGGCTATTCCCATCTTGATGTAGTCCCGCACCGCTGTGAACTTGCTGTCCTTTATGTGCCATAAGTAGGGAATGATCATGACACGACAATCTGGCACCAAGCGAGCGAAGTCGACGACGCTGTACAGAACCTTTTCCTCAGGCCAACGACCCCATCCCCAATTTGGAATGAAGACAAGTTTGCGTAGCCATCGAACTATCTCCGGATTCTTTACAGGACGCAGAAGCTTGACAAGAGCAGACCCATTGCTGCAGATCAGGGAATTCGAGGCGAATTCCAGCAGACGGGCATCCTGGCGAAATTGTTTATGAGCGCATCGGACAAGGTTCCAGGGACGCTTCAAAACAGCAATTAGCAATTCACATCTAGTATCATTTGAGATGCTGACTTACCTTCAGATCGCCTGTGATCATAGTGTAGCCATCCCGTGTAGGTTGCTGCAACACAACCCGATCTCCACCCGATGCATGCATCAATGCATATGTCCAGATGCGGTTTCGTAGCTCAGCAGAGAGCTCCAGGATGCGGCATGCGCCTCTCTTGGTACGCTCATATGCCTTCCCGTCGACTGACAAGCCCACAATCTCGCCCTTCTTGACCTTGAACATGACCGTGTCTTTGGCACGCAGGACAATCGCTACTGCCATGACCTTGGAGTTGAGCTTGAGCTCCTCCTCGGTATCTCCTTCGACATGGTTGAGGCGGAAGTGGTCGATGCTGATGTCGATGCTTTTGGTGAGGATGCTGGGCGTGCCAGTGAAGTAGCCGATGCGCAGTTGACCTGCATCGAGGGTGACAGCAATCCGCGCGCCCGTATCGTCTCTGTACAATCCCGTATAGGCCATCAGGACCTCTGGTGGGGTGACTTTGGGTAGGATGGGCGACATGGCGAGGGTATTCAGGATGTCGCGGGGGGTTGGCAGAAAAGGGAGGATGATGCTGCAGCAAAGCCGACAGGATTGCAAATCAAAGCTAGACTTGCGCAAGTTAACGCCTCGACGCGTTTGTTGACCAGAAGACATCAGCGGTGTCTCCCCGCACAGACATTTGTCACATTCACCTCAGGTTCGGCACTTCTGCACATGTCCCTTATGGCGTATCCTGTCTATTCTAGGCCTTATAACAGAGCAAGTCTCTTCTATGACAGCTCCATCAACAACATGCTACGCGAAATAGCTCTTTACATAGGACTACCTACAGGTCAACGCAGTTCAGGTGCCGTCGTTGACCGCAACGGCCGCACGAGCAGATTCGTCCGTACTGCAACAAACGCTGCGATTTATCGATGACGTATCTGCGGTCCTTTACTCGGAGAAGTGCAGATTTGAGCCTTCCCCTCTCTTTGGCGGCGTGTACTGACAATTGGCACTGATTACACCTTCACCTGCCCTTGCCGCACCTGTCACCTGCCTCGTCTAGGTCTAGCGTGTCGGTCCGAGCGCCCACGCTCGACATATAAGCCCTCTTCTGCCTCGTCTCCCTCCCTTTCGTTTCCTTCTGCCCACCATACGAGCGAATTCTCTCCCAATTTTCTACTACTGTTGCCATACCGTCTGTGCTAGCGTTCACATTACAACCCTTTCCCACCCTACCCAACACAGCAGCCTCACAAGAGCGCCAACAAATACAACACATACGACAGCCAATGACGACTACAAACCAACCCACGTGGTCAACCCAAAAAGACGCTCACGCGCATACTCATGGTCTTTTGACCATTTCACACATCTCGAATAACGACAACATCCTCACCAGAGCTTTGCGGTGCGTACTCATCCTGTCCCAGCAATTGCTCTGGTGGCAATCGACGCGTCCAGCGTGGCATTCCAGTGCACAGGAATCGACAGCGTATTCGCAGGCCGAATTACGTCTTGTTCGGCACTTGGATGAGCAGAAGACGCGCCAACTTGTAAGCTTCGGCTGAGATAGAGGGGCGACTGAAACTGTCGACGACATCGATGAGGTTGGAGTAACCCTCCACAAAGAAGATCTTTGAAGAGATCGGGCAATTCATCCGCGGACTGCGCCGCCGACTACCTGAATAAGCTGGTCTTGCTCATGTAGGTGATTAGGTTGAATGGCGCGCTGGCGTGTCCTTCGACCGACATCCTGATGGAGGCGGGAATACGTTTAGCTCAGCTTACGCTCGCCGGTTGTCATACTCTGCGGATGGCATGTTCGTCCAGAGTCACTCACCCGTTCGATCCTCGACAACTATCTTTACCTCTTCGTTGCACCGTCGGTGAGACTGAGCAGCCAGGTGCGGATTACATACATGCTGGGTCCGGCTGTATATACGAGCTGGACTCGTCTGTGCAGATTGAGGCAACGCGATCACGCCGGCGTGCTCGACTAGCCAAGATACACATGCGAGGCAGGGTCACATGGCTTAACTGCTGTCGTGCCTGCCGGGTGAAAACTCTGGATGACGTCGCTCGTTCGGAGTCACTCCCCAAGTCTCAGATCCTCACAACTGTGTCATTTTGAGGTGAATTACTCTATTCCTACCCCGATACACCACCCGTGGACTTGGGCAGCCCTTATCGGGTTAATGCTGAAACATGTTCGAGCTGGACTTGAACATGTGGACGCCTGAAAGATCACGCTGGCGTGAACTTTCTACTCACGCTCTTTATCCTGAGTTCTTGGTCATGGTGTCATTGGAGTCTATTTTTTCATTAAGTTGATGCCCTGCTGTGGCGTCGCTCGAGGAAGAATTTTCACAACGAGACTTTTACGCTACTCTTTCTTCGTAACGGACGAGTGAATGCGAAAGTGAACATGGCCATCCACAAACTCTTGCAACCGCAGCCAATAAAATTTTCTTGTCACAACCTCGCTCAACTCAACCAATATCCCCATACTATCTTCGACCGCAATCTCGATACTCAACCCCAACCGATATCGCCATGGACATCTCACACCCCAACAACCCTCCCAACTGGCTCCCGAAGAGCAACTATAAGGCGACAAAGCACGACCCAGACTTCAAGCACCCCCTCGAGCCGTCTTGCATCCCCGACGGCCTCTCTTCCGACACCATCTGCAAGTACCCCGGCACCTTCAGCACTGTCGTGGCGCTCACCTCGACCGTGCAGAAGACTGTCAGCATCGAGCATATGAAGAAACTGCTGTACTTCAAGCACCTCCCCGATATCAAGGTCAACAAGTCAGTCGTCGTCCCGCAGGAGAAGCCAAGGAGCAAGCCGAGGGTGAGCGCTAAGGGGAAGGTCACCAAGCCGACTGCGCCAAAAAGAGCGAAGAAGACCGCCGCTACTACTCCTGCCATGAAGAAGATCTTGGAGGAGCTCGAGGAGGGTGCGCCAGTGTCTGCGCTCGCTACTGTCATGGCTACCAAAGCCACTGCGCCAAAACGAGCGACCAAGACCGCCGCCGCTGCTGCTGCTGCTGCTGCTGCTGCTACTAAATCATCTGAGGTCGAGGAGACTGCGCCTGTCCCTCCTTTGACACTCTCCGCAGCCATGGCCAGTGAGGATACCGCGCCGAAATCCGCCACTGTCGAAGCCACTCCTCCCAGGGCGTTCCTTGCGCCTACAGCCAGTACGGGAGCGGCAGGTCTCGGAGGCGAAATCGTGGCTAGGGCTCCTGTCAGGGCGTTCGATTGCGCTAAGCCGTGTCTGCTGCATCTTGCGGACAACGGCGTGCAGAGGGTACGCATCAGTGGCGCGACGTCCGAAGAGACGGAGAAAAACAGCGAGTTGCAGGCTATGGGACGGCTGGGTGGGTGCAATAAGCTGGTCTTCTTCGATGTGAAGGATGGGGAGATCAGGGGCGTTAGGGTGGATGGGGAAATGTATGTGCGTGTGACAGAAGTGGTGATTGACTAGGCGGAGGAGATGGATGTCAGCATTGGAGCTTTGCTTTGAACCAGAGCGACAGGAACGGTAGAAGGGCATCGTCGTTGAGCGCTACGTGTGTGTTCTCGCCATACCAACTACAAATACAACCCATGGTTTTCATTTCTCATCAACAACCCTCCACTTCCTACCCATCAACGCATTACTCTCCTCACTCCCTTCATCCACCAACTTCCTACTCCCCTCACTCCCCACCACCGGCAGTGCAACCTCATACCTTTTCCCCTCCGGCGCCTCCTCCCCGTCAATCGCATACGGAAATCCGACGTACTCGGGCAACAAGCCCAGCTGCTTGAGCACAGTAGCCTGGTCCCAGGAGATATGCTCATGGCACAAGCGATCGCCGCGCAGCGCAACGATGCTGGTAAACGGGATGTCGAGTTTCTTGCCCGTAGGTGGGATACCGGGGATTAGCCAGGGTACTTCGCTTGTATGCGTGAGGCTGAAGATGAACTCGTCGATGACGCGGTCGATGCCGACGGTGCGGGAGACGAGGGAGAGGGAGGTGTCTGGGGGGTTGGAGAAAACGAAGTGGTGGGTGTAGAAGGAGGTTAGGCGCTCTTTGCCTATGCCGCCGCTGTGGGTTATTTGTTAGTTGGAGGGTGTATGGTATATTGATGGATTGAAGGGATGGCTTACGTCATGGTTGGGATGTGGTTGACGTATGGCTGGTCGACCATTGTTGCCATTGTCTTGTCTACGTCTCGCTCGCCGAATTCGTAGAGTGTGTGCTCTTCCCATACAGCTTCGAGATCGAACCACGGTCCGTCTAGCGCTTTCTTCAAGAAGCCAAGACTTCTCGTATGCGCAATACCTGCGCTTCTTTTGTGGTAGTTCTCGTCGGCTGGTAACACCCAGCCGGAGTCTTCTTTTGCATCATCGTAGCGGTATGTCTTGACCACACCCTCAAACTGTTTGCTCTTTTGCGACTCAGGCGTGAGGGAGACTGACTTTCGTCGAGGTACATTGGGACCAGAGACATGAATCAGTTGTGGTGGTATGGATGATGATGCTGTTTCGTTGAGAGTTGAGAATGTCTTGCCACCGTAGGATATTAGTGCTTTGATCTCGGGCGCAATGTATGTTGCTTGTTCGAGATAAAATGGAATGCGATACAAGTAAGCTGTGAATATGTTAGTGTGGGCAACTTTAGATAATTTTCTAAGTTCCACTTGTTGTGCATTATTGTTCCAAGCTCCTTCTGTGTTCATGATCATTATGTGTGGCGTTCTCGCGCATCAAGCACTTAGAGAATCGTAGCTCTTACAGATTAGTCCCACGCCCTTGTCAAACTCGCAAGCCTCGCAACCCTTCAGGATCTCTAGTGCTTTCTTCAATGGAAATTCTCCGCCGTCTTCAACCTTCCCAGGTACCACCAACTGCACGACCGCAAACCCTTCTTCAGCCCATTTCTGCAGCGGCGGCGGGTCGAGATGTTTCTCGCTCTTATCAATCAGCGCAGACGTATCCAGCACCAAAACAAGGCCCGGTCCTTTCCCGCGTCGTGAAAGCGGTGCCTGAAGCGTGATCTGCGGGGAGATCGCCTGAGGTTCTGGATACGAATGAGGGGCAGATGGTGGGGTAGCTTCGCCCATGGTGGCAACTATGACAACAGCTTCGTTGCACGTCTGAAAGCAAAAAATGCGAAGGAAGTCAGGAGAGACAATGGAGCACGAGCGAGACTGGAGAAACGATGGTGTGGGGTAGTGAGTACTACCAGGTCAGGTAGACGTACAAAGGCTACGTTACCGCTTTCATCGCACGACCGGCAAGTATTGCAGCACGAGGTGCTCAGAGTGCATCCCGCTAAACTGGAATCGGAATCCTCATGCTATGGTGACCTGTCGCAAGGTACAGACAGGGGTGGCCTAGGGGGTCGTTGGCGTATCGCGTACTGTAGAAGATGGATCAGTGTGATGGCCGTATGTGAGTTTCTGCCTTACCAGAATGGGATTTGATTGCGAGACCAAGTCACCACGTTGTTGATGGCTCCTAACAAAGGGACCATAGGATGTGGCCTTGTACGATGTAGTCGACTCTTTCAAAGCGTACCTCCTACATGAAGTGTGCAGGTAGCTCGTGCAATGTTACAATAACACATCTGCGAGATTGATATGTGCTACGAATAATTGAGCTTGGAAGGCGCAAGCGAATGAATTGGTGCTAACTACCAAGAGCATGTAGCCGGAAAACAGCAAAGTCGAGATCATGACCAGGCCCGACTGCTGTGCAATGTATATGTCATGTTGTGCTTGAGTGAGTACCGGATAAACCAGATAAAGACTATATCTAGTATGTTACGTGCGAGGAAAGGTATAAGGTAATTTACCAACAATTGTAGTTGGGCGAGTCCTGCAGATGATGCTTACCCAACGCAGTCGAATGTTCCTCAAGCAACACCACAGTGGGGAGATGACTCAAAGAAAAATCTTGTCTCAAAGACAACATGGTCTAGTTCTGATCTGGAGAGTAACTCCGAACAAACAGTGTCATTCGCAGTGTCGCACCCAGCGTGACTCCGAACGAACAGTGTCATTCGCAGAGTGTCGCACCCAGCGTGACTTGCCTTGTTATTTTCCAGTCTCACCGACGATGCACTGACGAGTCAAAATGGTGCGACAAATTCATCAATATTGCCATCTAGCTACAGTATCTCCAAGACCGAAGAGGAACGCCATCCTGAGTCAAGACGTCGCCGATTCTAGTCGTCCAAATGCCAAACGAAACAGGCGAGCCCCCTTGTAAATTCCCACGCACTGCAACGCTATACTGGACGCGGTGATTGCCAGCCGAGTTTTATGTCCCAGAGCTCCGGTATGGAAGGTGTTGAGGGCTTTGGAGGTTGTGTCAGGACGGGTAGTAGTCGTCAGGTAAGCTGTTGCTGAAATGTATAAGATTGTCGATCGTGGAGCTGCGGGTGGGTGGATAATGAGTAGTGCAGAAGTAGGAATTGGTCAAGAAAAGGAGTTAGGTCGAGAGACAGGAAACGTCTGTGTGCGCTCTGGCCTTGTCGCCAAAGGGGGCTAGTGGTAAGCGTGCGTGTGAAGAGCCGTAAATTCTACGACGTTCTGAGCGAATTCTGCTATATTCCAAGAGCTCTCATGCACTAACATGTATCCTTTAAAGATGATCGCGCAGCCCTGTATCCCAATCCGCTGTCCCCCTCATAACACTATCAAAAAATGCCGCGTCCACACCCTGAAACGTCCAATCATTCACACTCGCCATCAGCGACGGATTCTGCATCTGCTGCTGATCAAGATCCCCACCGATCATCGGTGTTCTCGCTACCTGTGCAAGCGGCTCATCATCTATCGGCAAAAGGTACTGCGGCTGAGGCTCCTGGTGCAGCGCATCTCCAAACCCAGCTGTAGAAATGAGATGATTCGCCACGAACACGCTATGTGGGAAGGTGTTTGGCAAAGGCTGGACTGATTTGAGTTTGTTCGAGTCGTCTTTAGTGATGCCCTCCTGTCCGATCTTGATGATACCGAAGTAAGGTATGTGAAGCTGCAGCTCACCGGAGTTTTGCTCAAGGTCTCTCACAGTGCTGTGAGCAGATAGATCTACACCCCTGGCTGCATCGCTTTCGACGTCTAATAGCCGCCGCAGCTGCTCCGCGCCTTTGCGGCACAGGCTGTCATCTGCGCGAAAACCGAGCATGTCGAGCGGCTTCAGTAGCTGTTCTACCAGCGCGCGGTCGCTGTGGCGTTGGTGTGCTCTCCAGTCGTCTGTGCCGAGCTTGTGGCCGTCGATATGGGCTAGAAGCACTGTCATGGCAGCCATCAAGGCGAGGAAATCGGCAGAGCGACAGTACACCGTAGGTGCCTCGAGGCCTTGGAACACGCGAAACGCAATGAATCGATGGAGTAGTTCGCGGCTTGCAGTGACGCAAGCGATCTTGGCATACGTGTTGTAGGTGGATTCCTTATCGCACCGGAGAAGATATGGCAAGTGTAAGAGATGCACTAGATTGTAGTGATGCACTTGATCGCACATGCGCATGACTTCCCAAAAAGCTCCTCTCGTGTTGGGTTTGAGCGACGCAAAATTTGGCGGGGCCCAGAACTTGTCTGGTAGGGCTTTGGCGGCTTTGATTAGCATTTGGTCGAGTTCGCGTGTCGTTTTGAGGTCGTCGGGGAAGACTTCGCATCGGTTGCGTTCGATAATGCGTCTCCCGACGATGGTATGTATGCGTTCTAGCTTGCAGCTTGGTGTTTCGCCTGGAATGTCGTGCTCGAGATTATCTGATGCTTGGCCACCATGAGGTAGACCAAGCATCAGACTGAGCATCACGTCCATGAACACCAAGCGAAACCACTTGAACTTCGGGTTCGTGTCGATTTCACCATCCAGCGTCTTTACGGGCGCTGGATTGGGAAGATCAAGTCTCATCAGTTGTGCGACCGTCATACCCTTCCTGAAAGCCAGCCAAGCTCTTCGCAGGTTTCCGCCTTTTATCTGAAAGAGGCCTTCGAGTATGACACATTCGAGACCGTCAATACAGCAGACCAGGTTCTCATTCGTCGTGACAAGACGCACAGCGGTGTCAACCAGTCTGTCCATGACATCACAAGGACTTTCGGGCAGATTACCCCAGTTCTGCGCGCGAAAGTACTGCAGAAACAAAGCTAATAATAGCATTCTTTTCGCTATTAGGACGGGATGCGTGGACGAATCAGGGATGGCGGCGAAGTCATTAACAAAGTCGAATGCTTCATGCTCTGGGCGGTCGGAACTTGTGAACAATTGATGGCAGTAGAATGTGGCGATGTAGTCAAGCTTGCAAAACGCGTCGATCTCAGCTTGAGCTGGAAAAGCCTTGAGCAGCTCTTCCGAAATCTTCTTGTTCTCGTCTGTCACGACGACAGCAATGCTGTTTGTTGCGGCGCATGGCGCTGTCGGTGGTCTGCACGATACCGGTGCCTGGCACTCACTCACCGGAGTGAAGTACCCAGACTGTTCGTTCACTGGATTTCCGAGAGTGTTTGGTTTGATGTCCCGCTGGACTGCATGCCCGACCTCGAGCAGCTGTTCCAGCAGTGATTCCACTCTCTGGATCCTATCAAGAAGAGGATCCCGATTACTTTCAGCCTGTGCTTGGAACTCTTCTTCCGGCTTCTCTTGACTGATGCACGGCGCACCACGGCGCCTGCAGGGGACGCATATGTTTTCTGACGTCGCGTCATATGCATCATACGTACATCTGACTTTCCTCTTCTTGCAGTCCCAGCAACTTGTAGTCCCCTTGCGCAGCTTGCGGCGCTTCGTATCGGGCTCTGAGCTTGTCGAATCTGCATAATTCCTGGATGGATCCATGTTGCGCCGTTTCGGTGGAAGCGCAATGTCTGACATAATGTCGGTGGACTTGAGCATGCTAGCTAGATGAACGCGGCTGGAAGGTGCTCATGATGTACACTTGGTCCGCCGGTTCGGCGGAAGGACGAAGGCGGCACAAAGCCAGGCTGACAGACAACGCGGCTTTCAGGCAACCATCATCGACTCAAACGCTATCGCACATCATCCCGAAGGAATATAAATAGGAACTGAGTCTAGGCCTCCGCAAGGCGAGCGTATCACATTCTAGTATCGCTGCAAACCGCTTGTTCCACACCACAAGATCAAGCGCCACGGGAGAAAGTGACTTAGAGTAAACTAAACAGATGCGAATGCGACATGACTTGAAAAGGGTATGCTTCCTGTATATTCTAATGATCTGTGAGATGAGAGTGTATGTAGAAAGAGGTGCGATCCAAACAGGGTCTAAACTAGGCGCCCCGAAGCCGCGGCGCCGGCGGCCCCACCTGCTTCTCTCCACTTCAATCCTTCCTCATGCAACAGCACCCTGCACCGCCTCTGTATTAAGCCTCTTCCTTGGAACGAAGACAACCAGCACGCACGCCGTAGCCGTCAGACTAAGGGCTAGGATCAAAGTGACCTTGATGCCCTCCATGTACGCCAGCACAATCTCGGGAACTTGCTCCGCTGGAAAGGCGTGTCGGATTTGTGTCGCTCCTGTGCCGATGACCATCTCGGGACTGATGTTGGGCGCTGTCTTAGCGAGCGTTGTCAGGACGCGGTTCACGAAGCCGGATTGTGCGGCGGAAGTCGAGAAGGCGCCGCCGACGGTTTGGAAGACTGGAGGTGATTTTGTTAGTGATATGTGCAGCTGGAGGTTACATGGGTATGAGCTTACAGAGAACGGTCGCTGTTACCGATGACATGATCTCCGGGGTGGAATTTGCTTGTGCGATGGTAATGCCCATCTGGAACGTCATCCCAAGCGCAAAGCCGTACAATGTCTGATATCCAATCCATGTCGCGACGGATGTGCCGATGTCGAATGTGTAGATCAAGCCCATACTGATAGTCGATAGGACGACTCCGGCCATCATGAAGGCCGCCGCATAACCCGTCTTCATGACGACAATTCCGGCGAACGTGCTACCAAGTGCCAGCGAGAGAACAAGCGGCAAGTTGAGCACTCCAGAAGAGATTGCAGTCCGGTTGTCGACGCTTTGGAAGTAGATGGGAAGATAGTACAGAAGAACAAAGTATCCGGCTGCGAAGAAGAACTGGAAGATCGATGGCTGCCAGACTGAGCGTCTGCTGATGACGTTGCGCTGCAGCATAGCTCGATCGTTGTTGTAGTACTCCCAAAATCCGAACGCAGCCCAGATGAGTACGAAGCCAACAAGGAGTCCAATGACAGTGCTGCTGTTCCACGCCTTTTTCTGGCCTCCGTTCTCCATGGCGAGGATGAACGAGATGATGCCGCCCATAATAAGAGCCACACCGAGCGGATCAAGTTGAAGGAATTTCTCCTTCCATGTCGCCTTCACCGGGGCCGCTTGAGGCGGCGTCTTGAAGAAGATGAAGATCAGGAGCGCCGAGAGGCTACCAACCGGAAGATTGATCCAGAAACTATACTTGTCAGCGCCCTGCCACTCTCCTCAGAAGTGTTTCACACTTACCACCACCTCCACGTTGCCCTATCCGTAAACACCCCACCCAGAATCGGCCCAACAACACTCGACAACCCATAAACACCGCCAACAAGCCCAAGTAACCCCGGCCGTACCTTCGGTTCTGCAACAAACGTAATAAGCGTGAACGCACCCGTCGACACACCCGCAGCACCCACACCAGCAAACGCCCGTCCCACCACAAACGTCACCGAATTCTGCGAAACCGCACAGATCAAGCTGCCAATGACGAATACAAAGATGGACCCGAGGTAGCTTGCCTTGAGCGGGAAGTACTTGAAGAACTTGCCCGAAGCTGGTTGAAATCCGCCAAACGTCATGAAATAAACACTCCCGTACCAAGAAACCATATTCAGGCCGTCAAACTCGTCTGTAATTTTGGGGATCGCGGTGCCGATGATGGTCATGTCGAGGGCGACGAGGAGGACTGAGCAGACGAGGGCGATGATGATGGGTATGAGGGTCATGCCTGAGGCAAAGACCTCGAGGGGTGCATCGTCGGGTGTTTGGCTTGTGAGGCTTGGCTGATAGCTTCTTCGGCCTTCCTTCTCGTCGGTAATGAGGTCTGGAGTCGTCACGCCGCTTGTTGATTTCTCCTGTGTGCCTGGCGACAGGGTGAGGTTTGACTGTTTTTCTGGACCCATGGTGCTATCCGTTGATTCGATCTCCGGGAAAGTTGTGAGAGGTAATCAATTGGCAAGAAGGATGTAGTAGAGGAAGTCGTAAGTATCCTGATCAAACCAGACAAAAGAGTAGTACCTACAACTTCCCGTTGCTTTGCTTTCCACAAACAGACTTTCCGTCTGACAGCTACTTCCTATATAAAAGCACAACGGAGATAACCCTCCTATCTTCCATACAACTCCGTCCCCAGCAATCGGCATTCATTCGCCCGCATACCGTCGAAATGAGTCGAAGATCCTACCACCTGTCAAGCCACGTGCCAAGCAAACCTGCGTCCTCCCGAACTACGGCGGAAGACGACAACGCCCTTGTGCAACCAACTGCTTATTGTGGGTCTCGTATTACACATTTCGCCAAGCGATTGATGCGTGAGGCTTGCTACCTTGATGCACATTCCGGACTTATGGTCGGATTGTTCGTGGTGAAATTTCCGCTTGGCCGGATACTTTTCGCATGCTCGGCATTAGCGATATGATAAGGCTGAAAAGGCATACTGAATTTTATGCAGGATTCAAAATGCAGTTTCACTATCTTGGCGTCATGATATGCTTGCTCCGCCGAGCTCGGAGGCCGCCAGCACGCCTTTGACTACATGGTATCTGGACACCTTGAAACGCCATTGCCCATCTTCTGTTGCTCTTCTGCACGTCAGAGTAGTATTAAAGAAAGCCTTGACGTGCGAACAAACACGTCATCCTCGCAAGATGCATTTTCCAAGCTCGAGGCGCCACTCCAGCCTCATAGAATTATCAGTTGTCAGTCCGGATGATATGCCACCCCTATTCTGTTACCTCTTTGATCGCTTGTATAAGCTCTGAAACACTGCCTTTGCAGGCCTCTCATACATGTAGCCATACCTCAAACGGCGGAGGAGTAGTTATGCTGATCGCTGTGAACTTGTTCCGGAACTTGTATTTAGGCCAGGCGTCTCAGGTAGTTTCCGACCACTATAAGCCCCGAGTATAGCCCGTCCTCATACCCATCTGACACGGAGATTTGGTTACATGTACGTTCGTCTGGTGTACACCGCTAAGGATTCTGTGCGGACGAATCAATTCTACCCTTCGAAAATAACATCTCACATAGCTGACAGCCAAGATACATATCATTTCAGCAGACTGTCGAAATGTGAGTTGGAACTGTGACGCTTTGTCAGATCTGACTACCGCATACCTGGTGGGCCGTTTGAAAGTAAGCACTAGCCTCGGTTGTACGTAGATTATGGGACACCAATCACTCAATCGGTGCATCTTTCCATATTGGCTAATGATATTTTTGAGAATATCAAGAGCTGATCAAGCCTCTCGGCCTGAGTTAAAGACAGTGTCAAATGGGGATCATGCTATCGCGTCGTTGAGGACCGAATGCATGGGGGCTGGACACTCGTATCACCGGTAGATTAGCACCTGCAACTGCTAAGCTTGCGGACTACAATCGTTTATTCGCTGGGATGCTGTTTGTTCATTATGTTGCCAAGCTCGTCATAGAGCCGGAGAAGAGGCATTGGGCCGTGCTGGAACGATTAGTTGGTACTCAGCGATAGTATGTGCTCAGCATTCTGGTACTTACTCTGCGACAAACTCAATGCATTGAGTACCAGCGAGCGTTTGTGGTAGCTTGAAATTTTCACATAATTAGGTGCTACAGGCTGAGTTAAGTTGGTGTGCTGGGAGTAAGATGTGGGTGCAAGGGGCTTGAGATTTGGCGCTTTGGATCACATAGTCGCTGTCTGTAGCTTAGTGCTGTAAACGGTGCAGCAGTATTTGCTGCTATTGCAAGTGGCTTTGAACAATCTCAAGATTGAAGCTGCGTAGTGGGATCTAGCGGTGAGGTTCTCAATACAACATGATGTCATTGGTGATAGTGGCCTCGACATACCCGCCTGCAGTGTAAGCTTAAACAAGAACAGTACCTTACGTTATGGTACATATTGAGCTAATAAGCAATTGAGACTGCTACAAGTGTGGGGAGAGTTCCAAGGCAAGTGGCGAACACGAGTTCGTCATCGTCGCGGAACTGGAATTATGTGGTTTCTGTATGTCAACGCTAAAGGTAATGCCGATGAAGCCATGATTAGACGGTACCGATCCTTCCTTGATGGATTCTTGAGAGTTTGTGCCGGGTGCCGTGCTTGATGCAGAGGGTTCGCTGTGTTTTGCTGGACGGTTGAGAGCGCTGTCGTCCTATTATCCCGTAGGCTTCGGAAGGACGATATTAATGTCGCGACCCATAACACAGCTGCCGATTCCGTCGCGAAGTAGAGGTTCGTTTGCCTTGAGGTATAACCACTGCGGGTCCTCCTCTACCACCACTTGCTTGAGCCCTTCGAGGTGATCAAGCGCCAAGTTCATCGACCACTCAAGGTACTCGAGGTGGAGCTTTTGCGACGGGAAGTCGTTGTCGGTGCGGCGCTGCACGCAATGAAATAGCGACCCGCCCTCCATTGCATCGGGGGTGGAGATCTGGATGGTCTTGATAGCGTCCCGCTGAACAGGCAGGAGGTAATTGAGGAATTTGGGAAATGACTCGTCGCTGTTGATGTAGAACGTGAACAACTGTAGGGGGAGAGAAACGGTCTCCACGGAGATCTGTCGACACACCCTGGTCAGGGCCATGGCATTTGAGACAGTTGGGTCCGCCGTGGGGGCAGCCACTGGTCCGGAAATGTGCGCATGGAGCTGGTAGCGGTACTGTGCATCTGATGGCGGAAACACAGAGACGGTGACGCTGCTCAAGACGTACTCGTACACTTTGTTGCGCAGCTCTCCGGGAAGACGAAGGAGCGGCGAGCGTTGTCGATTGCGTTCTTCACTGCGTTGCCATGAGCTTAGTCCTTGTCATTCTGGGGAAGCTCTGTGGTTATTTACCAGAAGTCTGCATACTGTCTGCTAAAGGGCCTTCTGAGGGCTGCCATGGCGGGACAGAGCACAGAGATGTGTGGTGAGGTGGATGTAGAAGTGGTAGAGTACAGAGGATGTCTGGTGGTGAGAAGAAGTTGAGGTTGGGCACTTGCTAGTCGTAAACAATCCGTGACCTCAGCATGGAGGTGAGGTAGGAGCGATTGGAATTCCCAGCAAAGAGCTTCTCACTCGAAAACCACGTGGCATGCCGCCCGAGCTCTTACCGTCTCCTGTGCCGTGTGAAAAAGCAGCAGCCCGTGCAGTCGGCCGCATCGCGACATCTGGACTACCCAGCAGGCCTCACATGTGATATCACATGATGTCCACGGGCATGGTACTTGTGGGTACCATTGCAGGGCTATCGCTCGGTCTCTTCCTTTACAAACCATCAGACTTCCTTGCAAGACTAGAGGCATCTACTTTGGCAAGAACTACCGCCAAAACACCTCAACTCACGACCCTAACCTCCTTAGCCACAGCCGCACAAAGCTCAACCTTTACCCCCGCGCCACTCAACACGTGAATCCAAAGCCGCTGCGTATCACTCAACCGATCATTCTCACTCTTGACCTCCGCGAACTTGACCTCACCCTTCGCGCCTTCCTCATCTGCCACCTTCCACAAGAACAAGTCCGGCACGCCACCGCCTCGCTGCCCGTACTCCTGCGCCATGACTTTACACACTGTCGCTAGCGCCTCACCGTCAAAGCACTGCGCTATCTCAATTAGATCGTTGATGTCGAATGACCAGTCAAGCCCCACGACACACGTCCGGCGCTCGTGATGGTCGTCGTAGATGCGCCGCATGATGCTTGGTGCGTCGCCGTTGGAGATCTCGTTTAAGCGGGCATTGATCTCGGAGATGCGCGAGGGATAGAAGGCGTCGGTGTGCAGATCGAGTGGACAGGTTTGGTAGGGTGTCTGGAAGACATTGGGTATGTAGGTGAATAGGACGTCAAAGAATAGGTAGGCGAACAGAGTGCGCACGATGCCACCCTCACTGTGGTAGCCTTTCCAGCCTTGGTTGCGGTAGTGCGAGAGACACATTGCTTCGACGGAGCATTCGCCGTCCTCGCGGGGGTCGATCCATATTGTCTTGCCGCCGCGTCTGCTAGGGTTCGGGTGCGGAGAGCTGTTGCGTCGTGATAGAACTGGTCGGTCGCGCTCGATGCGGATACCCTCCATTGTAACTTCGGCCGGCTTGGTGAGGCGAACATGTCCAAAGTCATGTTGAGAGCGCTTAGGTATATTGAGAGACTTTTCGAGCTTTGTTATACGCTTCTGTAAGTCATAGTGGTGTATGATGTGTACGAACCGATCCTGCAGCCCGTCTTGGCATGTCTGCAGCGCTATTCGCTTCCAATGCTTCTTCTGCTGGTCTTCGCTTCTCTTCTCTGCTTCGTTGAGAGACGCCATGTAGTGCTCCTCAAGCAATGCTTTACGCTGGTACCAAGCGCCTCTTCTGGAGTGGTGGAAGAGGCGTTGCCCAAGTAGTTCGGTCAGAAGTGCATGCTCACGTTTGTGCTCTTTCCGCCGTCCCAGCACATAAAGTGCTTTGTGTATAATACGGGTGTACACCCATGCAGGCGACAGACGGCGCAGATATGAACCCTCACCGCTGTGATATATGCTGTCTTCTTTCCGCTGTTCTTCTTGGCACAGCGCTTGCCAACGTGAGTGCACTTGCTCGAATGTATCCATAATCTCGTCGAAGTCTTTCTCTGTAGGTCGCCCATTGAATTCCAAAATATTGTCTATGCGAAATTGCGTCCGAACCGATGCCTCGTACTCAAGTAGCAACGAGCGAGAAGCAAAAATGTTTGCAGACCGAGATACAATGTATTCGGGAAAATTCCATCGAGCTATCTTCGCTAGAATGATTGTGGTGAGCGACTTTTCTGTCCACTCTGTAGAGCGGTAGAAGACGAGATGTACGCGCTCAAACAACTTCAAGGTGGGCAAGGAGAGGCGGATACAAGGTCCAGTCTCGTTCATGATTTTGCGAGTGAAGTGAGCGTCGCGATTTGCGTCATCCGAAAGATCGTCTACTGGGCTCGGCTCGACCTCCGGAGTTTCATGCCTGGAGCCAGGTGCGGATGCAGATGATCGCCGTGACATCTCCGAGTCAGAGCGCTTCAAACCAACATGCCCAAGACCTGTCTGCTTCCGGCTAGTCCGTCGCAATGCTTTCAATAAGTCTTTCTTATTCTTGCCTTGCACTTTCGCGTCCCTTGCAAGCAGCTTCAGCTCGTCGAGCTTTAGCAACGACGATGCTTCCTCAAGTGTAGTTATCTCTTCCTCCGATCGGTCCGCAAACGTGAACGAAGTCCCCAGCGTTGCCCCGGTTGGTGCTTCGAGCTCACCAGGATGCGACTCTACTTCAGCAGAGGATGTCGGTAGAATGTGTGTTTGCTGCAGAATTTGAGCTGCGCCTTCGAGGTCGGAGATGTCGCTGTGATATCCAAGATTCTTTACACGATGCCACGCAGACGTCTTGCGGAGAAAGAGGCGCACATATCTATAATGAACCTTACGTCAGCTCTATACCATAAACTGAGCTGATCAAACATACAGAAATTGCGCCTCGTAGCTCATTTCCCTCCATATTCGGAACACATCCGTCTCAGCCTCATCAAAGAGGTGGCTCTCGTCTTCCAACACAGTGTCCAACGCAAGATTGAACGCATCCACATAGAGCGAGCTCTTCCCTCTAACCCATGCTCTTTTCTCTATGCGCTCCCCAGCGACATCTGCATTATCTTCCTGCGACGCCTTGAACGCCTCATACGCCTCAATAGCCTCGTCATCGACCTTGACCTGTGGCAGCGCACTCTCCAAATCTGTCTTATGCACATCCTCCTCCTTCTCCTCAGTCTTCACATCCCTCCCATCATCCTCAACATCGCTATCCAGTATCTCGCGATTCGCAAACTTGCGAGGTGTGTGCGGCGGCTGCTTCCTAGGGCTGTTACCCGTCTTCTGGCGCTTTGCGGGCCGGTCCTTGTCGCCGTCGAAATTGGTGGATTTGGGATGTTTTATGAACCGCGTAATCATCTGATTGTGCTTCGACGGGGTCTGCGGGTTGAGCGCCATCGTCGTGGCGGAGCGCAGGCGTCCATTGTTCGCCCCTCGATGATGATGTAGGCTGGAGCACGGTCGTTGCACCTGGGAACAACGCGCTTTCTTCGACGCGCGATCACGGGACCATGGATCCCTGCCCGTGCGGACCCTTTCAAGCCCCGCAACGATGACCTTGGATTACACCAAGTCAGCAGTTGAAAATGAAATGAACGTTGGGGAATTGGGTTTGTTCAAAGGGTCGATAGGGCTAAATCGGGAATGGTGCCGTGTAAATAAGCATATTCGATAACGATCTGACTAAGGTTACTTTCCTTCGTCTTTGCAGTTCTACACTCTTTTGGGATGATGAGGGGATATCAAGCAATTATGAGACAGGTAACCTCCATGCATACGGATGCCCTCTCAGTCAACAAACTGCCACCAAGAATAAACAAAAAGTCCGAACCAAACCATGTGCGCCGTCCCTCGCCGAACAAAACTTGCTGAAATAAAGAAATCATCATCATGAATTGGGCTCCAGAAATTTCTACTGCCATTATTATCCCAGTATCACCGCTTCTCTGGATCTCCTCCTGCATGGATCGTCGTGTCTACGCCCGGCTCCGTCGTCGTCGCGTGCCACGCATCTCTCTCGATGACCACTTTCGTGTCAACTTGGACGCCCCAAATGCCCATGCCCGCTCCATCCCTCAGTGCCCTTTCATCACTGTCCCGACTCCCTCCACTCTGCGTAGCGCCAAAATGCTCACTGCTCTTGCCAATGCCGAGTTCGATCTCGTCGCTGTCGCCATCCGTTCTGGTGATGCGGCTTCGCGGGCCCTTTGCAGATGACATATTGCCATACTGGCTGCCGTAGCCATACTTGGGCGGCATCTTGGAGGCTCCTGTGATGTACGAGTTTGTCGATTCGCGCAGGAAGCGGACGTGTTCGCGCAGGAGGGGCCAGATCGCGGGGAGACATGCCGTGTATACTGCGACGCTGGCTTCGCGGGTGTACCACAGCATGTACGTTGTTCCGTAGAGATTTGAAAGGTTGTAGTACTTGGTAAGGATTGCAGCGACGATCTGAAAGGATGGATGTTAGTGACTGCTGTGTAGATAGTGACCTGCGAGCGGACTTACCACAAAAGTGCCCATGCTGAAGAGCAGTCCCAGACCAATCTTCTGCTTCAACGGAAGTGATAGAGACGCAATCATTGGAATTGGTACAGCAATGATGAGCAGGTCGCTGCTGATGTTAAACGTCGCTTGCACAATGGCGAAGTGTTCGAGTGTCGTGCATTGCGGATTGGGAGGGGGAACGGCCCAGTACCCATTGAACGGTCGGCACGCAGTGAAGAAAGCGATCTCAACAGCGATCCAACCAAGCGCCACATAGGCTGCCACAAATCTGATCCACTTGATGTGAGTCGTACCCGTGGTCATGCGCGCGAACATGAAGAGCATGCATGCTTTCAGAACCCAGATAACGTTCAACATACACTGTATATGATTAGCTCGGTTCAATGTGCATAAGCCGTCCTGTACGCACCTGTTCAGACACAATGACTATCTTCGATCCTTTGATGCGCTCGTCTATATCCGCTGGCGAGAATGTAGCAAACTCCTCGGGCAAAAAGAGGTTGGAGCCTCCCCCTGCTGCAATAATGTTTAGGCATGCTATAAGCCCGGTATAGAATAATGGAACAGCCGTTATCATCAACCAGTCGTCAATTGCGAATTGTGAAGCACTTCGTACGCGGCGCCATCGCGCAAAGCTGACAGGCATTAGCATATTGTTGAGATGAGAGCATAATTGGAGAAACAACATACGTTCGTACTGCCAGCAGGAAAATACCAATTCCATACATCGGCCATGATTGACTTGCAAGCTGTCGCTGGAACGTTGACATATCATTCCCTTCTTCCGCCATATCTGTACTGGGCGACCGTGTTCTCGCTGGATGTGTCGGAAGGCCGATTGCTCGAGCATATGCCAAAGCCAAACGCTGATTAGAAACGGTCCGATGGTGTGCTTACGGTGACATCGCACGTGTTGGACGGCCGTAATATGGAAAGACACAAACTTTTGACGGCGTGGGAAAAAGCACTGGGAATGACAAACAGTCTCAAGAAAACGAAAGCGTCTGACACCGAAAACCAGCGCGGGAATCGATCTTTGGGGGTTTGTACGAAATGATCGCAATGAAAAGCACAAAGTACCTACCTGAACTGGCTACACGGGAGATCATCCCATCTTTGAACCACTCCTGAATCTTGTCAATACGCAACTGTCGCTAGCGTTGGACGCGCATGTGCAATTCGCTGAACAGGGTGGATCGAGCTGCCGGGCAATGACTCCGAGGTAGCTCCATCGTGTCTAGGAACTTCATGGCAGAGTCGGTTTGTGACATGGGAGCTAATAAAACATACTCTTGGTACCTGACCACGTTATCATTGGCGACTGACGTGCTTACGAGGCGCTCGTCCCCTGAATCCGCGCGGGATGGTCGGACGCTTGTACAGTACGGGCGCGGGATTGGGAGCTACGAGCCGTTCAAACAGATGTCCTGAGCCCATAGAGTTTGTGTCATTCCGGTGCGTGTCTGACGGAGATTTCTTCGAATGCAGTGCATTTTGAGGGGTTTCAGTAAGAACCTTGAGCATGTCTCGCAGACCCCACTATATCCTTGCTGTCACTCTCTCGCAACTGACTCTGGGTTTCTTTTCGCCACGAGCAAGCTAGACGGGATGAGGACATTCGTGACAGCCGAAAGATAAGAGATGTCCGGGGTCGTAATAACGAAAGAAAGCGTACGGGATCCACCGGGCAAACGGGGCCGTCTGTCTAGGCACCTAGCTCACCCGACTTCCCCAGGCAAACGTGCCCCGGACGTGAGGCTGCAATAACGCTCCAGGTGATGAGGCTTCGACGCCCCAGCGCAATGAATGCAGATGCACTTCTGAGACACACAGCCTCGCGTCCAAATAGTGCATGTCGATCTTCTAAACGCGATGCGCATGAGGCCGCATGTAGACTGCCGGCATGCAGCCCCAATGCAGACGTGGCGTCGCCTCAAGCCTTACGACAAGCAGCTGTGCATGCCGTACCTGCGTGCGGCATTACAACGGTCAGTACATACACGACATAGAAATGCGTAAAATCTCTTGTCGTACTTGGAAGAGGGATAAGGAAAAACGAATTAACGTACGAGAAGCATCGCAGGTTGTGGTTGGCTAGCGCGACCCTTGCGGGAGTGGACCGCAGCCGCCCCGGAGCCACGCTGAGAGCGCGTGGATGGTGCTCGCGTAGAATTGACGCTATGGAGAGCGACTCCGAGGCTTCTGATACGCGATCTGCCAGCTTTCAAAATGTGATCGGCGAGTGGAACGATACTGCAGGTCTGCTTTCCCCCCGCTGCGCTGCGATGCCGGGCTGGATTGACTTCATGGGTGGAGTTGACCGGGGCTGGGAGGCTTGCCCCCGCTGAAAGGCACGTTCACACCGCATATGATGGGCAGTGGCCGGCATTAGGAGAAACGTCCAGTTGTTTCCACCCAGCCAACTCTGCAGCCTACCACATATCTGCAGCTATAAGAGACCAGCAGTCCTGTCTATCTGTTACGTTCCCGATGTTTCATTGTTTCCTCGTGTGATTCCCGACAGCTCTCCATCACATATGCCAGGCGGTGACACAGCAACGCGCGCGGGCCCATTCATCCGGTACTCGGTCTCTTCCAGCAACTCCAGGATGTGAAATAAGGCCGTGCTAAGCATTCTCATGCGATTTTCCGGAAAACTCGGAAGACATTGGAGAGACGACACCCTGCAGACATGTTTCTGGACGTTCAGTGGAGTAGACCCTGGTTTTCAGATCGACAATGCTCTTTGCCTGGAGTGCGTTGGGTTTGGATTTAATGGTAAGTGGTTTGGAGCAGTCACATCACTGTTATAGTGTGGCTGTAATTAATTGCTCAATGCGAAACACTTGCTTCAGTGTGGTCGTTGAGAAGACTTGTGGAGTAACACAACGATCGAACAAGAAGAGTCTCAAAAGAAAAAGAGCAAGAAGTTTCCGCATCACATCCATATTCGCACATACGGGCAATGTAGACCCCGCGCCTCAACATTCAGATGTTTGTCAGAAGAAGCTACCACGATTGGATTGTCTAAGTTAATTAACATCAAATTTACTCATCCTAAATCTGTCTCGTTCCTATCGTCATCCCAGCTAGTCCTAGGCATTTATCGCTGAGAACTCCAACATCGTCATCTCAAGAATCAGATTTGAAGCGGCACCACCACGTCCTTGCCATCTTCCATTTTGTCTCAACTAGCCATCAATTTCACCTCCCTCTTCACGCATCTCCGCCTCAACCGTACGCAAGTCCTCAAGCATCAAAATCTCAAATGTAGGTCTCCAGAACCAAGTGGAGACTAGCACACCCGCCCGCTCCAGCACCTCGAACGCGGGGATAAACCTGACACGTTCTACATAATCACTGGGAACTTCGGATACGACAATGACGCCCTCAATCTCTCTGGTTATGGGCAGAAAAACACCGGCCTGGAGAGACGCCAGAGCAGTGCGACACAAATACTTGTGTTCGCTGCGATGCGGCCAGGTGAAATACAGGGCTTCGAGCCCATTGGGCAATTTTTGGGCAAGGTCGCTGTCGCCATCATTTGGGTCGAGAATGGATTTCGCCTGGACACGCAACGTCTCGAGTACAATGAATTTCACTCAGCGAGCCAAGAAAGCTCTCCGTCCGGTCATCCGGATCGCATTGTTCGGCAATACTAGCAGATTCATACAGCACCAAGGATTTGAGTGAATCAGCATGATATCGTAGACCAGCTGCGAGTTCTGTCCAGATGAAGTGAGGCAAGGGAGTGTCGTCGTTCGGATATGTGTACGAAGCGTCGCAGGTTACAGATTGATAAAGAAAATCTCGCAGTTTCTTGATCGATTTGAGGATCTTGACCACAATGCGGGCGTCGAGGATGCAGAGATCCAGCTTAAGCGTTGTGATGTTTGATGTCGATTCTGCCAATGGCCATGGCTCCTTGGTCTCGAGGTTGTCCAATCTCCGTTCTAGTTTCTCGAGTTGTGCGAACGTATCTGTGTCTATTTAAACAGGGATGGTGATCGAGTCGTGCAATAACTTCACAACAAGGCATTACTCCATGACATCTTCTCCAGGTAGGATCTCTTTGTGGTGACGCACCTTCAGCTCCTTGATTTTCACTCAAATCACACGTCAACAACACCACGCCCGCCCACATCCTCAACACATATCACATCACAAAACACCACTCCAGAAACACCTTTTCATTATCACGCTCACTAACACCCCCTCTTCACCCCCTTTACATCCCCCTCCGTCCAAAAATCCCCCACCCCCCAAGAACTTCTCTCTCTCCCCAAAGTCCCCACTCATCACCACCCCACTTTCCCCAACCCCTCCCTACGCCTCTGCTCCCCCAGCTCCCCCCACCGCATCAACAACCCGCCATCAAGCATAGCCCTCTGCGTACCGGCATCCCATCCGCCCTCCATAACATCAGCGGCGCGGAACGCTTTCCCGTTCAGCCCGCATGGGGAGTCGAGGAATTGCTGCAGATGAGTGGCGAGGCCTGAGAGGCGGCGGTAGCTGGATTCGGATAGCGGGGTTATTAGGGCGAGAGTGCCGGATTGGCTGGTGCAGAGGATTTGATGGAGGGGGAGAGAGGAGGTGGTGGAGGTTGTGAATTCGGAGGCGGTGGGCATGTGCAGGCGGGATTGGAGGAGGTGCATTGTTGAGGGGAAGTGGCCAGTGTGGAAGGTAGATTTTTGCAGGAGGCGCGTTCCGCCCATGCTCTTTGGGTCTGGAGGTTGTGTTAGTAGTGGTTGACATGAGATTGGGGTAGGGGACGTACGGTCAGGGTCGAATTGCAGGACTTGTAAATTCATGTCGGCGTCTGCGACGATGATGTGCAGTTGCTCTTCGAAGGGGAGGAAGTCGGCGGTTATGCATTCGAGGTGGTGCTTGCTGCGGCCGAAAAGCATCATCTTATAGGGCTCTTCCTGTTATGAGCATTAGTATTGCGTCTGCGAAGTGTAGCAATTAAGATGCGACGTACCGTATAACCAGTAAACCAAGCGCCCTTGTATGCATCACCCATTAGTAGCATGCCTGTATTTGGTAGTGTCTTTAATGTAGTGACATAGCACTGCATGTCCATGAATGCAACAGGCAACAGTGTTCCGTCCTCCTTGAGACCACGAACCATGCTCTTCTGCCCCTGCGCCATGATCAAGAAGCCTTGGGTGCCGAGATCTGAGATGGCGGATACTGTACCCTTTACTTCATCTTTGACAATAAGCTTGAGACGCTTGTTGGTCTCAGGATGATCAGGCTCAGGTACAACGGTGATGACCTCAAAGATGCGGATATTGCCCTTCGTCGCAAGATCTTCACCCAGGACGATTGCAGTGCCGACGGCGATCACATCTTTGCGCTGATGCGTAGTCTCAGAAACTTCGAGATTCAGCGTCTTGATGCACAGTATGACTTCTTGCGGGTCGAGCACGTGTGTGTCAATGACTGTCCATGTCTTCTCGTCCATAACCTTGATGATACCGTGCTCAACCTTGGGCTTGAATGACGTCTCTTCCTTGGGTAATTCGTAGTGGAAGGTGTCATTCGGATCCAACGTATATTCTTCTGGCTGACCAGTGCCGATGACGTATAGTCCGCTGGGGTGGTAAGCAAGAGCATGTACTTCCGCGTCCATCGGCATTCGTCGTGCTGCCCACCCTAGATGGCCGTAGTGTGTACTCGGTGGCAATTGTGATATGCGAAGCGTGTCTGTGCTGTCAAGATATGCGAAGCCTCTTTGACACGATGATGTGTGGAAGCGCGTGAGGGACTTGACCGGATTTCCGCTCAAGCCAATGACCCGAGGTGCGCTGGAAGACTCTTTGAGAATAAATGCAGGTGATCGTCCGCGTTGGATAACGGTGCTGTAGCCGTTAATATTGTCCAATGCTAGCAATGTACTTTCGAAACCAGGTTCGTCTGCTGCTTCTTCCTGGGCTCCATCCTCCATGTAGCGCGGGACATGCTGTTGTGACAGCTTGACCCAACGCAGATTATGCGTCCATAGATCCGATGATGATCTGGAAGGCGAATGAATCGCTTTGTAGATCACAAGATCATCATTAGATGTACGCACCTTGCACATCGTCAGCTGTGACAGGAATTGTTTGGTGAAATGTGGGACTTACAATCAGGTGAGGTGATCTAGAAGTAGCATCACCGAGATCGGCTGCTAGTATCTCGGTTATGGTCGCCTTTGCTGAACTTCGCTTTGGCATGTAGTCCATAGTAAGAAGTGGCGGCAGGAAGCCCAGTGCTTCTGCGACGTAGCTAGGCTTCTCCAGCTGCGACATGGCAAAGATACGCAAACCGCCTTCAGGGGTCAGAAGGAATGCAAAGACTTCGGTAAAAGAAGACGATTGAAAAAGGCTTGCCGACAGCCACTCAGTCCCAGAGAGTCCAGTAGCCTCAACATCCTCGACCTCACCGTCACCAGTAGCTTTGTAAATCTTGACACTGGAATCTTCCCGCTGGATTAGGAGGTATGGATCGGCAAAGCTTGCGTTGATGATGTTCAGCTCATTGCCCGTCTCTTCATCCTCCATAGGTATGATTTGCTCCATGCCGAGTTCTGGCAATATATCGTTATCAAATGTTCTTAGACTGCGCAATTGACGTGCTTACCAGAATCATAGGTGCGCACCTCACTTCGCAGCACCTGTACAACCTTGGTACCTCGAGCCAAGACACCCACACTGAGCGTCAAGCCTTCGTCCCGCTCAAAGTCGCCTTTTTCTGTCTCAGAGAGCTCATTACCATGCACTTCATAGACTACAGTACTTTCTGTACCATCTTCCCAAGCTTTTGAGACGACCAAGTACTGGTCGTAGTCTACGTCAGAAGAAGCATTAGCTTCGGCGTCCTGACCAAAGTCGGCGACGATACCAGCGGGGGCTTGTTTCTTAGCATGGACAGCCCATACTCCATTTGATGAGGGGAGCTCGGTCTGTGCTAACATGGTAGGATGTAGTTCCCGGTTGAGGGCTGTGATGGCTCCAGCGGCCCCACGACCGGTAGAAAGCATGATCTCGCCCTTAGTAAGAGATTCGGTATCCTTGCCAGGATGCAGAACGGTATCTCGTATAGGTGCGATGCTCGGAAGCACGTCGTGCACTCGGAACGTGTAAGTACCGGGGGCAGTTGGTTCTGCAGCAGCGGCTGTGATCTTTTTGACTGTCGTAGCGGTGTCGTTGTAGAGGTCATCGTCTAAATCGTCCACCTCCTCTTCTTCTACATCAGACATGTCTTCGTCATCGCCTGACTGTGCTGTGTTGGATTGCTTTCGCCGAAGCTGATTAGACGTGCTGGTCCAGCCCATGAGCACCGACTCGCCGTCCTCGCTCCCGATGAAGAGCCGACCACGTCCCAGGTTGGTTGAGCACGAAGCGCGAGTCTTGAGGATATTGCCACCGTTGTCTGCAGGCACTGGTTGGATCGTCATGGCGGACACATTGCGTCCATCCAAGGAGAAGGTCAGAATGAAGATGGATCCGTCATTGAGCACAATCATGACGTCTCCTGTATCTTGAGACAGAAGCTCAAGGGTACAGCCTTCCAGACGCAGTGCGAGATCCGCCTGGTCGCTCAAGGCGAATGAGGTGCATGCCTTGGCCAACTCGTTCACAGCCACACCGTTGGTTTTGCCTGCCTGGTCCACATGTATGATCTCATTGCTGCCGACCAGCAATGCTCCTCCTATTGGGTGTGGCAGCGGAACCACTTGTGTGAGATCGTATGGCAGGCCCGGGACCGACAGGAGTGTGGTTGAAGCCTTTTGTTCGAGGTCGAGGGTGAAGACGGTGTAGGTGAGGATGTCTTTGCGATGGGTAAGAAGTGAAGCAGCGGTGGCTTTGGACGATGAGATGACACCAAAGGTGGGTTCTCGGTACTCGTGCAGGAATGCAAGATGTACGGGGTGGGTCAGGGTCGGGTCGAGGTTGGTGAGGGGCAGCACAAACGAGGACGAGTAGGGCGTCTTGACTGCGTCGTCGCCATTGGCACCATTTGCACGCTCGGCCTTGCCCTCTTGCGCAGCCTCATTGTCCGAGTCATACTCGTCCTCGGCCAGATCACGCTGTCTGAAGGGCAAGATGGCAAGGTTGTGGGTGCCAAACTTGAGGGCGGCGCATCTGCTGCTTGGGTCTGCCGTCAAGAAGTTGTACGTGTCTTTCAGCTCAGCATCCCACGGGGCAAGACCGGGCACGTCTGGGTTCTCATAGTAGTGTATTGATATTGTATGGAGGTTGTACGTCTCCGGGTCCCATTCCACCAAGCTCAGCTTTGCGTCCCGAAAAGCCACCAGCAGCGCCTCCGCACGTGACTTTGTGTTGAGCGCCTTGACACGTGCGAGTGAAATGACTGTGCCTGCCAGCGGGAATTCGCCGACCAGCACCAGCTTCGCCGTGTTCTCTATGCGCTGCAGCGGCACATCGGCCGCCTCTGTGTCGAAGTTTGCCGCCGCGTTGTCTGCTTCACCCTCCCCACCAGACGCGACCTCGGTCACGGTCGACTTGAGTTCGAAGACCTGGAGCAGCGAATTCTTGGCGACGATGAGATTGTTGGAGCGCGATGAAAGGAAGGGGAGGGTGATGGCATGGCTGACGGCCGTGGGCGGGGCAATCTCAGTGTAGGCCTGCATGGTGGTGGTGTGAGGCTAGTACACGACCAATTGTCATAGTGGTGAAGCTATCGTGGGCGGGGTGGGGACAGGCAGTCGGTGCTGTCTTCTGCTTTCTTCTGGGCTTGGACGCGTTCAAAGAGCTCGACGTCGGCTCAAAACACTAGCGCGAAGGAGCTTGGACGGCATGCACGGTCGATCCGGGCATCCAGGCCCCGCCCGTGCCGCTAGACGTCATCTCGCGGCTGCTGCAAACAGGCATCTGCTCTGCTCTGCTGTGCCCTCGACCGTCCACTTGCGCATCCTGCATCCAGCATCCATCACATTGTGGTGGTAGAGAGAAAGGTACATTATCCTCCTTTAAGCATTCTCGAGCAACCAACTGACTGATCTCCACCAGACAATGGCGCTCATACAAACAAGCCTCATCTGGGTGGCCTACGCCGTCGCCATCGCCATTCTCCTCGCCATAGCTTCCATCTTCGTCTTCCTGTACCAGAAGCCGAGAGATCGGGCCGCATCGGTTACCGTTGTGTGCATCTTCACGACCCTCGCACTGCTTGCGACCGTTCTCCTCATCCCCGTCGACGTCGCTCTCGTCTCGTCCACGTCCAGATCGAGCCTAGGCCAGAAGAAGGACTGGGCCACGCCAGACAAGGTCCACGGCATCGTCCGCACCCTCGAGATTGTCTACTACACGCTCTATTCGCTTGATGCGCTGCTCTGTCTGATCGTTGTGCCCTTCACCTACTTCTGGTACGAGGAATACGACGAGGACGCGGCCGAGCATGGCGAGCAGACGGCTGGCCAGCGCATCTGGGGCGCCTTCAAGTACACCATCGCCTTCCTCGTCTTCGTTGTCACCATCTTCCTGATTGGCTTCTTCGTTCCCTTTGCAAAGCAGGCCAAGGACGACAAGCGCCTCGACCTGGACTACTTCAAGCACCTCCTCTCTGAGAACCGTAAGTGCCCTAGTCCGTCTTCACGTGCATGGCTAACTCGCGCAGATGGAGAACGTGCTCTCGCATTCGCACTTGGTCTTCTGATGACTGTCGGTACCGTTCTGTTTGTCCTCTACACCGGAGCCGGAATGGCAATGCTGCCCGTGGCCATGATCAAGTCCGCACCCTATGTCTCGAACCCTACCCTAGCCGCCAACACTGCGTCCCAGCTCGAGGCCAACCGTGAGCGCCAGAGGCAGCTTGAAGGCCGCAACGAAGGTCGCGATGGAGGACTCGATGCCCGTGATAGGCGCGAGCTCGAGTCCCTCATCCGGGAAGAGCGTACCCTGATCCGCCGTGAGCGTCTTGCTGCCGAATCAAGCGGCGAGGACCGTCACTGGATCGTCAAGACATGGATCAAGATTGAGGCCGTGTTCCGCCCGCTCAAGCTCGTCGGTGGACTGCTGCTCATCGTCGTCGCCCTGGTCATCTTCGCCAGCATGCTCATCACCGGCATTGACAAGGCTAAGAACTCAATCTGCGGCGCCCACTGTGGTTACATCCTCGGTCACATCAACATCTTCCAGCCACTGAACTGGGTCCTAGTCAAGTCATCCAAGGTCTTCCCCATTGACTACGTCCTGTTCCTGCTCCTGGTCTTGTTCTTCTTCTCCGCATCCGTCGTTGGTATCGCGACAGCCGGCATTCGCTTCCTCTGGCTCACTCTCTTCAAGATCCGCAAGGGGCATACTTCTCCCCAGGCCATGTTAATGGCGACTGTCCTACTCACTCTGATCGTACTAGGTATCAACTACTCCGTCGCCATGGTTGTCGCTCCACAGTACGCCACCTTTGGTCCTCAGACCTACTGTGACCTGAGCACCAACTCCCGCGACGAGACGCCTGACTGCTCAGAGCACAAGGACCTCATCAAGCCATGCAGCGAGCTTGCCAAGAACCCCTCTGCCCAGGACGTCTGCACACCATCCGTCCTGAGCACCTTCATCAACCGCGTCACCATCAACTTCCCCTTTTTTGGTGTCGTTTTGTTCTGGTCTCAGTTTGCCTTCCTCGGCGTGTACCTGATCGTCTTCGTCACAACCCTTTTCCGCGTTCCTAAGATTGACCAGGACCAGGTCGATCGTGATCTTGAGGAAGAAGAGGAAGAGGGTCTTCTTGCCAGCACTGGACGCCGATTCAATGCTACCTGGCAAGACATCACCGGCCGCTCCAAGCAGACGTATGGCGCGACCGAGTCCAGGAACGGAGAGCACAGCTAAAGCAATGTGTCATGAAAAGCGTTCGATTGGGTGTAAATTGGTATATGTGAAAACGGCATGTTTGATTGAAATTAGTACATATATTTGCGCATTGTAAGACGTCTTTCCTTTGGGTCTGGGTCGGGATGGGTCCATGATACCTCACTGTCATTCGGCGTTTTGTGGTCTACTATACGTATCTCAGTCTAGCTAATGTTGAACGTTG